ATCTAAGTCCAACATTTTATTTAATTATGTACTTCTGCTTGTTGACACCAGAATGACTTCTTTATCCAATTATTGTGAGTACTCTGAAGCAAGTTTCTGCCCAAACAGCAATTTTCCAAATGTTACTGAGCCACCTATGTCTGCCAACTCCTGTTCAATGAGCCTTTTGGGTTTCTCAGTTGTAAGAAACCTTTTTCTTTAGAAGAAAATCCTTTTTGGTGTATAATAATACACCACATACTTATTTCTTATCAACATGCTGTTGAAGAGTTTTTAAATTACCATTCAGCCATGCTTTCTTTTGCTGAGGAAGTGTCTATTTGTAAGTAAAAGGATAGTTTTGCATTATTTTCTATGAGCTAGGGTTAGTTATGCATTGTGACTCAGTTACAAAATTGAGACACAGTTGTGTGCTGAATTATGCATATAAGCTCACTGTGTTGTCCTGTGTTTTTTTAAACAAGCACAGGACTGCTTGTCCCTACCGTGCAACTGAGCAGAAACACAGTTAGAACAGACTCGGGGATGAATCATCCAAATCTCAGTCCATTCAGAGCAGAGAGAGGACCAACGTCTAATGGATTCTTAGTGTCTCTGTCAAAAAGCTGCCATCTTTATTTACCCAAAAGCAAAAGAATTCCAAGAAAGCTTGTGTGGACAGCTTATGAAATCACTGACTCTTTACAAAAAGGTAAATTACGTCTTACTGGAACAACTTTCCTTTAAATATTGAGGAATCTACAGTTCGACGATAGCAGGACGAGTATATTCCAAATGTTCAACCCTCATGCATTTCCACTCTCTTTTCTCTAAGAAACAGTACAACTGTACAGTTCTAGTGGTGTTGTGTCTGCATGTCTGACACAAGTCTGAGACGATAAAGTTAACTCCGTCCCCATGAGCCATATCTTCAGTGACAGGACGCATTGGTTCCTGAACTTCTGAAACCTTTCTGTGACAGACGCCATGTTGGAAATTGTAGCTCGACCTCACATTCAGTCAGACACCTTCTGCCTCTTCCTATAGTGTGCTCACATGTCTAATATGCCAAACTCAAAATCTTAATATCTTCAAAGCAAATAAGGTATAAGAAGATTCACGCCCAGAGAAGACGAGTAAAGGAACAAGAGATTCACAAACTAAAAAGATGTACAAGACTGTAAATGTGTGTATTCTGCTGCCAAGACAGGCTTTTTGGACTGGTTGTGTATGTGGCTTTGAGTGCTTTTGGAGCCAGCCCCAAGTGGACACTCAAGAAACTGCAGTTTTTTGTTGTTTTTTTAATCTTCCACATCAAGCCCTCATTTCTCCCATGCAGAACAGTATATTGCAAACCATTGAGGATAGGGGTGCAGGTATCCAAGCTACAGGTACATTTTGAACATACCTGAAGATATTTGTTAATTATAGATATATTAATAGAAAAATTTCTCAAGGAGTAGGATTTTTATTTGAGAGCCATTAGATTTCCTAAAGAATGTAATGGCGAATCATTACCCTCGGGTTCCTGGGACTTGATACACTAAAAAGCTATCACTATTACTGGGTTTCTTACTGCTACTTTATGGAGTGTTGAATTCAGTGTGTAAGCTGCATTTTCAATTTTTTTTTTCATCAAATAAAGTGAGATGAATGTGACTTGCTCCCTTGCAATTGAAAATCTGCCTCTATTCATTTTGCATTTGAAGTGGCCACCTGCTGCAAAGCATGCTGAGATACATAACGGCACCACATCCCAATAGCTTTGCTCCCTCATTAGGACATAATTGTGCATTTATAGGAAACAGTGGTATAGAATTAGGTAAATAAACCTGTGGAGCTGGTTGGATTAAAAAGTCTCCTTAATTTAAGACAAGAAGTGATTAGCAGAGGTGGATGGCTAGTCCAGGTGCATTGGTCATAGGCAGCACCCTACAAATATAACTACATATTGCAGACTGCTGAACACAATGGAAATCGTCAGTTCAAATTGATTCCTCTTCTCGAGACCCTTTGAAAACAGAGTACATCTTATATACGAGCCTTTCTTCTATGGGCCAAATTCCAAATCTTTTACATGTTTCCAAGAGGAGCAGACTAATGAAAACACAAGCCTCTTTGTTGAATAAGCGTCGTCATAATCAACAGTTCATTTTCTTCTGCTGCTGCAATCACTATTTAAATATGCTGAAGTTCCCTTATGATACAGCAATATCAGCTCGACCATCAGACACTTTAAAACTCTTTCCATCAGCAGTTTTTGGAGGGTACAGTTGAGTTTGGCAACCCACACAGTCTGGCATATCTGTGCAGAGGAGCTAAAAAACACAAGCTCAATACCGTTATATAAATGCTTCCAAATGTACTCTGCACACTTTGTATAGGTAGGATCATGTGGTTGTTTTTGCCTACATGCCGCATACCTGTATTTTTGTAAGCACTTTACCGCAGTATCCTGCAAAATAATACACACAACTTCCTCTGTAGGTAATCGCACTAACAGTGCATAAAAGAGAACTATGAAAGAGTCAACTGGTACCAATTTGGCGCATTACAGTATTTATAGTAACAGGGGACTTCATTGTTGACAAGATTATCTCTCAGTTCCAAAGGCTGGTGTGGAAATCTGACTAACAAAAGAGTGTTTTTTCTCCCTCTCTATACTTGACTCAACCCTGCAGCATCACAGAGGGGGTTTCAGAGAGAGAGGAGTAGCAGGAAAATGAACAAAAGGATGGAAAATGGGCAGATGAAGTAAAGGCAAAAATAGAGAGAGAGAGAAATAAGAGTAAATTGAAGAAGAAGAAAAAAGAAGACGCAGATGTCCAGAGAGAAAGAGGAAGAATAAGAGGGAGTGGAAGTGACGGAGCACCCCTTTCTAAATCGGATTGGGGCAGTTGGTCGCAGCACAAAGGCTGCCGTTTGTTGGCACCAGAGCAGTAAATGATGTTTGGCAGGCACATCCAAAATAGAGGCTTTCACACACATACAGACTTCTATATCAAAGACACAAAACTTATTGAACACACTGTGCCAAAAAGTATTCAAACAGAGCAAACTATCATTTCCTTACAAGCTAATTTTTACATAGCAACCATTTTCACACGCCCTGAGACTGCTACACTGTTGTACGACTATTAACATATATCAGATATTCAGCATTTTTAATTTAAACACTTAAAAACTTCCCTTTAATCGTCAAAATGTGGAGAGACATAAAGCAATGAATCAGAGTTAAACAATATTTGAAAACCCTTCAGCCCTTTAACCTCGAACCCAGCTAATGCTAGCATTCAACTATCTTTAACAACTTTACATTAGCTAGACAGAAAACCTCAGAATTACACTAGCAACGAATTCATGTATTTCCTGTCATATTTTACTACACAAGCTAATGACTATATAAGCTTTTAGCTTCTATCTAGCTTGCTGAAACATTGGATAGCGAGTTGCTAAATGCTAACATAAGCTGATGTGTGGCCTTAGCTTACAGTTCCTTTAACTTCAAATACGGCCTGATTTCCCTCTCAGCGTTCACAATTATAACATTTTCAGTTACCAATTGTTCAAAAAGCATTGAAATAATGTTTTTCTGTTTTGTTTTGTTTTTCAAAAAATACCCAAATTTGTATCACTTCTTCTGAGACCCAGCACTACAACACCATAATAGCATTAGAGCATCTTATCCCAAAAGAGGCTTTAAAGGGAAAATGCTGCCACTTGACTCAGGTCAAGAAAAATAGAAAAATGAAGGTATTGCTCTTCTTTTGTCCCTCTGTTCAACTGTCTGTGGCTCCTTTCCAAAAAAAAAAAAAAGCCCATAACCTACAAATCACTTACTAGCAGTGTAGTCTCCACTGGTTAACTGTTACAACACTAACCCCATTTGGTGTCACCACCACAAAGCCCAGGTTTCTGCTCCACACACAACTTGCCTTCAATAATTCAGCTGCATTATCTTTACATGATGATTAATATGATTACATTTACCGCTGCGGTCACAACCGTTCCCCCTTCTATCTCTTTAAATGGCATTAAAATTACATTAACATAGTGAACACACTCTGTGGGTATGATTTATTTACAGTTGAGGCCAGATTGGTTAAAACTGAGGATGATAAGTGTGTGTTTTCCACTGCCACAGCCCAGAAGATGCATGTGTTAATGTATATACATACTTCTGGTTTGTAAAGGACCACCCTGAATATTGTATGTTTTTCTTGTGTCATTGTATTCCCTCTGTTCACTTACACTCCAACCCTTACTTCATCTTCAGCTCTTATCGTCCTGTATTCCCTTTTGTCTTCTGTGCCTTTATTATTTTCATAGCTTTATACCAATGTGCAGCGGGTGCAAACTGCGGATATGTTTAGATCTAAATATTAACTGCTGTTCTTGTTTTATTGTTAAGAGGACTCAATAACGTTAGGACATCAAAACAGCGGAAGGGATCCCAAAAATAGAGGTAGACCTGCTCTGGTAGTACACTCATGATTTTAATTTTCTAGGATTGTTTCTCTATGAGCTCATACTCGGTTTAAAATGCAGCCTTTACGCAAGGGAGACAGACTTTCCCATCTTCACGTTTACATTTGAGGTCTTAATAGTTATGTCCACTCCTTTTTTAAAGCTCTGTTGAGTAGTTTTTGATAGGTTAGGAAAATGACCAGCGGTGCATTTCAAATGCCTTTTTTTTTACCTTTCCCACTGCAGAAACTGTGCTAAATTTCACTGTTAAAAAACAACTGAAGGAGAGTTTGTGTCAGTTAACACCGCTTTCACAAGGGTGAGACAAAATCAGCAACACTGTAAGGAGTACCACTTTGGCCACAGAGGGGGCACCAAAATGAACATAAACAGGAAGTTCCTCACAGGAGCTTTAACTGACCGACCACTACCTCAGGCCTCCCGAAGGATAATTACAAAAGACAGCTGATGGGTCCCAGGGTAGGACTGTTGTGATACAGTATCTTTGGATTCTTTAGGCTGCTCCACTTGAGCCTTTAAACTGTAGCATATCTGCATTTGGGTTTTACTTTCTGTTGCCTCTTTATGATTATCCAAACACCGAGGACAAGAAATATTCAAAAGACACCAGAGGCCACAGAAAAGGGCTTCTTGGATGTGATTGTTGTTCACCAGATGGCTTAAGCATTTGGACTTGATCGTGTCTGCATTTTGGTTCTTCTCCTTGTCTTCTCAGAAAATCTACTTTCCGAGTAAAGGGGTATTCCAAATAACCGATGGCTAAACTGCAAACCTGCCAACAAATTTAAGAAGTAAAAAGGTGATAAACACTCTGATTGGACTGCTTTATGCTGGTTTAGTCAAGCCTCTAAACTCCTATGTGCATTTGGGTTCTGCTGTGTGTTGCCTGTTTGTTTAAAAACGAGGCCCGTTAAAATGAGAGCTGTATGTTAATGATTGGTTAGGGTTTGCTGCATTTGTCTGTGATAAACCTCTGCACTTGAACATGTCTGCTTTTGGGTTATTTTCCTTGCGGCCCATTATTCCAACCCCATTACCAGTACAAATTTCTCTGAGGAAGTTGGAACCAATGATCTGTATCTTAACCGCTTAAGCATTTCCAAACCACACCTCATTTTCCTCCTTGAGCACATTTGAGCGGTTTTGGCGTCTGTCTTTGTTGTCCTATTTGTTCTTGTTCACATGTTGGCTCGTCGGTTTATCGTCACACGGGGGTTTGTCTGTCTGACTATGCAAATTTTAAACAGAGCTTCCTCATTTATTCATCCCTCCCAAACAGCATTCTTATTTTTGCCTCGTCTTCTCCCTAACCTCGAGTTCGCTATCCTTTTATCCTTTTCTGAGAGTTTTATTCTAAAAGGAGATTCTGCCATTTTGGAGAGGATGCAGAGAAACTGTATGAATACAAATGTGCTGCTGAGGTTGGAAACTTTTTAAGGGTCTTTGAATACAAAGTACCAACAATGTTAAAGGACTCAGTGACATGAGTATATCGCAAACTCTGACTTCTGTTTGGCCCATTTCTCTTGAATATGACTAACTTTGCCAGGAGGGTCCTAAAATACTCAACCGATCCCCCGTAACTTCCGACGTTCTTCATCTTTTGTCAGCTCATTCCTCTATTCCTTTTTCTTTCAATCTCTCCCTCTCTCTGTCTCTCTCGCTCTCTCTCAGGCCCCAGCCATCTGCTCTGTGTGCCCTGACGTGTGCATGAGCACCCATGAGAAGCCCAGTGGAAGTAATCGTCTGTTACCGCTCAGGCTTCAACATGTTGTCTGCCCACTGCACATACCTCTTTAGCTCCCTACAAACCCACGATGCCACGGTGCCAAAGAAGTGAGGCCACTAGCATTCTCTTATATAATGGCTGTGAACGCTCTCTATCTCTCTCTCTTTGCACCTGGTGCACACTCCGGCATCTTCTCGGATTCCTTTCCGCCTCCTTATTCGCTCGTTTTTACTTTTTTGTACTAATTGCATCAGTCAGTTTGGGTTGTATTAGCATGCAGGAGGCCCGTATTAGTCCGCTGAATTTCAATTTCCTGTAATATAAGTGCATGCAAAGACATCCTCATTGCAAAAGCACACAGAGTACAAAAGAGAACAGAGTTAGAAGTGGAGGCAGATTGAATGTTATCTAAGGTGGTGATTTGTTTTCACTCTGTGTTGCTTGTGGCAGCAGGATGCAAACTGAGCCTCTAGTCCTGCAGTGTGTTTTTCACTCTGAAGTCACGTCTAAAGGCCAAAGTGCTGACTTTAACCCTTCACATTTCGCCAAGGAAGTTTCTCTGGTTCAGCTGAGTTTCTTTCACGAGTGCGTTTAGCTAAATAAAAAGTAGATTAAGTCCCACAGTCCCTCTCTTTCACTCCTCTCCTCTCTTTCCTCTGGTATAATTGGCAATAATGAGCGCAATCTTTCTTACAAACAATAACCTGTCCTTTGAAAAAGCACACTCCCTCACTCTCCAGAAGGAAAACCACAGAGGCAGACTGGTTATTGTTTACAGCAGGGCCTCAATCTGCATGTGGGGAGGTATGCTGGGTTAATTCATTATTTCCTTTAGCTGTCATAAAAATATGGATTGCCCTTCCATGGAGCTGCAGCTGGCGCCTTTACATAGAGAGAGTGGAGTGAGTGTGTGTGTGTGTGTGTGGGGGGGGGGGGGGGGGGTACTCTGTGATAGGAGAACTGCGCTTCAACAACGTGACTGAATCCCGAAAACAGGAGAGAGAGCGAGCGAGAGAGGGAGTCAGGGGGAAGTGGGGGGTGAGAGGAGATGTAAATTCATTTGGATCTCCCGATTACGTTCAATGGAGGCAACACAATACAAGTGCGACCCCTACTGGTGCAATATCGGCCTGCCTTTCACTCTTGGTTAAGACGCTTTCTAAATTGTAAAACATTTTTTTTCTAGGACAAAGCCTGAGTAGACTTTCTATCGCTTTTAAAGAGGTAGATTTGGCCTCAAATTATGCTAAATATAATGAGATATCCAGCTTCGTTTTTTCTCTCTCTCTCTCTCTCCCTCTCTGTGAGATCTCTCCAACGCAGCGCGATTGGAGCACTGTTCGTCCTGGTTTGGGATGGAGAAGAAGAGTGGGAAGTTGGACCAACCAGTGGCGCAAGCAAAACCCTGCAGTGTGGTATCCAACAAGAAGGGGGGAAAGCAGCAGAAGCGCACCCTTCTTTTACTTTACAGTGCCTTCAGTGAAAAGCATTTTTGGTGATTCAACGCGTCTGGTAACGGGGCTGTGGGTGCGTTTATCCAAACACCTAAGGGGGCACGTTCCCTTGAATCAAACCTTTACAGCCAAATTTGAAGTCCAGATTATCTTTGATGACCTAACGCACGATTAGCGGAATTTGTCCGGTTAAGAGATGTACACTGATGCGCTTCGGAGAAGCATGCGCTGCGCTCACTGCGCAAGCCTTCTCATCTGAATTATGAGGAAATTCTTATACTTGACGTAAGAGCTGACAGAGGGAACCTAACAGGTATTGTCTGCGTCTTATACTATCCATTACGCATCGTTTGAGCCCCACTTGATCGTGTTTTAGGGACCGATTCGCTCTCCGTGATGTAAGTGCCGCACTTTGGATGAGGGACTCCTGTGGATAACCCGCTGGTCAGGAAAGAGGGGGGTATGAATGAAGAAACGCTGCAGGACCACCAGAGTCTAAACTGAACCGATAAAAATATATATACAACATACTTACAGCATCTCCCTTCCACTGAGCTCCAAAACAGCGGTGCGAGATGACATTGCAACAGTCCCCTCTCTCCTCGCAGAAACCATGCAGCCTCTGATGGGGATCACACTCACAAACACTGCAACAACAGGACGGGGGGTATGAAATATCACCGAATCTCAGGCGATTAAATATTCCCACCGTGTCCGAGAAGAGAAAAAAAATCTGAATGAAATCCCCCGCGTTGACACTTCACACGCGCGCAGCAGCGAATAAAATTCACTGTTGTTGTAATCCAATCTTCATTGTGTGTGTGCGCCTGCCGCTGCTGCCGCTGCTGCTGCTGCTGCTGCTTCTTCTCCACTGCAATCTCTGCTGGCCCCGCGCATTGTGGGGGGCTCAACCTGCCTCTGTGTGATTACAGCTCCCGGTATCCCGTTATTCCTGTCCCGGGTAGAGGAGAGCAAGAGGCAGGTGAGCAGCCGCCGGACGCACACATAGACGCACACGCACGTTAACTACTACAGTAGAAGCTCCGGCAGCCTGCAAACCGAGCATGGGACCCAACGTCTCTCTCTCTCTCTCTCACTCTCTCTCTCTCTCCCTCTCTCTCAGCGTCGTGCACGTGTGTGTGTATGTGTGTGAGAGATGGTATGCGTTCTGCGCGCGTGCGTGTGATTTCACGTTGGGTCTCTCGCGCTTCTGCAGAGGCACGGGCAGCTGGATGGATAGACGGACTGACTGACTGGCGGTCCGTCGTTCTGTCGCTGCCTCGCTCCTGCTTTGCGCAAAAGCTCCTCTCTCGGAAAGAGCTTAGTGAAAAAGAGAGAGCCAGAGTTTGGCGAACACACAAAATGACTCAGACAACAATGTTAACCCTCATTCCTCAGATATCCCTCCCCGTTTCTGTTCTCATCTCTGTCAAGATTAAGCATTTTACCAGCTCTCTCCATTCATGACTTTGGGGATTTTTTTATACAGTCAATCCTCGTGGAAAACTGGGGCACAGAGCGGCAGATAAAGGGGGAAGTCAACAAACACAACAGCTAGTGGTGCAAAGGAGAAGACACTGTGATTAAACGGCACATGAAATGCTGTGGCTGTTCAGTGAAAGAGAGGAGACGTGTGCAGACTTGTGAACACAAGCAAAAACCTCCTAAAGAAATCCTCACAGGTGTTTGGTTCAGCTCGTTTGACAGTTCTTCTGACAGTGTTTGTGTTTAAGAGAACAGGATACCTGAAAAGGTGAAGGCCTTCATCCGAGTTTCCTGTGTTAGCGTGTGGGGAGGTGATTTTCCAGTTTTAAGCGAGCAAAGTTTTTTTGTCTTCTTCGTGATAACTCTAGGATCCCCTTGCTGGACAGCGCTACCTACTGTTTCAGTGGGTAAATTTCTGGAGTCATGCTGCATTCAGGTGCTCCTGGCATGGACCCTTCATGTTTTGCATTTACCCAGGAAATCACTCTTTAAACACTATCACTTGTGCAGCTTCTGACAGATTTCATAAGAACTGTGTACACTATGGACAACTTGGTTCCGCCTTCCGCCAGTATATGGATTTGAAACCGAAAAGTTCTCGATAATTCCGCGTTTTTCTCCATTTCCTGAAACCGACACTGCGCAGTAGCATTGTAAGCACCCCACCACTTGCGCAATAGCATTGTACGCATTCAGCGGGAGAGTCGCTGTGATGACCCTCGGCGCAAACAGCGTATGCCCCGAGTGCTAATTTTTTTTTTTTTTTTTTTTTTTTTTGTAGGATGTTAAGGTAAGCGCCCGCCCTCCTCGCCTCTGATTGGCTAGAAGCGCTGGGCTCCGATTGGTTATTCCTTATGGCTGTGAAATGTCTGATAGGATTAGGGTTAGGAGATCAAACTAATTCAATCAATCAGAAATTGGCATCAAGTTTGTACTGGTGTTAAAATCTGTAGTGATTTAGTTTAAACCTTCCTGCCAATTCAATGTTGTTTTATGTCCTTACTGATAATTAAGATGAATGATCTTTACTTACTTACTTCTTACTTTCTGTGGCCACGATTGCTATGTTTTTTGTTTACCTTCTTCCTTTTGTGGGGTCGGAGTAGGCGGGTCTGGGCTCATCCCCTTACATCCTTTAGTCAAAGAAACACCCCTGGATAGACACACTGCACAGACTCTGAGTTCACTGCTCTCAGCTGTATGGATTACAGTGCATTTCTTGCAGATGTGTGACAAAATCAACACTGTACTCTTCCACTAATACAGTCTGTCAGGAATATTTTGCTCATATCCAGCGCAAACATTCGATATTTTCGCCAAAAGGGCAAAAGATGGTGAAAGAAAGGCCCAGTGGTTTTGCAAAGACAGATCTAGGACACTGTGGTACAAATGTTTTGTCCTTATAAAATATTGTGTTTAACAGCAAGTGATAGTGCACTCTCCCTGTCAATGGATTCAGCTTTAAGTCACTAACATAGGCTATTCATAATAATTTTCTACTTACATGTCACGGATCTCATTGGTATGACTATAAGTGAGCATAACACCTGAGGCAATTGCTAAAAAATAAATACTGTTTGCTAGTTTGAGTAGAACTAGATTAAAATGTTTGCTTCATATCCTCATCTCAGAGCTCTCATGACTCCTAATTTCCAGTCATGTATTAATAAACAAGTGTGCTGAAAGCATTCAGGTAATGTTTTATTTTATGGTTATTTAACAGAGCTGGTTATCCTTAGCATATGTCAGAAAAACTCATAAGAAATTTCTGTGGTTTTCTTTTTCTTTTTTGAACTGCCCTGATTAAAAAAAAAACGTGATTAAAACTGGTTTGTTGGAACTTGGATTTCCAATATGGCGACCCTCCTACATTTAGGCTATGCAATGGCTCCTCAGAACCAATGAGTAACATAACTGAGACAACACCCATGTGTTCTACTGTCTGTGATTTGTTCCCTCTCTTATATAATATATTTTCTGTGAACACCCTACTCTGGATGAGCTGGTTAGGACAAAGTTTAGGTTTGTAAAAGGAAGAAGAAAGACAGTCTACAGCAACAGGTGGCCAAAGGTCTTAGAGAAAATCTGGTGGATGGACTATGATACCCTATACTGTACATATCACACTTCTATCACTCTTTTGTCATGGTCTCTCTGTAAGAGGCTCCTTCTCTGATGTATTTACCCTTTTTCTATTTCTTATCCATCCTTTGAATTCTTAAAAGTGGAACAAGAATCCCGATAATGAGATCTTTTCTGACCACTCGCTGTGATGACAAAACTCTTGGTACTTTTGCTAAATCAAAGCAAATGATGATGCTTTGAACTTTGTACTTTGCAGTTTTACATATAGTATGTGAGAACAAGCAAGTCTGCCGATTATTATTCATCTACTCTGGCAGATGCATATGGTCCCTGTCCCATCAAAAGACTTGGAGTTGACCAGTTTCTCTTACAGTGGGGTCTTTCTCAATCATAATACCATGACTATTAGCCATTCTTTTAACATCCTGCTGCTGCCGCTGAATTAGAAACATCTAAGTTTGCTGTTGAGTCAGTATGGTTGGCAGCTCTTACATGCACAGATGGATATAAAACCATGTCAACCAAACGTCTGTGTAGGTCAGCTACTTTGAAAACTGAAGTGTTAGTCTGTGATTCATCATAAAACTTAATTATAGCAGGGCCATCAGTGTTTTGTATCACTTCATAAAAGAAAAAAGTTAGACCAAAACCACTTCAGACCCCAAGAGTGATATGATATGCAGTGATGCTCTCTGGGTCCATAAGTATCCAGGGATCTTGAATATCTTTGTCTTTCTGTCATTTTGTTTTCCTCTGGCTTTATTCCATTTCAGTGGATAGGATCCTTTGACAGACCCATACTCTGAAGGATCTAGCCTGGTTTAGGATGCTGGTCAGCTCCACCCCTTGAATAAGAAACTTTTGGGAGAACCAGCACACAATTTAGGCTACAGTTTTTTTTCCATCTGAAATCAAATCTGCTAATTTTCAGAGGTTTTAATTGGAGTACTCATCTCAGCGAATGTGAACACTGAACTGAGGAATTTTTCAGCACTTTACCATCAGGAAGCCCTTTTGTTTTGACATTAATTGCAGCACATGTACATGTTCTTCCCCCTGAAGTGAACTGTTCAGCTGACAGTCAGTTTGTTTTGTCTTTTTTTCTCTTAATACATCGTGTTGGATCCTGAAGGGGTCAAATAATCTGAGGTATCTGGTGCTTGAAATTTTACAAAACTGAGATGCAAAAATATCAGAATTCACATTTTATCAGTGATTTTTACATCGTTGACGAATTATCCAATCAGCGCGTTGGAGGCAGTAAAGCGTAGACATGTGTCCTCAGGTAATGTAGGAATAAATAGGCTTTCTGATTCTTTTTTAAGTTCTGAAACATCCTTCAGTAGAACGTACCATTACGGTAAACTCTCAAAATTAGCTAAATTGGGGCAGAGAGGCAGAGCTGACTAGCATCCACAGTAGCTAATACACTTAATATCTACATGTAACTCATACAACCCCATTTTGAACACACTCCTTTCAACCACCATCACCATCAGTGTAAAGATCATTTCAACTTTACAAGCTTTCATCTTTTTAACATTTGTATCGCTCCCTATTACATTGGGTTTAAACCAGATATGTCATTTTAAATGGGACAGTGTTAAGACACCTCTAGCTCTGCTGTGATGCTACCAGTCTTTAAACGCACCTTTTAAAAGATGCAAACCCTGAACAAGAGCACATTTTCCACTTATCTCCTCGCTCTCTTTCTGCCCTACTCTGTAACCCATCAGTCCTACTGAACCAGCCAGTTTCAGCAAATGTCTGTATACTTTCTATGCAGATGATGTTTCCTTGAAAACCTGAAATGTTGGGCATCTATCTTTCTATCTATCTATCTATCTATCTATCTATCTATCTATCTATCTATCTATCTATCTATCTATCTATCTATCTATCTATCTATCTATCTATCTATCTATCTATCTATCTATCTATCTATCTATCTATTCAAAGTTGCCATGACTTCAAGGATGCAGTGAATTTCTACAGTCCTTCTTTCTTCAATGTCTCTCACAGCTCTGTTTCTCTCTTGGTGTTTCTCTCTCTTCAGCTCTCACTCTTTTTTCTCTCCTTCTGTGGAGAAAAGCTCAGAGTGGATCTGAGAGAGAGGGTGAGAGAGAGAAGAAGAGAGAGGGAGGGGATGTTACATGCAGTAATACAGGCCTTACAAATGGGTATATAGTCGCAATTCACACCTGACTGAGCAAAGGACTATCAAACGACTGGAGAGGCTCAAAGATGGCAGAGTGTGTGTGTGCATATGTGTGTGTGAATGTGTGTGTGTGTGTGTGTGGGTACCGGACACTGAGTCTCTTGCAGTGTGTGGATGTACCATATAACTCTGTGCTATTCTTGTGCCTGCAGCTCTGAGAAAAAAAATGCAATTTTAGGATTCATTGCAGAGTGGTGATGCACCATGCAGCCCCACTTGTATTCCAGGAGAGTAAACAAGCAAGTTTCAATCTTGGGCTGACCCTGATACTGAACAAGAGAGAGCTGTAGGTTTCCTGCAATCACATGCTACATCCTCCAACAAATGAGAAAGCTACCTGTAAGTAGTAAACATGAAAAATGTCACAGAATGCCATTGTGACATTGAAAATACCATAAGGCCCAGCGAGGTTAGCATGAGCTCATTATTGGTTATCATAAACGCATGGAGGCATGTTGCACAGGTACATTACCCTGACACTATTATAGGATGCGATTACGGCAAAGTGCAATCATGTCACATATCCTGAAGATTAAGCAGTCTGGAGCCTACATAGGAAGACTTTTAAGATATTCAAATAAGAGATACCGAGAATACTGCAATTATTTGGGAAAAAATGTCAAGTATAAAAAGGGAAGTGAGAATCCTGGCTGCAATACCTTTGACAATTCAAATGCAAATTAAGTCCAGAAGCATAATATTCATGCAGGAAATAACAATAAAGCAAAGTGCCGTTGAGTCACCAAATCTCTAAGAATATCTCAAAATACGTTCCTCCACAGCGATAGGAAGATGAATATCCTTTCACACTGCTTTTGTGGCATTGTTTACTATACTGTGCCATCGTAGCCTATTGTGCAACAATCTCATAGACTGCCCTGTCAGACAATCCGCTGTATCCTGTTTCATTATCGATTTGACACATAGACTGCGATGCAATAGCCTACATTTGACTAGTGACCTGTTTGTCATTTTCAGTTAATTGTCAGTCAGCTTGAGGCTAAACAGAATGCAGACTCTGAAAGTCCTTTTTAGAGGGTCAGAGCAAGGCTGAAGTGTATAAGAAAACCCGCTGGACCAATAACCAGTCTAACATGGCTCCGAAGAGAATTGAAACTTTGCAGTAAGCCATGTCTTAATGTTCTTTTTTATGGTGAATTCAGTGAACCACTGTGCTGCAATCTCAAGTTTGTATTGATTTTTTGTGCTTTTTTAATTTACTGTGTCATTAAAAAAGTTTGAAGGGCAATCTGGTCTTTTTCTCTGCCCAGTCACCTTTATCTCCCTTTAAGATTATGTAAATAGCATCTCTGTTTCAAGAGATAACAGGTTGAGTGAAAGATAGTAAGCAAAGTGGCAAAGTCATGAGTCAGATTATCATCGGCAAAGACAGCAGCAGGTGTTACAGTTTCTACAGAGCACAACAAAAGGTTAGCTGAAGAGTTGGAAATAGAATATTCAACCACAGATGGTTTGATGATCAGCGCATCACGACTTAACACTTCTACACCCTTATCAAAGAGAACAAGAGTATTCACAATGGTATCATTTCATGTATCTTTGTATGTTGTTGTCGAGCATGAAGGCTGTATGTTGCATGACATATCAAGTACAGATTACACTGGTTTGTACTTCTATATATGCTCCATTTATGTTTTCTGTTTTAATTGTTAAGTATTTATTTTGCGTAAATGTCTTATCACACTGTACAGTATCCCAGTGTACAGTACTGTATTGTATCATATCATATCACATCATATATCGTATAATATTGTATGCTATTATATAGTATTGTATCATATGGTATGTTTTATAGTTTAATCATATCGTATCATACCATTTTACATTGTATTGAATCCTATTGTTTTAAATTGTATCATCATGTGTCGTTTGTAACATATATTGTATCAGATCATATTGTAGCATGATACAGTATCATATTGTATCATATCATATTTTACGGTATAGTATCTTATCATATCCTATCATATAATGTGATATCGTACTGTTTGGTATATCAAATTGTATTGTATCATGTTGTATCATATTCTATCAGATTGTATCGTAATGTATTGCGTTATATGATATCAAAAAGTATCATTTTGTATTTTTATCAAAATAAATTATATTTTTGCGTTCTGTCTGAGAACAAATCCCACTGTATTAGAATATATCACATTGTATTGTTACACATATCAATACATGGCAGTACATCATAACCTTTAATAACCTAACTTTACATGTAGCATCCTATCACAATGTTTCATATAGAATCATAATGTATCATATGTAATCGCCGATCATATGGCATCATATTGTTGTGTGTTATTGTATTGTACCCCATCATATTATTTTGTACAACCTCCAGTTCTGCCAAAAATGCAAAATCAGATTTAATTGAGTCTGTGTATCAATCCTATGCGTTACCATCATGGAGGTATTTTTGCTGCCGCTTGAGCAGTGTTAAAAGATAATGCTAATTCAAAAATGTAAGAAACTGCAGCTCCCAAACTGTCCACTTGAGGCTGTCACCAAAAGCTAGGCAAATTCCATCTAAACCCATATCAAAATGTCAAATCATACAGCAGGATTTAACATGTTTGCCATCTGTCTTAAGAACACAGTAATTCATTTGCCTAATTTCTTAAGACCTTTGTGGGGTGAGAATTTTTAGAACAGTTTCTGCTGTCATTACATTAAGGCTAGAGTTAGGCATAATAACACACACAGGGGTGGGAGCATTGTGGTCTGGACCTTTACAGAAGAATCAGGCCACAGTATCTTCTTTCAGTGGTGTGACTTGAAGAGGACACAAATACCAACCTGTTCCTGAAGTGAAGGTACTTTTTTTTTTTTGCACCACACTTTGTTGCAAACTGCTTCTGTGCAAATCAGCACTCATGGCCCACTGGAGCCAGAAGGACAACGTCAGATGGTGCCCTAATACCTTCATATTGGATGCTTTCCAGACAGTTTGGCTGGACCTCATGTACATGGATATCACAGACTGATATAGGGGCATTGCACATCATTACTGGACTATACAGCTCAACATAAAGTAAATGCGCGTGACCAATGCCAAAAAGGTTAATTCAGCTCTCATAAATCTTGTAGGAAGTACTTCAGGTTTAAAGAGGTACGGTTGTTACAAGCTGTGCAGAAATCCACAAAAGAAGCACAGGGGGCTGGATATAGACTGTAAAACACAATCTCCAAAGGACTTAACTTTGTACCTGAATGATTAATCATTTTTGGATTGTGATAATGTAGGTCAGGTCCTCACTCTTAAATAGCAATTAAAAATGTAAAGTTAGCACTGCAAGTTAGATACCAAGATAGAATCAGCTTCCCTCAAAAAATCTTGTTTCATTGTGTATTTTTCTGCCAATTATCAAAGCCCCCTCCTGTCTAGATCCTGTGCTTATTCTCAGCTTTATGTCAATTTGGGCAAAAGCATCTTCTAATTGAAATGGTAACATTATAATTGCAGGGACACACTGTCTGACAGTTGCTGTGTTAACTTTCTGGTCACAAATGGTTTAAAAGCCTGAACTGAATAAAAACTGAACCCTCTGAGACCAAATGAAATTTCATTTGGTCTCAGAGGGTTAGTATAAACCTTTTCATAAACCAATCAAAATGTGAAAAAAAAGTTGATTACTTTGGGAGCCCTGGCTTTATGAAAGCACTTCCAGAGAGGTGTAAGAGCACTAGTGTACTCCATGAGCACTATCTATTGAATGCTCAATGCATACAGTGTAACTTATAGTCCTGGTTGTTTTGAGGTTGCAGATCTTCAAACATGGGATGTCAATGCAATAAATAAATGCAATAAAGGGAATCAGCTGATGACAAGATCTTTACTTGTCAATGACTTCTTGATAAACAGGCTTTTATTTTGATAGCAGCTGATTTGTACATGTGTGATGAGTTAATATAAGAAAAGATAAGATGAACTTTATTGATCCCCAAAGGGAAATTCAATCTTACATACATGAGGTTGTCATCAGATTCAGTCAGAGAATTCGCCACACAGGCCTGTGAGATAAAAATCCACCCTGACTCTTATTTCCAAGTACTTAATTTTTACATGATTACTGCTGGTCACTAACAACAAATGCAGTATATTTACCCTGTCTTTCTGAGGCATTTTGTCCTTCCTCATGTGGGTTTGAGCTCTGCTGTGGCTTGGGGATACCAGTTCTGGCAGACGTGCTTGGCTTCCATTTGTATGGGAATGTATGTGTGTGTCTAAGTGTCTATGTGTGTTAGGGACCTGCTAAGGGAGGGAGCAGAGGGGTGTTACCAGGTCACCAAACAGCTGTCTGGGAGACAGAATGGCCGCAAGGGGTGAGCGAAACACACACATCCACCCACATACACTCACACACTCACACACACACACATACACACACACACTCAAAGAGAAAGAGAAAGGATAGATAGGCGCTTATATGCAACAGCATCTATCACCCCAAACACACACCTCAACACAGCACACGGAGATCAATCAGTTTCTTTTACATTTCCTGATCTTTTTATTGAGAGCATAATTCTTTGCTTCCTGTAGTTTTTCAGATGCAGTAATCTGATAGTAAAAAATCAATTCCTCATTTCTTCCTCTTCCACAAATACACAAGCACACAAACACACACAAATCTTCACACATATGGTGCTCTTTGGTGCTTGTCTTTGTGCTTGATTAAAAGCTTCATTAGGCAAACAACCCAGTAAACATTAAATACTAAATATCCCAAAATCTTCACAGAAGACAGATAAATTGAGTATGGTGTTAGTTCAGGCAGGCTTTGGATTTTATGTATACACACAAACAGATCTACATACATATGCCAAAGGGTAGAGAGCTCTCAGAACAGAGCTCTACTATCAGATAAAACTTATTGTGGGGAATATGATACTGTATGATCTGTAGCTAATGAAAGTGAGTTATGGAAAACACTTTACTTTAGCTTGTTTACACTGCGTGTAAGAGAAGAGAAAGATGGAAAGTAAAGTTTCTATAGTGAGGAAGAAAAAAGAAGAGAACTCAAGGACATAACTGGAATTGCTTTTTTGTTCTGAACACTCATGAGAGTAGGTCTCTGTTGGCTCTCGCACAATTTAATTTTCTGTTAGATGTATCATTTTTTCATCCAATGACATTTATTGTGAAAAACACGTAACACTTTGTGATCCAACAAAGGCTTAAGGAAGTGTACATTGCTTTAGGTTGCCAAGCAAATCTAAACTGCACATTCAGTAAACCTGCACTCTCTCTGATACCAAATAGGAACAGTTCTATCAGATGGAAAACAGTCAAATCATGCACTGTAGAAATCTATTAGATAATGAGCCTACTGCTTCATTTTTTAACGTCTCAGTTAACAATTCCCCAATGGTTTTTTGGTCTCATTATATGTGAGCCTTTCCAGTGCAGCATGGGGTCCGTTTTGTGAGTATTGGTCTCATTTAGGGAAATTAAAAATCATACAGGCAAATGCTTGAGGTTGTAGCGACCTGACTATGAAGACACTACAACAGCAACTGTCAATCAGAACAAAGATATTTTTTGCACACTTACCTTCTTATCCAAGGTCTTCTCAGGTGAAAAGTCAAGATGGAAATACAGAAAAAATGTACAAATTAGGCTTTAAAATGTCTTCCTGACACAAATTGATGTTTTACTGACTGTGTGAACTGTATGGTGCAAGATAACAAGTGATTAATCAAACATAAATTGAAAAAAAAAAAACCTACAGGTTAAATGAGGCATTTATTTGGTGACTCTCAACATTTTATAGTGTAGAATCATTTCATGTCCCCTTAAATTGATATTAATAATACTTTAAAAATTAGCTCAAAAATTATCTGTGAAATTAATGAGGTTTAGCCACATGTTAGAAATGTCATTGTAATGTAACCGATGAAGTGAGACAATTGCTCTTATTCGTATTTTGTAAAGTACAAGATGTTAGGTACTTTGTATCCACCCACACCCTCCGCTGAGCATTTCCACACTAAGCACCTATAAGCCTCATTAGCTACCAATGCAATAATATGAAGAGATCAGGAATTGTTCCGCTTCCTTGTGCAGCATGACTTCATCCTTGATTGTTACTGCGCCACTGGTTGCATCATGAAATTGCAGTAGTGACCTTTTATTTCCTGCATGTCGGCATAGTTTACTCTGAAAACTCTTCAGCATTTGCCTCTCCATGCCATCACAACCAAGGTTCAGTTGAACAAAAGACGCTGCTCTTGCTGGGGAATGTCCTGTTCTCCCTTTGAAATCTAAGTGTCATTTATGAAATCCTACCTCTTACTTAAAAAAAAGAGGTATTTCTTGAAAAACTAGGAGTGCACCATTGTTTCATTTGTCTCCAGGCTTATCATTGTACCAAAAGTAGCCTTGGGTAGTATAGGAGGTAGAATGGATTGTTTAGCTCCTTTCACTAATGTACAATACAGAGCATTTTCTTCTTTTTATGATTAATTCTATTTCAATTTGTATGTCTTTTTAAAATTTGATTCAATGGTACATTACATTATGTATTAATATAAACTATGAAAAGTAATATATGTACTTTCCATCCTGTCTTGCACAATGTGCAGATAACAAAGCAGTGGCTTTGAGACAACTCTGAATGTCCTTGAGTGGCCCAGCCAAAGCCCAGACTTGAACCCAATTGAACATCTCTGGAGAGATCTGAAAATAAACAAGCGCTCCCTATCCAACTTGATGGAGTTTGAGAGGTCCTGCAGAGAAGAATGGGAGAACCTGCCTAAAAGTAGTTGTGCTAAGCTTGTAGCATCGTACTCAAAAAGACTTGAGGCTGTAATTGCTGCCAAAGGTGCATCTACATGCGAATTTGGCTCCAATTCCCTTATAACAATGTCAACAAAAGCCTGATTATTGGTTGGTTTTAAAGATTAACATGCAAAGAAACCTTGTGATGTGAGGTGTGTTAAGAGTAATTCTTCTTCCTACGATGTGTATGGAGGACAATAGGAGCCCCAACGGCAAGGATTCCTGATCAGAGACAATCTGAACCCCAAGGACGGCAAAACATGCATGACTCTGTCCATGGAGAAAGATGGTACATAAAGGAAAATTATAGTTGTAAAGCAAGCTAACTGGAGAAGATAGCATAACAAATGCAGAATAGTCAAAGTGAAGCATAAACTTAGATGGATGTCAAAAAAAGAGAACCCACTTGTTGATACATCGCAACAATAAAACACGTTAGGTGGAGCAAACCAGTGAATGACAAGGGGGAAGTGTTGAAAAGAAATTGCTATTACATTGGATGTAACAGGAAGCTAAGCATGTAGCAACAATTAGCTCCTGTGGTCTGCCATGTTTTTTCCTCTTGATTGATTGTGAGAGATTTTTGAGATTTCCAGTTTTAAGTGTAAGAAATCCATCTTCTGGTTAAAACTATAAGAAACTAAACTACAGGAAAGGAAATGTTCAATCTGTCATCATTTGTCGTTATGTGTGAGGTCTCTGATGTTTTTTTAAAGATTTTGACATGTCAGGTGTTCATGTCTGTTTTTGTTCCACCTTCTTCAGGTTAAATCACCCACCAAAAAGATCATCCATTCATTATCCTACACCCACAACTATTGGCCTTCTCCCCTCTGCCTGGTTTATCTGGGATCTAAACAGCTTTAATAGAGGATAGGAGAGATGTACTGGAGTTTTAAGAAAGAAAAAAAAAAAACGTCAAATGCAAGGAGGTGGGGGTGCTGATCTGGAACGTCAGTAAGTTGAAGCAAAGGTCAAGGAGGCACAGCACAGTCTCCCAGCTAAACTAGCTAAATTAGTCATCTCACTGAAAAAATGATGACACTTTACTCTGTGATACGTTAGCCACAACAAGCAGGGCTGATCCACCACCCCGGAGGACACAGCGTTACATTCATAGAGCTTTATTACCAGACAGGAACCATCAGACTCCTAGACCTCTTTCTCAACAACACATCAGATATAGGAGTTGTTCTATAACATGTTCTGTATCAGTAGTTATCTTGTGTTGAATTAAAGGTTCCAATGAGGATGCACAAAGAGGTATGACAGTCGTGCTTGTCAAGAGGCTAGAGGCTAGACAGTTGTCATGCTCTGTGTATCACAACACCTTCCTCAGATAGAATCATGTCATCATATTCATAATGAAATTATTTTTATGACCACAACCATGATTTCCTCTGAGAGCTTTTGAGCAAGTATCCCTGTGAGCTGGCGGCTGAGCCCAGACACTCCGCAATAAGGAGTCACTTTGAGTAATGTCGCCAGTGGCATTTTAGTTTGTTGTTTCACCATATTTGACTCCAGTATGTGGGTACTTTTGGTTTAGTTTCGACAAAGAGGTTTCATTTGGAAAAAGGCCATTGCCCAGTCCATACAGACTGCACGATGCTTTGATTTTTGTAACCCTTTTGTTTGAGAGAATTCGTCACATCTACACATTGCGAATCCTCATTCAAAGCACCTCAGCACCTGAGGCTTAAAAATGCCAGATTGGACTATTGTTGTCCAGCTAAAGGGAGGTGAGGATCATTTGAATGTGGGGCAGCTGTGATCTGCAGCCAGGTAAAAAGTTTAAAAATATATATATTTATATATCTGATACTACAATCCAATGCTGGTAGACAGGAAAGCTGAGAAAGAGAGTTTAGCGTGATGGAAATAGTAATGGAATAAATGCTGTGATATAGATAGAACAATGAGTCTGGCTTATCTTGGAGGAAAATCTTGACCACTGATACTTGTTTTTGGACTTGACTGGTAAGTTGGGACAATCATTCATTTATTTTTCCAACGACTGAGGGTCCTTACACAATGGGACCGACTGAGATATATGACGCAAAATTACAAATTATTCAGAGGCAAATTTTGACGCGCCTGACTATACACATCAAGCCCGGTTTCCAGGGGGAAAAAAGGCGTGTCCCGGATGGAAGCGAGAAGACTGACACAACACCAGACTGACTGTTTTCAGTTCTGATTAGACACTAGTGTTGAGATGGCTGTCTGTCATGGTAGCATGTACTGAGTCAGGGCCAGTACCAGATAAGCACATTAAACTATAATCCATAAACGTAAGGTAACAACCGAGGCCTAATGGTGCTGTGACAGCAACGCGATTGAGTTTGAGACAGTGAAAATACATATGGTATGTTGTATCTGAACAGGTTAGCTTACGAGCTAAAGTTACTTAGCACTGATGAAAGTTAAAACAAAGACGTTTAGTAAACTGTTAAAGCACACAAACCATCGTCATATGAGAAATCCGACGCTATGACTCTCCACAAGTTGTCCTTCCGGTCGTTATCTTTGTGATGTTTGTGTTTTTAATCAAAAAGCACTCTGTTCTCCAACAGGTAAACAATCAGACGGTTGGCCATGTTGGATATACTGGTGAATCAGACGTCGCAACAACACGCAATCTGATTGGTAATAAGTGGACACACAGTATGCGAAACTTTAGAAAAATCAAACATGATCCGAAAAAATAAATGCCACAATATCGCAGGATGGGAAAACATCGCTGATGTGAACGCTTGTATTGACAGGATACAGGTTCGAAAAAAGTATTGACGTCTGAAATAATCGCAAGAAAAAAAAACGGTCCCGGTGTGTAAAGACCTTAAAGAGAGCTGTCTGACCCAGCTGCATTGTGACTTGGACATAGTGTCAAGTGCTGAAAGAAAGCCACGTGGGATAGTGTAAACTAAAGCTAGTAGGCAGCTGCTAGCTAGAGGGAGTCATGTGCCGCTATTTCAGTTATATAGGAAGAATCTGCTTTGAGGTAATGTTTTGTTGGTTTTTTTTAAACTTTAGCATTGAATCATTGGAATTGGAGTTCTTTGTGCTTCTTGGTGGTTTCTGTACACATTTGATTTTTATAGTTGTTTGCAAAGTTAAATGTGGTCAGTCATTGGCATCTGTGACAAACAACCTAGCCCAATGAATCCTCAAATCACAATGTATTGGTTGTGTAAGCCTAGTTCAAATTAGTGTTGGCACTTGGGTGTAACCTCAAAACAAAAAAATAAGTAGACACCATATTTTATTAGATGGGAAAATGTTCATGATATGACAACTGACTAATAAAAATAAAGGCTGGTGCTTCTGGGGATTTGATGTCTAGTTGGAGGGAAAAGTGGTTCCTCTCAACAGCAGAGATGTACACCAGGGCTTTGAAACAAGAGTTCACTGCCCTGCTGCCAATCTGGATGCCAGGTTTATTTTGTCATTTTAAAAGTGTTGCCCCAAAGGACAAAGCTGCCATCTCACCTCCTGATCAAGCTACTTCACAAGATCGCAGCAGGTGCTAAAGGAAACTTTTTCAGGAAAGATTGGTATGACTAATATTGTGTTGGGTTAGGCTGATCAGCCAGCAGGGATGTCCAGTCAGAGGTGGATGTTTCATGGGACTATGGAAATGGGAGATCTGGCTTGGCTGACAGCAGACTGGTACCAGGTGACTTCCTTGCTTAAAGAGTATATAGATGAGGTAACATATGGAGATTCATATGTGTGGCTATCTGCAAGGCTGGCTTTTAAAACCAGGCTTCAAAGAGAGTATACGCCCAAAAGCATAGCTATATCTTGAATGCTCACTCAGCCAAAGTCAGTCTTTAAATACAGCTGTGACTGGCTAATTTCAAAGCTGGGCTCTAACCCTAAATCTATCGTTAACACATCAAGTAACAGCTGAAATGAACACAAGGCCAAGACCGATTTTATTACAAATAGGCGGTGAATTAAAATTGAATTTGCAACGGTAAATCCATCAAGCAGTCATAGGAATAAATTAATATTGACATTTTAAAAGAAAAGCTATTAGCAGGAACTGTGTTGTGTCAGAGGAGGAGGGGAGGAGGGTTGATGTTTTTTCCGAGTCTGTCATCTTGACCTTTATTTCACAGAAGAGCACATTACAACTGACATTGCTTCTCCAACAGACACACTCATATCATCTGGTTTGCACACACACACGCTCTAACACATACTAGAGGCTGTTCAGCCTGTGAAATGTTGTTCAACTAAGATTATCATGTGCAGCAGCACCATCTAGTGGACAATCTGAAATTCACAGATTAAATCTCAAGGGTTTTTATTTTACTGCAGGCTGCTGTTAGTTTAGACCAGTTATATGAAATAACCATCTTTTTTATGATGTAAATGGTGTCGTAAAAGACGTGAGAGATCATCATATCTTTTCTGGCACAAAAAAGTGCACAAAAAGTGCACAAAATGCTGGCACAGTTACCCTTTTCACAAAAATCTGAGGTTAGAAATCAAAGTGATTTATAACCATTTACTGTCTAGAGTGGACTCTACGTCACTGCCAATCTGACATTCAAACACTTCCCTTTGTGGTTCAGATCCTGTCCTAAAAAGGCAGGTTTGTTTGAGTGGCAGCTTATAATTTTTGTGTAGTTGAAGCGGCTGTTCAAGACAGAAAGTATGGTGGCCCTGGTCAACAAACCAACCATATCACATCATCATCAACGACAAAAAAACCTCATATAGAAATTCACAAAACACCAAATATGAAATTGAACAAATCTGTTTCACAGATTTCAAAATGCTTTGTCAAAGACTTGGTCCTTAATTTCATCACAGCAACTCTAAAGGAATTGCATATAAATAAATAGAAATGTCATGATGGAAAATCTGGATGAAAAACAAAATGAGCTGGGCACTGACGGTCCATCGGCATAGGTACCGCACCCCAAAGAGGCCTTAGTCCTTGTTGCAGCAGCCGCTGGTAAAATGCCTGACTGTGACCCTCTGTTGTGTACCCCCCTCCCTGCAGCTGTTCTAACTGATAAAATTTGACATATATTGAGTGGTAAATTGAATAAAACAGATTTAGAGCTAATATTTTCAAATGCAGCCTGTTTAGCATATGGTGTAAAACATTAAATCTGCTTCCCAATGGTTGATTTTAACAAGTTGTCTTAAAATGAAGTAAGAAGTCTACGAATACCAAAAAGTCTAATTTCATTATATTTGTAGAAAATAAGGAAACTGACAAAGAGCAAACAAAACTACATATTAGATATGATCAGAGATACACTCAGCTCTACCCCTGTTCAATCCCTGTTCACATCGTAGTGTTGACTTTCTCCAGCTGGTGGCACCCTCATCCACAGAATGTATTCTATCACAGGCAACCTTTCAAAGTTTCATTAAAAACACCCCTTTAAACCCATACGAACAGCACAGTTAAGGTAGCCCTATTCTTTCAAAAATTGAAATGACACAGCAATAAGCAGTTGTCGCATTAGATAAAATATCAAAGTATGGTTATAAGGACAATCAGTAAATAAGTTCACATTTAAAACAAGCCATGTATTTGTAAACAAGCTGGCTAGTTTGATGTATTATAGATGGTTTTTATGAAAATATATTTTGGAATAAGCAATTTTTTTGTCCTTGCTGGTCTAGTGTCCTTAAGAATACAGGATATTCATGTCTTTACATCCCACATAGGCCAATTATAACAAGTATGCTTGAATAGATTATGTGCCAAAATATAAAGATTTTAATGCACAGTTTAGTTCTGTTTGATTGCCGAAATGTACAACTTATAATGAATATACAAAAAAGGTAAAAAACAAACTGCAGGACAAATGTAGGCTTATATTTATTTCCACTATCACTGGGACATTCTAATAATCTTCTCGATTTCAAGAAATTGGTATAACAAACACTTTATTTTTTCTGTCATTTTAAGGTAAAAACCCATTTCATGAAAAGTTTTACAACTAGATAGCAAATAATGTCATATGTCCAATCAAACCCATTCTCAAACACTTACCATACTCCCAACACATTAGCACATTCACACCTGTTTTCAGTTAGTTAATCATCCATATCTCTGAAGCACGTGTCACAATGTAAACTTACTTTCACTGAATATACTAGAAAGTACTCCTTTCGGATTGGTTTTAATGCAGTACTTTTTTAAGAAAAAAACGGAAAGACGTTGAATTTAGTTTAAAAGGCAAGGCAAATTACTCGAGTAAGCTAAAATGATTCCATCACGTTGAACGTTTGAAAAAAAAACTACATTTCCCAGGATGCACTTGACTGTTTTTGACGCAATTTTTGAGATAAAGACATCCTGTTAAAATCCAACGGTTAGTGACGGCGAAGTCAGTGCGGGAGGCGTGTGTGCTGCAGCTCCGTGGGTCGTTTTCCAACACTCAAAATTAACAAAAAAAACTAACCTGACCTACGCTGGTTCAGTAACGATGGCTGAAGGTGACAACAAAAGCGCTAATATGCTGGTGAGTATTCACAGTTTTTTTCTGAGTAGGTTGAGAATTTGAATTGTTTTGTCCGTTGTGGGTGTGTTTTGTGATAGCAGCATTAGCATAAACTATTGTTAATCTTCACGCTGTCGAGGATTGTCTCTGTTGAGAGATGAACTCACTTTGCGCGGACTCTGCTCAATTTTGTGGAGAGTTAATTTTAATATCTTATATTGGTCCAATAACAGCCGCTTGATTGCAACAACGAGCGCGGCTAACGTCAGCTAGCTAGCCAGTTAGCGTGCTACTTTAATACGTCTTACCCCTTTAGCTTTAGCTTTGACACCCTGCCAGCAGGCGTAAAGCGAACTTTAACCTTCTCTATTTTAACAGTTTTATACATGAATCAAGATGTAATATATTTCTCACTCGATGCTGTTCGCTGAAATATAAAAGGTGCTGTTTATATACCATATCTAGCATGAATGTATACTAAATACTGCACAGTCATATTGGTAACGGAAGGTGCCGTTATCGTTGTCCTGTTTATCGCTTCAGACGTACACACCCTGGACTTAAGACTAAAACATCTTGTTTTTTAAGTTCATAACGCATTGTACTGTTAGAAAAATGTCTAGCCAGTTTCCAGAGTTATCTAGAAACTGACAATTTTCATCTCAGGTGCAAAGTTTAATAGGGTTGCGAACAAAAAGATATGTCTAAAGCCTTTCTACCACCAAACCACAGTGACCCTATTTCTGAATTATACATTGAAATATGATGGTCGACTCTTTGTGTGCACAGGTGTCCTATATGTTTTCAGTGGAGTGCTTTACATTCAAGCTCAAGGATGATGTCTCCTGTTACACACTTCAGAGTAGATATCCATGTCCACCAGTCAAATACACTCCAATTACAGAAATGTGAACGTTCGAGGACACTTTTTGTGGGAATCCATCGATAAATCAGCTCAGAATCTGTAAAAGCTGTCATAAGCCCATTGGTAAATGTGCCTTGAGCTGATAGCAGTTGCTGATGTAGATGAAGATATCTGTTGGATCATACCCCCTTGGTGACTAAAGCTAATGATCTCCATATTTGAATCAGAGATAGACCACTTTTATTAGGTTGAGTAATCGATTGATCAGGCTGAATAAATGGCCTTTTGAGGCCTTCAGCATCAGACCCCATGGCCAATAACATGATCTTTTCCAAACAAAAGAATGTATTTTTCTCATCCTCAATAGCATCTTACATCTGAAATTGATATGTGCTGATGTTTCATATGAAGTCTGTTATGATGTATTAAATGACAGTTGAATATTGCTTCATGGGAAATGTTTATTTCAAGCTGAATGAAGGCCCTCTTTAATTAACTTCCTTCTGAAAATTGATTTTGAAGAGATTATTTCCCCCCCAGAAGAATTGTGTGATTGTGAACAAAGGTTTTGTGAATTTATTCTTTTTATGGTGGGATTTGTGCCGACTAAAAGACAATGTCCGGGAGACCTGAATGGTTTTTAGGTCAACAGGTTGTGAAACAGCCTCTAATTATAGAATTGCCTTGTCATGGCCTTCAAAAGTAAACGAAATCACCAGGGACAAAATTGATCATTTCTGTTTACTGTTGTCCCTGTGCTTGTACTGCCGAAGAGTAGGGGTCAGAGGAGGTGATTTGCAACACTCACAAACTGCTTTTTGAACATTTCCCACAGCAAATAGCTCAAGATAGAGGATGCATTTGGTTGTAAGAAACCAGCAGGATGAGATTTTTATTAGACATTCCCTGCGTTGATATAAGACAGGAAAGGATTACAAAGAGATCAAATGCTCCACTTTATCTTCAGGCAGTGCTGTAACAGACACAAACCAGAGATTTGTCACAGAAGTTTTGACAGCGATTCTATTACTAGGATTAGTGTCTCTAGATGGGATAACTAATAACAACAAAAAAATTAAAATGAGCCACAACTACTAAGCCGTATTAGAATCATCTTATTAGCAAAATGACAATTCAGAGCAGAGATCAGGGAGCAGAGCCGCAGACCTACACGCTCCTCTGCACTTTTGTTAGAGCAGCCTCCTAGCTACTATCACTTCAATATATTATCGGCCCTAATTTCTTTTAATCACTGCATCTGAAATACTGATTAGATCATAATCAATGTAGCTTTTATTTAGGGTGAGTTTAATGAGTTTGGGTTTAATTTTGTTTCCAGGCTCAGGAAACGGCCCAGCTGGAGGAGCAGCTGCAGGGCTGGGGTGAGGTGATCCTGGCTGGAGATCGCGTCCTGCGCTGGGAGAAGCCTTGGTTCCCTGGAGCCCTGATGGGTGCAACCACTGTGGTCTTCCTGTTAGTATTTATGTGACTGGGCTGCCTCACAGACTCACACACAGCTGGGCACATAGTTGGCATAGCATATGTTTCCACCCTCCCAGCAGTAAGGCGTATCTGTATCAAGATAAAGAGGGGAAGAATCTACACTCACCAAGCTGTATTATGTTTGTTGAATATGTCAATCACATCTGAAGTCAGTTATGTTGAGCTATGCTGCAGTTCTGCCACAGAAACTCGAAGAAAATGTTTATTGTTCTGGGTAGCAATTTGTTAAATGAGGTTAGGCTGTTGCATTCTTCAACAATCCTGAACAACGCACAACACAGTGCATTCCTTTTACATCCCTAAATGTTCACACCCTTCCATCAATCTCTGGTTTTCACTCACTGTTTGTTCAGGCTCCTGTTATTGTCTTTGCAGAAGGGTAACATACGAGTCAAGTGCAGAGATCTCTGTCAAATCAAGCAGAAAGAGAAACTGACTTCTTAGTACACACGCGTATCTACAAGATGCTTCAGTTTAATTGTCAGTACCTTGTCCAAAAGTTGTTCCTTACCCAGTCTGCTTGGCTGTCTTCCCCTCCAGGTTGATTTACTACTTGGACCCTTCAGTGCTGACTGGGCTATCCTGCACCGTCATGCTCCTCTGCCTTGCAGACTACCTTGTGCCCACTCTGGCTCCCAGGGTCTTTGGCTCCAATAAGTGGTGAGAGACTGGGTATTAAATTCACCTTGATAGGCCAGGATGGGAAGAACTTAATTGATCCCTGAAGGGGAGTTCACTTTGATGGGGAGAAAATCAAGTTTTCTTGCACAACATGATAAAAAAAATTCTCCCATGTCTTCAGTGTTTGCTCTCACAATCATGTTTTATTTCAGGGCTTCTTTGAATAATGCAATCCAAAAATAGATGTTCTTGTCAGTCATGATTCAAATTCTCACCCAGCCCATCAGACAGTTTGTTTTTCTATTACTTCGTCTGAGGGAAAAAGCTATAAACTTGCTAAACAGTACATCAGCCATTGATGGTGATATTAAACTGTAAAGAAAGTCTCAGCTTTGCTCTGAGAGCAAATCTTTAAACCATTTCAGTACAAAATGATTTCTTTTGTCCACTCGTAGACCTCTCTTAGCTTTCTCATCTATCACCATCTGAATGCTGTGACCTGACACCTGTCAAGCACATCCTGCTATATCTTGTAGCTTTGACATTATACAGTGCTTACTGAGCAGTCACGCTGTGTGTATGTGGTGGTGATAATTCGTCATCCTGGACAGGATAGAGTAACAGACCGGGTCTGTTCAGTGAGAAACAACAACTAGAGTTTAAGCTTTTAGTTCAGAGTTGATAGCAGTTTGAAGCACCAGCCTTTAGTCAGCATTTGGCTGTGGAAGAACTTCGGTGTTTACTCATTAATGTGCATAGATTTGAGGGATTTTTTCCATTTTTGAGCAAATATAGGCAAGAAGAGTTTATTATCTAATTAAGATTTTTTTTGTTATTATTATTTAATGCATCATAGTCCAGACTGGTCACTCAGTAAGTGTGCAGCAGGAATGTGACTATGAACACCAGTGAAAAGGAGCTTTCACAGTCTGGTCATGGTCCCTGTTCAGCCGTCTGACAAGGACGGAAATAGGAAAGGATGGCTAAGCAGAAATGAAGGCCACTTTTTACAGCTGCTCTCCCCCTTCTTGCTCTCGGCCAGTCCTGTATCATAATAGAACTGTTTAAAGTGAACCCTGATACCTAACACTATGTTGTCCAAGATAAAAACACGACTGATGTTTGAACTATGGGGAAAAAATATTGTGTAGTTAAGCAACAAAAAGTTTCACATATTTCCGTCTTATTTCTTTAAAATCTGTACAAGATCACCGTCTGTTAACACCCACCCCCCCATCTGCTAGGTCCTGCAGGAAGTGGCTCTTGCCAGGATGCAGTTTTAGTTTTGTGTTTTCTAATTTACACCTCGTCTCATGCACAGGACCACCGAACAGCAGCAGCGTTTCCATGAGATCTGCGGTAACCTGGTGAAGACTCAGCGCCGCATCGTGGGCTGGTGGAAGCGACTCTGCGCTCTCAAGGAGGAGAAGCCAAAAATGGTAAAAGAAAACATCAAACTTAATCCGTAAAACTTCAACTTTAGCCAAGAACCTTTATGTGCTGACTGCGGATAGCATAGAGCTCTCCTGTCTGTTTATTACAATGGGGAGCTTTCTCTGTGCTCCGGGTAAAAATATCCTCAGCTGATTTGGCTTTGCTGCTCCACTTAGCAGCCCTCAAAGTGGGTTACATGCCATGATAACCTGGTTTTTCCCAGAAGGCCTTAACACGGTTAGAGACAATTTAAAATCATTCTTGATCTCTAATAGTTTTATAGGCTTTATATAATGATGGGGCATGTTCGGCTGATAAAAATATATCAAGTTATGTTTATCTGAGGGAATAAGTCTTGATTCTAAGGCTGCGGTCTGTGCGCCTGAGTAGGGGTGAGTTGAATGTAATGTGACCTCCCTCCTCTTCACAGTACTTTGCCTCAGTGATCAGCAGCCTGCTGGCAGTGGCCTGGATTGGACAGCAGGTGCACAACTTGTTCCTCACCTACTTGATCGGTGAGTACACCAATTTCCCAACATCCAGTCCTATATACGTGAGTCAGGTGGTTCTTTGTGGCTCTGCTGTAAGTCACACAGAGAGAGAGAGAGAGCAGCATTCTCTGGACCGAGGAGATGAAATATTATCTGCAGCTCCACAAGGCAGCGGTATTTGCAAGGAAGGTGTGTCAGACTGTCACCGCTCAGGGAAACGCACACCTGTCAGTCACGCATGTTCACAGTGGACATGTTAAGGCAGAGGCAGTGCAATGAGGCCGACTTAGCCTATAGAGCTTACTCTGATGGCCAAACCAAAAACACTTCAAGGCCCCCTCCAAGGACTTCAGTGACAGACACCCAGTCCTCTCCTCTGAAAAATACAAAAGAGGACAGATTGACATATGAGCTGCTTAGCTGTGTTATAATGTCAGGGTATCAATGAGTCAAAGAGACCCATCCTGCATCTGGAGTAATATGACAAGCTTGTTAAAATGAGTTTTATAATTTCTGGGTCCCATGCTCAATTGTTAGACCACTAAACACCAGAACGGAGCTTACGTGACTTGCCACTTCCTCTGCGGTGGTTCTGTAGCTGATCTGTGAACAAGCAAATCATCTTGGTGGCCGGGTGTCAGTCTCGGTGAAGTGTCATTCTGATGTCTTGTGAGAAATGAGTTAGACCGGGAGAGTCAGACTGGCACAAGTGGAAGGTTCTGTTCTCTGGACTTGTAATAACAGTCTGGGCCTGTCAGTGGCGAAATAAAGCACTTGTAGTGGATACAGTTTGATGATCCCTTGAAGTTCCCTTTAAAGAAACTTGGGTTTAACTGTTGTGTCGCATAAAGCAACACACCCTCAGTGATAGAGTTCAGTTTAGGCTACCAGCCCTTTTGATATGAAGGACTTGTTTGTTCAGGATCCCGTTCTTCTGCTGCATTACGAAATGTTTCTTTTCAGTTCAGCTGCTGTGGTGAACTACTGAGATGACCCTATTTGGCAATACATGACACAACAGAAACAGGAAGTGATAGATATCTGTGTTAGAAGTCACACTTATGCAGTTTGTCATGAGTTTTTTATTTCCATCCGCTGGTTGTTCAGTAATTACTTTCTACAAGAGGCAGCGGTTCAGTCTGTGTGTTGAAACACTGAAGCAGTTAAACTGCAGACCCTCTGCTTTCCAGAAGGTTCTTTCCCCCGCCCGATCACATGAGCTCTGCCCGTTATTACCTGGATTCCTGTAAGTGTGACTCAGAAGTGCAGCAGTAATGTTGATCAATACCTGAACCCCTGAGGCAGTGAAAGGAATTAAATCAGCACTGTTGTCGTTATATCTGAGACACACAGTGGTGATGAAAGTTCTATGACTCTTTACCCACCCAAAAAAGTGGAGAAAATCTTGTTGTCATGACAGTTTCTCAGCCTTTCAGTGGATTTTGAAGTGAGCAGTTGACAAACAGTGGCGTCAGCTTTAAAGCTTTACAGCAGAGCCTCAGGGAGACTGACAGTTAATGAATCAGCAGGTTTCCCAGCCGCGCAGAAGCCAACACTATACACATTGTGTAAGCTGAGATATGACAAGCATTTAGCAAAACCATAAAAAGATGATCTCAGAGGGTGCGTGACTCTGAAACAAAGTGTTCTTTATTTTGAATCTCAGATGAAGTTTCTGTCAGGGTTAAATTGGCTCACACTCTGCTTCATGTTTGAAAGACTTGATCCCCACAACCCCGATAATACCTCCTTTACTAAAATACACTTCCTGTTGAAAATCCACAAAAGCCAGCTGGTCCTATAAAGGCAAGAGGCTGCCTAAGGTCACATGAGCCAGTAAGTGTTAGATTTATTTGCTGAAAGCTTTCTGATTATTCTGAATAAGCTTTTGTCAACAGTTGTCTACCCCTGAATCTGAATATTCTGGAAGCAGGGTAAAAGTTTTCTGATGATGGAAATGTCGACTTCTTCTACTCCCTTCCTCTTCCTCAGAGTTGTTGGAATGTGTAACATCCTTTTTGTTAACACAACTCTCTGAAATAGAGGGGTTTTGTTCATGTACTTTTTTTTTTCTTTTAACTTGCCATGCTTTCATAATGACCTGTTTTTTTTTTACATTTCACAAGCGAATGTCCAACTCCAAGGCCTCTTGAGTTTTCTGTAAGGCAGTTTTTTTTAGGGTAGCATTGCTGAAATGTCTTAAAGTTCAACTTTGAGGAAGGTTGGATTATGGAAACATCCAACAAATGTGTAACAGATGCAGAATTATTTTTTAAAGCAAAACCAGTGCAAGAAAAAGCTTCTCCATCAGGAATTAGGAGCACATTTAAACATTGTCTACGAGTGACAGTTGAAATTTCTAAGCCAGCTTTGATTTCCTTCTTTATAACATTTAGCGAAACATAAAAATAGATCAATGCAGCATCCAAAATTAAAGCGCCAAATAAGGACAGATTTTCTCTGCTGTTTGCATGTCGGGTCTTAGCAGTGGCTTGCTCGCACATGGGTACAATACTCTCCACTGCTTACTACACTGGACATGAGCTCCTGTGCTTGATCTGGGTTTAGAGGGTCCTTTTTTAAATTCTGCACATATTTAGTTTGATGCACCAAACCCAACGTGGTATTCAGAGCACTCTGAAAGAAGTATCAACATGATGTGTAAAACCAGTGGCTGCAGGTGTATTATTCACAGCCACACGTGTTGCACACTGACACCATCTTTTTCTCTTTTTTTTGCAGTGAGTTTCCTGTTGCTCCTTCCTGGCCTGAACCAGCACGGCGTCATCACGAAGTACGCTGGTATGGCCAAGAGGGAGATCAACAAACTGCTCAAACAGAAGGAGAAGAAGAACGAATAGATAGAAGTGTTGATGAGCGAAATTCTGGAAGAAAGATGACAACATGAAGCTGAAGGAGAAAGGAAGTTATTTGGGGTGCAGAGGAGAGCACACAAGTTGAGGAAAAAGCCCCCCTGGTTATTTGGTCTCTGCCACAGAGGAAGACACTTTTTTTTTTTTTCTTTTTTTTCTTTTTCACACATCAGATAAGTTTCATTTCTTCCTCCCACACTTTTAACGTTTCGTCACCCACTTGTTTTTTTTCTTCTTTATGAATTCAAAGGCCATGCATGAAGCCACCACGAGGGTTATCTGCGCCACACATCCACACTCACCGAAGTACGCAACAGACACAAAGTTCAATTTTTCTTTTTGTTTAGTAGTTTAAGTGCGCTTCATTTAAAGATGTAAGTAATGCTTTTAGACCATTTACTCTCCTTAGACAAAGTTACTACTGAGCAGTTATTGTAGCATTACTGCATCATTTTAGCCTCTTGGATTCCTCACAGAAATGATTTTTGTCACCCATGTACAGGTCAAGTGTGTTTTACCTTTTTTTTTTTTTTTTTTTTTTTTTTTTTTCTGCTTTTGTTATTTATAACTAGCGCTTAAAACAAAACTGGAATTTAAAGTAGAGCTCTCCAGGAGTGAAACACAAGCAAACTGCTGTACCGCTGCTAGCTGGACTCTGTCTATTAGCTCTTATCTAAAAAGCCCCTGCAGTGAGTTACTGATGTGGGCACTCTGTAAATAGCCCCCCCCTCCCCCTCAATCTGTCCCTGTCAGTCATCCTTTACTCTCTTCTTGATATTTATCTGTGATCCTTCCTCCAAAGTCTCAACTCTTCTGGTCTGATCACTGTCTTTTAACTCAATTCATTGTTTGTTTGTGTTGCAGATCTTTATGAAACAAAATAAAGTTTGATTTAAAAAGAAAATGCTCTAAGCACGGTGGGAATTATTGCTAAATAATTTTGTCTGTTGTACCTATAAATGTCATGAATAACTTAACAGGTGTAATCTTGAACCAGCATAATTCTGCTTTTTGAATACAACTAGCATTTGCTACGGCAGTGGTTCTCAATCCAGTCCTCGAGCCCCCCTGTTCTGCATGTTTTGGATGTTTCCCTGCTCCATCACACCTGATTCAAATGATCAGCTCGTTACCAAGCTCTGTAATGGCGTAATAACGAGCTGATCATTTGAATCAGGTGTGTTGGCGCAGGGAACATCCAAAACATGCAGGACAGGGGGGGCTCAAGGACTGGATTGAGAACCACTGTGCTATGGTAAACTATTACGCTTTTATACAACAAATCTTACTATTTCCACATGGCTACATTCTGACCTCTCGAGTGATTACTAAAGCCTTTTTTTATTTTATTTTTTTCTCCCTGTACCCCATGAAAAACTGATTCTCTCCAGGAATTTTTTCCAGATTGAAGATGTCTGGTTGCATCCAGTCAATGCTGCAAGTCTGACTGCATGCAACTAGCATTAGCTTTAATTCATTATTGTTCAATAATTTACGCTCAAGTGTTTAGGATGAAACCACACAGGAGTCAGTTTGATATGTTGGACAGTTGAGTGTTGTGCAGTCAGAGTCTGAGTGCAGAGTCGTCTGTCTTCCATGCTCTTGATGCCTAAAGCTGCTTGTCTATGGAATGTCTGCTGGGATTTACCCTGGACCAGCTGCCTACTTTGCTTCACCTGCACACAGGTCTGTTGGGTCAGGATTGCAGCAGCCTGATTGACTCTGGTTTCACAGGTGGTTTAAGGTGGTTTATAGACGAAGGAAAAGAAGAAGATGCAGGTTTATAAACAAAATTTAAAAAACTGATAGTTATGCTACATACTGTCTGTAATGCTTAAAGATTACAGCTGATATTCTCCATGTAATAAAAGTATGCACTATTATTTTACCCTAATAATTTTGGCAACTGGCATTAGTGTGTGTTTTTGTGAGTAATTGTGCAACTAGCATTTTTGGGTAATGTGCAACACAAATTTTGAACATTGCAGTTCCTATAAATGCCCACTGGAGAGCAGTAAACACTCATGATTACACACACAAACCATACAGAGGTCACCCATTGTGACAAACTTACTACTTTCAAGCACCTTCTGTTAAAGCTGTATGTAAAAACATATGAATAGCAATCCCTTGAGTAGACAGTAAAACTAAAAAAGTAAAATATTCACATTTAGTTTTATCAGAGGCGGTATTGTCTTTCCACATGAAAGAGTAGAAAAACATTCTTTGTAGATGCTTTTTTTTTTAACTAATTCATTAAAACCCTCTCAAACATTAATTTTCTCAGCAGATAGTTGAATTCTATGGTGGCCAAAAACTGCCACTGCTGCAAATAAAAAACAATGCAAAAAACAAAACAAAAAAAAAAAAAAAACCACAACGACAGTCACTGATGCAAAAAAAAGAAAAGAAACTGAAGCCCGCTGCAAATGAAAAGAAGAATCGGTGTGGATAACAATAATAAAAAAACACAACAGAAGTTAGTGACACAAACAAAAAGTGGTGAGGCAAAAAAAAAAAAAAGTTACTTACTTTGAAAATAAAAGGATGCAAATAAAAAAGCCACAACGGAAGTGAGCTGCCAGGGACCAATAATGATGATGCACCAGTGTTTTACGATCTAGGCACAAAGGATGACAGCAAAAGGACGAGCAAAGAAGTTAGTGGAAAGGTTATTGTTTAATTTCTCTTCGTAAACTTTTCAACGTGTCATTTGGTTAGGCCACCTGAGTCGATATCAAGAGGATGCTGGCATAGCATCATCATTATTGGTACCGGCAGCTCACTTCCGTTGTAGCTTTTTTTATTTGCATCCTTTTATTTTTGATGTAAGTAACTTTTTTTTCCATCGCCACTTCTTTTTTTTTTTTTGCGTCGTTAACTTCTGTTTTGGCTTTTTTATCTGCACCGTTTCTTTTTATTTGTATCAGTAACTTCCGTTGTGACTTCTTTTTTAATGCATTCTTTCTTTTTTATTTGCAGCAGTGGCAGTTCTCTGTCACCGTAAGTTTCACATCATTTTACACGTTTATCAAGCACTAGATGCCAGAATAAAGCCGTTGGTTATTTACAGTTCAGTCACTCTTTTGCTTTAAGATGCTCAAGTCTGACCCCCTCCGGCCGCATGAGGAACTGCAGAGCAGCACCGTCACAAGGATACCGGCGCACCTTCATCCATCTTCATCTTCCTCCTCGGTCCAGTTCGTTTACCAACACACCGACCACACGCAACGTTGACGGCTTACCATTGTCGAAATGTCGTCTAACGGTAAGCACACAGTACTAAATCCTTGAGTCCTCTAGAAACGTGTATAAGTTTAATAACGTTTACAGCCACAGTTGTTGTGTTGACAGAGTATACCGTCGACAGTGAGAAACGTTGCCGGTTACTAGCTTGACATAAGGCGCTAGTTAGCTGTTCAACGCTCACGTCGGTTTATATAGAGTATTAACCAACTGCTTTAAAACGTGCCTGTCTAATTTACTTATATGTCGTGTGTTTGCACCGACTTGTGTAAAATACAGAGGGACCTCCCTCCTGTGAACGCTAACACGGTCATGTATTATAATGTTAGCATACACCTGCTATCGTTGTCCTCCGTTAACCGGTGAGTGATTTGGCTGGACATGCGATCTGCGAGGAGGGTCTCTACTGTGCCACTGACCCACTTTGTGAAGGCGGACCCGTCCCTCTGCTCACGTACTCACCATAGACATAAAATATTGGTTTGCAGGTGTTATAAGAGACATTAAACGTGTTTTATACCGATCAAAACATAGTAACAGTGTCTCCTGTCGCTGCTGGTTAACATGCCTCAATAGAAGTTTGTGGTGTATTTTTTAATAACAGCAACAGTCCATGCTTACCTTTTTGATTGTGTATTTTCTTCTGTCTTTAATAAGAATCGTTTAGTTTCATTTAGCCCTCCAGTCCAAACAATGGGATAAATGTTAACATTCAGTTTCTTTTATTCCATAGACTACTCCCAAACATCTGCTCAAGGGTAAGTGTTTAACACATTAATAGATACATATAAATACCTAACCAATGCAATTTCACACAACACTTTTTGTTGACATGATCAAACAGACGATTACTGTATGTTAAATCTATTATTGAGGATATATAAGGTAGTAATCAAGTGTTTTATAAGGCAAGGCACATTTTGGCAATAAGGTCAAAGTACTTAACACAGACATAAAACACATTGGAGAAATCAGAAAACGTTGAGATAAAAATTTTTTAAAAACTATTAAAAGTGGACAAAACTTTAATTTTCCTATTAATGCATGCTATTCTCTAACCAATGATTTTTGAAACTTATTTTAAATAAATAATTCCTATATTTCTGAATGGTGTTGTCTTAATCAAAAGAAATTCCGCACATAATTCACCTCAGAGCGTCTCACCAAGGATTAAAACTCACAGATTTGTCTTATTCTGCGATGAGTTACAGCCTTCATGCTGAGCTCTTTAAAAAAGTTATCCTCATTTTCCTGCATTAACTTTTTTAAAGAGCTGGTCCAGGTTTTATCTGAACTTTGATATTCTCTTATTTACACGCAGCTATGGGTCCTACGGTGGAGGTGGTGGAGGCGGTGGAGGCAGTGGAGGTGGTGGCAGTAACCAAGGCTATGGTCAGTCCTCTGGCCAGAGCTACAGCCAGCAGGGCTATGGAGGCTACAACCAGAGTTGTGACAGCGACTCTGGCTCCTATAACCAAGGAGGATATGGCAGCTATAGTCAATCCCAGTCAGGTAGAGAGAAAGACTTCTTCAAAACCTCACAGGGTTCCAGTCACACATGTTGATGTTACTGTCAGTCTTAACCATGTTTTGTCTCCTCCATTCCCCCCTAGGTGGATATGGCTCTCCATCTTCCAATCAGGGAGGCGGCGGCGGTGGTGGTGGTGGTGGTTTTAACCATTCTGGTCAGTCTTATGGTTCTGGAGGCTACAGCAGCAACCAGTCCTCTAACATGAGCTACAACCAGCAGTCATCCTTCTCTGGGTACAACCAGCAGCAGTCTCCTCCATCATCCTCTGGAAGGTGAGGCAGCAGGACCTTCTACTTCTGAAGTTTAAATTTACAGATTCATCACATATTTGGACAGGACTTGTTGGCCATCAAATACTTGTATTTTACTGTCTCATTGTGCCTCTATTTGAGAAATGTACTCAATTAAGTGCAACGCTAAAATGGTAAACTGGAAAACAACATGTACTGTAAAATAGGGCTGCCTCGATACGAAATTGATTTTGGATATCGTTCCGATATCAGCCAAACAACAAATATCAGATTATATCGGCCTGCATCTAAAATCTCTGATATCAGCACTTCGATACAAGCAGTCCATTCCAGACTCCACTCCAGCACCTCGAGCTAGCAGCACCCGGATCCAGCAGGCACAGCCCACATGATCACAACAACAGTGTGTACTAAGGTACTAAAAAGTAGCAAGGAGTAGGAGTGATGTCGGCCCTGTGGCAGTGTTTTTCGTCAACGTCCGAAAAAGACTTTGCAGCTGATTCCAAAACTCTTCATGTGCAAGTTTGTGCCAATATTGGATCAATATCTGTATCGGCCAATACTGAAGGCTACAAAATCAGTATCATATCGGAAGTAAAAAAGTTGTATCGGGACACCCCTACTCTAGAACACACCCTTCTGCAGAGTTTACTGACTGCGCTCACAGTAAGTTGTTTGAGAGGACTGATGATTATTAAAGGGAATAATGTCTTTCACTTTGAACAGCTATGACAGCAGCCCACAGGCTCCCAGCAGCTACAACCAGCCACCAAGCGGTGGACAGAGTGGAGGTAGTTATGGCGGCAGTGGAGGTCAAGCTGGGGGCTATGGGGGCAGTGGGAGCCACCCACAACCACCCCAACATGGAGGGGGACACTACAACCAACCATCAGGCCATTATTCCCCCCCTCCACAGAGCTACAGTCAGCAGAGTCAGTTTGGTCAAGGTGGAGGTGAGGGACAAATTGTATGTTGTGTATTTATCCCGATGAGGAATTATTATAAAGTTTTTGATTTTCGAATACAACATCGTCACTCACTGGAAAATCTGTTGACATCTGATTGACTCAACCCTCTCAGGTTATGGTGATGAAAGCCCTCCCATGAGTGGAGGAGGGGGTGGAGGGTACGGTAGCCCCGATGGTGGCTACGGAGGTCAGGACACCCGTGGTGGCAGGGGCCGTGGCGGTGGATTCGGTGGTCGTGGTGGTGGAGGATACGATCGCGGTTTTGACAGAGGTGGACGAGGTGGACCAAGAGGTCGAGGAGGAATGGGGTAAGTGTCAGCGGCTATACCTCTTCCAGATTTGTGAAAAGACACTGAATTAAAACACGCTGCTGCACACTGACTGGAACTTAGCCATGGATGAGGCAAGGAAAATGAAACAGGAGAGAGAGCTCTGGTCAGCATTTGTGAATACGTGAAAGAGTTATTGAGTGACGCATTTTGATGTGTCAACACTTGCTTTTGAGGAAAATGAATTTTGAGAATTTTCACAAAGCAACTGAAAGGCTTTGAGTGCAGTGATGGCTGCACAAAGCGTCATGGGTTTTTGTTTACTGGGTTGAAAACAAGCTAAAACACATGAGAAGGTTATCTTTATTTCCCGGCACCTATGAGATACAGTTAAAATCGAGAGCTACAGCATAATTTAGTCGTGTAAAAGCAGTCCTGATCAGTTATTTAATAATGCCACTGTAGCTATCACCAATATCATTACACTCTACTTTGTCATTTGACATTATGAACAAGACAAATGCATGGATAGGTGTGTGGATTTACATATTTAACACCACTACTTTGAGATTTTTGTAAAACTTCTTTTTTTGGGCTGTTTAAACAATCAACCACAGACATGTCTGCAAACAAGCAAATGTGTAATGGGAACTGTTGTCAAATCCTGAAACAGGAGTTAATTTATAGAAACATGTGATCAGTCAGCCCACCTTTTAAAGCTACGGTAAACCCATTAGTGCCTGAAGAGTTGGCACGAATAACACAACGTTGCTAAAACTGTTCCCAGTAACATAAATGTTGCGGAATATTGTCAGGATGCACAATAGCATCATTTTATCAAAACAACAGCAGGAAAAATCGAGTGTTAACTCACTACAGGATGGACTGGATGGTCCATTAAAGTCTATCTGGTGTAATTAAATAAAAAAAATGTAGGTGCATTTATGTCACTGTTAACTAAAACAAGTTAGCAAATCTTTTTATTTGGGTTAGCATCGGTTGAATCACTGGAACCTTTTGTGTGGTGACAGTCCTTTGTAAAAAAAAAAAAAAAAAGAGAAATTATGCCTGTTGTCGGGAAAAACAGAAAATGACTGAAGCTCAATTAGGGACACCACCAGTGTAAAAACAGAGTTGTATAGCAGGACATGACAGTAGTATGTCAAACTCTGACCTGGGCTTTGGTGTTCACAGTCGACAGCATGTCAGGTAGGGTTTGGAGTCATGTGTAAAGGTACCTCTTTCTGACACTACATCACCAACAGCAAGTCCACATTATGATACATCATGATTAAAACACTGACAGGTACAGGTGTACAGCTGCAATGAACACCCTAATGACTAATTTGGAGCTGAAAATGATTCTCCAATAATAGTGCATATACAAGAACCAGGTGAAACCTGTTGGGTCGAATGGTCAGTGGGTTCAACTTACAAAATAAATGTTTTGCATTGAAACATGATCCTTCCTCGGTATCACAATCTCAAGAGTCTTTGTTTCTACATGAGACAGAAATAAAACCGTGGGATGGCATGAGGAAGGTGCTAAAGTTTAATCAAAGAAGTTCATTATATGAGTTTTTTTGAAACGTCAGAACAGTGCCTCATTGAAAAATTGAAAAAAAGAGCCGACACACGACATTAAAGCTGAAATGCAACATACAACCACTGCACAATGGTGGAGATTCACGTGGTTTGAGGGTGTAAGGTGCATGGTGGTGGTGTTGCAGATCCAGGGAAAAGTACACACAGGTTGACTACAGGTTGAGACTCAAGCCCTTTGCACAAAAGGGAAACCCCTTTGAATTAAGCAAAAGCTGCATTTCTGCTCAAACTCAGAAAAAAAAAACAATACAAAAAAACTGGATCAACAACAACAACAAAAAAATCCAATATCATGATATAAAAAAAGATGTCAATATCGTCAGACAAAAAAGAACAGAGACCTAACACAATTCAAAAACTTGAAAGAACATCGTCAACATGTTGGTACAGCTATGACGCAGGAGCTGGTATGGTAAGTTGATTCTTTTTTTACTCACAGGTTGCCCAATGTCTCATTTACTTCCTTGTAACCTCATAATGTTGAAGATGAACTCATAGCTGAAACAGTTTGTCATTTCATTCAATGTTCCTTCATTTATCATTGACTGTATTCTGATCTTTTTCCCCTCTTTTACAATATTCAGAAATTAACACCCAATACATCTGCTTAATGTCCTTTTAAATAGTACAGATAGTACAGAGCAAAGTTTATCCATTTATCTCCAAAACATCATTAAAGGAGACCTATTGTGATTACGCACATCTTGGTGCATATTTGTAATGTCAAGTCACTCAGCATTAGACATACATGTGGCATCGTAAATCCATGCTGTGTTTTCTATCTGCTTTAAGAGCTCATTTCAAGACATGGCCTCAACCTGATGTCAGGTTGTGCCATCCTTTAAGGAAAAGGTTAAAAGACAAGACCACCTAGAGGGTCTATTTAGGACGGTCCATCTGAAGTTTGTTAAAGGTCCCCCCGCTCTGCTTCGGTTTTTGTTGATTTGTCTGAGGAAGTTGTCATTCAGTATAATCTAAGGACAGTTAGATTTTTTCTTTTTGCCCCAAAAAATAAAGACACCAGAAAACAGTGGGAAGTTTTTATGATATTGATGGAAAAGCAGCCAAATACACCGTAGCTTTTCAAGCAGTGGCTGAATATTGCAGAAATGACAGTTTGCGGTTTATGTGTAAGATGAATAAGACTTTTTGGATGCAAAGCTACAGTATAAGTATAATAGGTCTCCTTTAACAATGACGCGTTTAAATCATTGTTAATTGGAATGCTTGAATAGTTTTGGAGGAGTGGTGACTCAAAATTTGAAAACCAAAGAACAAACGTGTAGCTATTCTACATGGAATGGCTTGATGGAAGAAAATATGTAGTTCACTTTAAAGAAAAAGACACATTTACCCAAGACACAAAATATGACTCAGTACATGAAGGGATCTAATGGTATCAAAATCTCTCCAGTATGGTATCGATTGTGGAATTGAAAAAGAGAAAAGAGACTTGTGAAAATTGGAAAAAACTGCCTTCTGTATAGTTCAAAGTAGTTTATCAAGTCCACCAGCCCATGGTGAGTAGGATGCACTCTGCTTGCTTGAGGTAGGTCTAGCCTTTGTCTCTTAGTAGAGAGCTACAGATAGTGTTGAACCAAAGTGTGGCAGTAATGGGAATTTGTACTTTGGCTCCAGTGTGTTTACTAAAGAACATGTCTGTAGGTCTCTGTCTCTGGCTGTAGATCTAATCATCCCCTGAGCTTTCACACTGCTATGAGGAAGTGAGACTGTGAACTCTTTTAACCTGACTGGATCTTTTTTCTTGTATTGTCAAAACTTTTCAGAGTGACAGTTCGGAAAGTTCCCTCTCATATTATTTAAATTCCCAGACATGTTGTTCACAGCAGTTTGGCAGTGTCTTCTTAATGTTTTACATTTGTCTGTCACTCTTTCTCATTTCTCCGCACGTCACATTCAAAAGCTGCTGGAGAATCAAATTACAAGTTGCCTCTCGATTCTTTGTTTCCACTCTTAGTAGTTTTAGGTGAGGCAGCGAGTGGAGCACAGAGGACATTGGCATCTGTAATTCCCATTACGCTTCACTTTGCTCCGCTGAAACAAAGCTGTTTTATACCGTCACTGGTCCACCATTATATGAGGATGCTTTAGTCCCCACAGAACTACAAAACTGATGGTACCGTTACATCCCTAATTACACCCACGAATTACTCTAGATTTAAGATGTTAACCTTAATATTTGATGTATGTTTTGCCTTATTACACCATATATGTAGTCCGAACTGTGTCATTTGTCAGCAGTAAGTTGCCAAAGTGGCAACTTGAGTCAGCCCCACAGATTTGTGTTCAGACCTAAAGCAAAGGGAAATTTTGCCCTAATTTCCCTGCATGAAAATGACCATGCAACCATCCACAATCATTTATACACTCACCGGCCACTTTATTAGGTACACCATGCTAGTAACGGGTTGGACCCCCTTTTGCCTTCAGAACTGCCTCAATTCTTCGTGGCATAGATTCAACAAGGTGCTGGAAGCATTCCTCAGAGAGCTTGGTCCATATTGACATGATGGCATCACACAGTTGCCGCAGATTTGTCGGCTGCACATCCATGATGCGAATCTCCCGTTCCACCACATCCCAAAGATGCTCTATTGGATTGAGATCTGGTGACTGTGGAGGCCATTTGAGTACAGTGAACTCATTGTCATGTTCAAGAAACCAGTCTGAGATGATTCCAGCTTTATGACATGGCGCATTATCCTGCTGAAAGTAGCCATCAGAAGTTGGGTACATTGTGGTCATAAAGGGATGGACATGGTCAGCAACAATACTCAGGTAGGCTGTGGCGTTGCAACGATGCTCAATTGGTACCAAGGGGCCCAAAGAGTGCCAAGAAAATATTCCCCACACCATGACACCACCACCACCAGCCTGAACCGTTGATACAAGGCAGGATGGATCCATGCTTTCATGTTGTTGACGCCAAATTCTGACCCTACCATCCGAATGTCGCAGCAGATATTGAGACTCATCAGACCAGGCAACGTTTTTCCAATCTTCTATTGTCCAATTTCGATGAGCTTGTGCAAATTGTAGCCTCAGTTTCCTGTTCTTAGCTGAAAGGAGTGGCACCCGGTGTGGTCTTCTGCTGCTGTAGCCCATCTGCCTCAAAGTTCGACGTACTGTGCATTCAGAGATGCTCTTCTGCCTACCTTGGTTGTAACGGGTGGTTATTTGAGTCACTGTTGCCTTTCTATCAGCTCGAACCAGTCTGGCCATTCTCCTCTGACCTCTGGCATCAACAAGGCATTTCCGCCCACAGAACTGCCGCTCACTGGATATTTTTACTTTTTCGGACCATTCTCTGTAAACCCTAGAGATGGTTGTGCGTGAAAATCCCAGTAGATCAGCAGTTTCTGAAATACTCAGACCAGCCCTTATGGCACCAACAACCATGCCACGTTCAAAGTCACTCAAATCACCTTTCTTCCCCATACTGATGCTCGGTTTGAACTGCAGGAGATTGTCTTGACCATGTCTACATGCCTAAATGCACTAAGTTGCCGCCATGTGATTGGCTGATTAGAAATTAAGTGTTAACGAGCAGTTGGACAGGTGTACCTAATAAAGTGGCCGGTGAGTGTATATGTTCAGCAAAACCTGCAAAGTTTTTGTTGTCCAACACAGACAGTATATTAGAATTTTTAAAGCAATCATGGCTGGGTTCATGACCTTACCAGAGTTGCATCATACTCGGAGACATAATTATGTTTTTCTCAGAGACCCTCCTTACTTCATGGGGCTATTTGAGTTTCACCAGTGTCCAGTTCGATGACCTGTAAGCAAGGATTTGAGTCACAGGATACCCCAGATGGATGCAAATTAGTGCTATTTATTTAAGATGGAGAGCTCAACTTTCACTTTATCTTAAATATACAAGCGCTGATGGGATTTTATTGCTCAAAAGGACCGTAGAAGGTTGCAAAAGAACATCATGATGGACATTTGTAAAAAGTATTGATTGATTAGTTGATGATGCTTAAAAAAGATAAACAAGACTTGAAATTGCTTGTTTTTGGAGCTCTAAACAACTGTTATCTGTGTTGACCCACTGACTATCATCAAATGTTGCTGGAGTGGCAACTAACTTTTCAGGGCTTCCAGAAGCCATCAGCAACAAAGGACTCCTCCCCAGATCTGCTCAGAGGAGGGGACGGTCAGCCAGTCACACACTTTGTGGATTGACTCAGTTCATCCTGTGCATTGTCAGCCGATCACTCTGAAGTCCTGTTAGACTGCAAGATTTTACGAGATTTCCAGTTTTTAGAATTTTAATCCTTGGCTTTGTGCTGATGCGTTACCTTGTCTTCCTGGGCCTGGTAAGAAATTAGAATTTGCTTTTAATCTGAACACATCACAAGATGCCACACTACATAATCGCTACCTGCCCTTTTCACCTGTCACCGCCCCTCCCCAACCAACTCCTGCAGGATCACTGTGTCATTCTCTGCTTTAATCAACCTTTGAATCTTCTCCTAGGCTTTTACCTTCTCTGCTGGCTGGCTTTCTACTCTTAAGCCATCATTTGGAAAATGCAAAATGGGGAGAGTCTATAGACATGGTATTGTCTTTCTGTAACCTGGAGAATAACCGGCCTACAGAAATACCCTAAAAATTGGGAAAGGCAATTGTGAGAAAATCAACAAAAATCAACCGTTCAGGGATTTTCTAATAAGTAGGAAGAGGAGAGGTTGCCCAAGACCTGAAAAAATACCCAACATGTATCAGGGAGCCAAAGGTGTTGATGTATGGGTTGGTTAAATGAAGAAAATAAATTTATATAATGAAATTAAATGGGTACATACAAGTCACTCAAAGACTTGGTATTAAGGGTAAAATTGCAGTTGCTTGTAAAAACACTGACAAGGTCTTTAAACTGGCCTCTTGTCCTCAATGTGTATTGAAGAAACTTTGAACAATATAAAGGATGGGTTCAGCTGAACAAAGAGGGGTGGGTTTCACTGAAAGAGAGAGAAAGTGAAGGTTACCCACAACCCACTGAGAGAAATCGCTGTCAGCACCAGCCTTCAATGCTTGTCGTTTCTCTCTTCCTCCTCATCAGAATGGGCGATCGTGGAGGATTCAATAAGTTTGGTGGTAAGTGACAAGTAAAACACTTGCGAAAAGGTTTGATGTTTTTACTCTAGGCTTAGATGAGGGGAGATGAATATACATAAACGCATGACGCTGGTAAATTCATGGTGATTTTGTGTGTGGTTTGTGATCGAACTTAAGTATTAGATCCACAAACCGGCTTCCAAAAAGTTGGGCTGCTGTGAAAAATGTTCACCAAAAACGGTTTGTGAACATTATTTTAAGTTTTTTTTTATTAAAAATAGTTCCAAGACAAGATATGATAGGTTGAAGCATTTTTCAGTGTTTTCAGAAATACCCCATATGCTCATAAATAATTGGATGTCAGCAACATTTTTAAAAAAGTTGAGCAAGGGACAACAAATTACCAAAAAAGTTCTGTAATTAAAAAAAAAAAAACACCCAGAAGAATATCTCCCAACCAGTGAGGTTAGTTTCGACAGGTTAGTGACATGACATAATGAAGAAAATCTTTCCAGAGAGGCTGAGTCTCTCACAAGTAAAGATGGAAAGATGGTTCACCACCCTGTGAGAGACTATGTGAGCAGATAGTTTAACAATGCCAAGATAATGTTCTTCAGTGAAGAATCTAGAAAGAAATGTTTGTACAGAGAGAGTTCAAGACTGTGTGACCCTGATCTATGGGCCATCAAGCATTAAAAACAGACATGACTGTAGTGGGAGTCACTGCATGAGCCAAAAGGACATCCACAACCCACTGTTTGTTGCTGCATTCACAAATGTAGGTTATAACAGCACCATGCAGAAAGGGAGCCATATATGAAAATGATCCTGAAACGCTCACCACATCTCTTTGGTCTGACAGGTCAAATTTGGCGTTCTTTTTGGAAATCATGGACCTGGTGTCCTCTAGTCCTAACAAAAGAGGGGCCACCTAGCCCCATATCAGGGCTCGGTTCAAAAACAGCATCTGTGATGGTATTGGGATACATTTGTGATATGTGGCATGAGTGGCTTAAAAATCTGGGACAATTGAGACAAGAATGAAATGAGTGATTCAACAAGAAAGACCCTGAACTGTCAGGAAGCAAAAATTTTATGACATGTCAAATGTAAGTTTTTACATTTGATGTGCAGTCTTTGCACGATTAGAATAGCGTGTGGGTTTAATTGATTTGCAAACAATCAAATACGTACTTTTTACACAGCGTCCCAACTTTTTGGGAATTGGTTTTATAGTTTTATAGTAAAAAGTTCAAACCCGAAATTCAGCCTTTATAGCTACTCTGATTTGTCTGATTATACACTGGAGTAAAAAAAACAGTGAGAGAGATGATCCCAACTTTTGGGGCGCACAACTTTAAAACCATCCTAAAGGCTTATTTCATATTTTTTTCTATGAAACACAAGCTTACAGTTTGAAACTTTGGTAGAACAGCACAGCTCCAAAGGTAAGAACATCCTAGGTGTGTGTTTGGATCATGCTACATTGTATGCTCCTCCACACAGGGATTGAAAATATCCAGCAGGGGGAGTTATATTGTAGATAATAGCCTTACTAGTAGGAGTTTTCTTTTCCTTTTTTTTTTTTTTTTTTTTTTTGACAATGCAAATTGATGGGTATTAAATTTAGAGGGTGTTTACAAGCCTTTGTCTGGTGTTCTGTGAGTTATATGATCATACTGTAGTGTGTCAAAAAAATAAGTTATGTAAGAATTAAAAGGTAAAAAAAGATGTTTCATGTATGGAAACATGATTCAGGTTGTATACCAAACAAATGGTAGAAACAATATTTGTTTCCCCAAGATGTAAGAATGGAAAATCTTGCCTATCAACAGCATAAATGTCAAATGTCCATAAAGTAGAAAGCTTCAAAACTGGTGTGCTTGCATAGCTGTGAAATGTTGTAGAGGCCAGACTTGATAACACGCAACTTGATCCCATCTGAGTTGTTCTAATAACGAGAGGAAAGTTTGTGGTTTCTCAACAATGCGGTTGGGTAGAACAATTAACCAGGGCATGGTAAAGCTTAAGACAGCACAAAGTTGCTTCTATTTTTTAATCTGTTTTATTTTTTCCACAACTAGACATCCAAAATAGTCCAACAGATCTGTTTGAATGTGTTTGATTAGTATAAGCAACTAAAGGCAGTATAATTTGTACTTTTGCTCTCGGTATTCCCAAACAGATGTTTTAAAATGATATAATGGTGGTTGTAACAATGTGAAACAGAGGCCAGTGTCAAGACAGAGTCTGTGCAGATTAAAACTTCACAAAGGTTTCTAATTTTAGGGCTTAGGAGCTGGGAAAGTCTTGTGCAGCGGTTGTTTGGTTTGATCTTTTATGATTACATGATCCTCCCAGTCAATCATCCTTTGTATGATTTATGGACCAGCAATCGCGGCACTATTTAGTTGCTTTTGGACTGGGATCCAAAGCAGGATCCTCTGACTGCCATGCCAAGGTAGCCTGGGATAATAACTTTGAAATCACATTACATCAATGATAAAAGTATTAATAATTGGGTTTGCCATTCTTTTATGTGGGAAAATTAAAATTTTGGCTGGACATTTAAAAGAATTTGTCCAGACTATAGGGTAAAGGAGCTATCATACGAGATCTATTCAAATCCTTGAATGCAGAGGAGTTGATAAGGAGAATTGTTTTTGAAGACGTGGAAATCTAAAAAAAAGAAAGTAATAGAGATTATAAAAAGGCATACCACAGTTGAGTAGTTATTGCACATTAAATATGTCTACCAAGAGTTGTTAATTATACACAGGTAACTTTCCTGACTGTGGTAATGTGGTGATACTAGAATGTGGCTATTGTGCCGAAAGCTGCTCTCTGAACAACAATGAGTCATCAACAAGTTGTGCCAAGATAAATACCGACTTGCCAGTTTTTGGAGTGACAGTCACATTAATTATCATGTTGGTGCAAAGCTCGTTTTAAAGATGGAACTTATTATTATTATTATTATTAGTCAGCAGCTCCTGAGACTCCGGTTGATCAAGCCTCAAATTAAATCTGTCTTAATGAAAAGGTGTAACCAAAAACAACAAAGTGTTTTAATAACCCTCTGTGACAACTCCAGAACCAGAGGTTGGTGTACACAATAGGACGACTGAACTTGATTTATCACATCGAATATCGTTTTCAAATTCTGTTGAACTCTTGGGATGTTGGATTTGATTTTCCTACTTCCAAAGTATGTTGGGACAATTTCACATCTTCAGATGTGTAAAACTTAAGTTGACAAAGGAGTGAATGACCTGGATTACATGAGTCCAAGGTTTATATAAAAAGGAATTGTTTTGAACTTGGTTCTGAGACTTGTGTTAAAGGAAGTGGTTCATAGTGTACCAGAGGATGCATCATCAATGCTTTGACTTGTGAAGTATTTGAAACATCATTCATTAGAGCTCTAACTGTGTGGCTCCTCATGAATTCAACACGGTTGGGTTTACTTTGCGGAGCAAAAACAACAAACAATGACATGGGAAAGTGAGAGAAGTGTGGTGGTTTTTCTGGGGTTTCAAATCAACCTGAATGCATTATGGGACTTAAAAGGACTTGAGCTGAACAGCTTGATGCCTGTCCCTGTGAAGTCCATGCACAAGTGCTCTGAATTTTGGTCATCACACAGAGTTTGGGACAAAGTTTGAAGGCAGGGATGTAAAAAAAAAAGGGCTTATTTATGAAGTCTTAACAGGCCACCATGGATTGTGGCTCTTATGTGTAGATAAATACTAAATTGAGTCTGAACACTGATGCAGTAATGGGGAGAAAAAGACAATATTTAGTGTTGTGCGGGGTGTTCGTTCAGGGATTATAACTTTTCCCTTTCAAGAATTAATCTCTGTGTTTTGCCCTTTAAAGGACCAAGAGACCCAGGACATGGACATGGAGGACCAGGCTATAGTAAGTCCATTAAGATTTAATTTTGCTCGGCCAACAAGAAGACATGAAGCCAGTCTTACAGTTTTTATCTTTAGCCACTTCTAGAATAACACTTATCCAAACAATATGAATTTATTGATCTTTTATCATGTTTTTTATGTTCAAATGTTGAAGTCTGCTAGGAAATATCAAATAGAATTTAATTGTTAGACATTGTTGACCTCCTCCCATTGACAGTAATCGTATAAACACAATGGTTCTCTTGACCCCCTTTCTGGACGATTACTGTGCAAAAGAGGGGGTTTTCTTGAAGCTTTCATTTAACTTTTCATTGATTTCATGAACCCAGTGAAGGGATGATACTTGTCCAAAGAGACACTTTACTTAAGTAGTACTCATAATTAGAAATTCTCTGTTTGAAAGACATGGTTTTCTTTACCTTCTCCAATTGATGATACTGGACTCCGAGCTGGTTTTTATTGAACATTTTTGATGGACAATATGGACAATGGACAATTCTTAAAAAAAGATGAGTATCTTGAACTTCTCACAGAGATTACCCCTCCCTAGCAAAGGCTTTTCCAAACACTTTCAATAGAAAACACTTGGTCACATTAGATGGTTTTCTTGACCTGAAATAATAAAATAATCCTAAAGTGTTTGCTTCCCTCTGATCAAAGATCAGTCATAGCTATGTTTGTGACATATTACCGGCATTGAACTGTCAAGGCCGGTAGGTTTAGACAGCCGTGGATCCAATCAAAGTATTATACAGACACTGAGAAGTCCTCTTTCATTTTGACCTCTTGATGCTTCCTTCCCCCACCGAAATGCGACTTATTTTTGACCTGGGCCTTTTCATATCTCGACTTAAAACTTATTTATTTATGCTGGCATTTAATACCCAGTAGCGTTGTGACACTTCATTTTATTGCATTGTATCTTTTTTTATTGCTTTTAGTGTTTTTGTTCATTTTTATTTACTATGTATTGTAAAGCACTTTGGTTCACCAAAAAGGGTTGTTGTAAAGGGCTGTATAAAAAAAAGGACACATACATTTACATGTGTCTTTCATTCTCTTTCTACAGTGCAAGACCAGGATAACTCTGACAATAACACCATCTTTGTGCAAGGCCTGGGGGATGACTACACTGTCGAGTCAGTCGCAGACTTCTTTAAACAGATCGGGATCATAAAGGTAGCTTCTAATCACCACTTATTTTGAAGTGATCAATATTATCAATGTGCTTTTAAATCTTAAATCTCTGCTGTCCATCATTTAGGTCAACAAGAAGACGGGCCTGCCAATGATCAACCTTTACACCGACAGAGAGACCGGGAAACTAAAGGGGGAGGCCACGGTTTCCTTTGACGACCCTCCCTCAGCCAAGGCTGCGATCGACTGGTTTGATGGTGAGTCTATTGTTGCTCACACACAAGTCTAATTACAACCCTCTTTATTAAACAAGCATACTAGGAAGAAAGGTAATTAGAGGATTTAAAAAGTTGGTGTACTGAAGAGTGTGATGAAAGAGTGTGGGAGTTAAGGCGTAAGGTATAGAGGCTTTTTAATTGCTACGCTCTTTCTTTTAACCTAGATGTTTTTACTCCACAGGCAAAGACTTCAACGGAAATCCTATCAAAGTGTCTTTTGCCACCCGCAGAGCTGACTTTGGAGGTCGAGGAGGCATGAGGGGAGGTCGAGGACGAGGTGAGCCTCTCTTACAAGGAGCCTCGTCTCAGTCGAGATAAAGATCAAAAATGTATTTTTGACTTTGCAGAACATTTTGTATTCTTGATAATTGTCAGGTTGAGAAAGAATGTTCACTGTGAGGCCGTCATGACAGTAAAATGATCCTGAGTCATGAATCTGTTGTATAATCAATTGCAGCGAGGATAGATTGAACCCTTCACGTTTTCTCATTGTTCTACCGTCTGTCTAGGGCCAATGGGCCGTGGTGGGTTTGGAGGGGGTCGAGGTGTAGGTTTCCCAGGAGGCAATGGGGGTGGAGGTGGAGTCGGGGGAGGAGTTGGAGTCGGAGGAGGTGGAGCAGGAGGACAGCAGAGAGCTGGAGACTGGAAGTGTACGAACCCGTAAGTTTGGATTTTCAAAATGTAAATATTAATGTTTGAATAAATCTGAAATGATAAAGAAATTTAGTGTGTCTGCCCAACATTTACTACGCAAGAAAAAATCATTTCAGTGAAATCTTTTATATACAGTCAGTGCAGTTTTACTTATGAAATGTTTTAATGGTAGGTTTTCGTCAGCTCTTTTAATTGCTTTGGTATGTTAGAACATACAATATATGTAGTGATAAAAATCAATATAGTGAGTTTAGATCTTAATAGATCTGTAACTATACGTTGTTACAGATGATTTTTTTGGTTAGTTGTGCAACTTTTAAGAAAACAGAAATCATATCTTTCCCTGCAGGAACTGTGGGAATCTGAACTTTTCGTGGCGTAACGAGTGTAACCAGTGCAAAGCCCCTAAACCAGAGGATTCTTGTGGGATGCCCCCAATGGAAAGAGGTTTGATTCTACTTTTTCTTTTTTTTTTTTTTTTTTGTTGACCAATTTTTAAATACTGCCTGTCAGTCATTGTCAGTATTGTACAGGCTGGTTGAACTGGCCCGGGCTTTCAGAGGTCATGATCAAACCACTTTGTACAGCAGGAAATGGTCCTAATAGAGCTGTTTAGTGAACTGTCTCTTTTTAAAATGATTGGATAAGGAATGAATAACAGACTTCAAATGAATACTTAACAAACAGAGGTTGCATTGTTATCCGAGCTCAGCCTTAATTTGATGTTGGTAGTTGTAAAGTATAGCTCTACCAACTTCCTGCAACCAATTCACAGATACCAGCTATTTTAAGCAGACCAGCACTCCATAAAGTTCATGTACTTCATAGTATACCACTTTTTCTTATGGCAGATACATCTCAGAGGTTAAATGACAGGTTCATGTTTGTACCAAAAGAACTAATCCAAGTTTAGTAACACAGTCAGCAGCAGCTTCTCTCTCTCCTGCCCTTTTAATCAGATCTCCTTTGGCTGCAGCAACTCCTCTTCCTGTGGTCTGCAACAAACAAACAAAACATACAAACATACATAAAATTCAACAGAACATCACAAACAAAAAAATACACAACCAATCATATCATAGAGGACAACAGCAAGAAATACAACAAATATTACACGCTGGATGAAGGCTCCTACATTGAAACTGGATTTTTGGGCGGTGGGGGGGCAACTAACTCAAGACCTGTTTTACTTTTAAGACTTAATTTTATTTCCTTTTTAATTTTAATTAATTTAATAATGTAATTAATTTAATTCCCTCCAGTTCTTTAGTGAAATGCGCACACACGCACACACACAGTGATCACAGGAAAACCACTATTAGAGTTTTGTTTGCAGTAAAATCTAACCCAATCAGAATTAATGATCCAACTCAGAAGAAGAATGTTAAAAAGTAGCTGCTGAGTCTACCTTGCCAACTTCCCCACCATGGGATGAATAAAGGTAAATCTATCTTATCTTGTCGTCATGTGTCCAGCATGTTTTTGTTTTCCCAGCAGAGCGGTTGCTTCCTTGTACGAGCGCCTTTCTCTGCATATTTCCAGGTCTTTTTTTTATGTAACTTAATAACCAGGAAGTCCTATTGATTCCCACCGGTGCTCACTGGAAGTGCAACTTCTACAGCAAATATTTCAATAACAATGTGCATGTTTATGTCATAGCTTTGTTAATAGCCACTCATAACCATACATTAGAGGAGGATTGAATTACCATGAGTCACCCCTGAGCATTATTCTGTTGAAGACAGCAGTCGTTTACAGCAGCTTACTGCAGGTTTGTTTGCAGTTTGTAATCTCACCTCAGGGTCAGAGTAATAAAAGCCTGCGCTTCCTCTCAGCTGTTTACAAATTGTCATCGAATGACTTGTTCTGCTACAAGGAGGTTTCGGAGGAGAGCGGCGAGGGGGATTCGATCGGGGCGGATTCAGGGGCCGAGGCGGTGATCGCGGGGGCTTCAGAGGGGGCCGCGGAGGTGACCGGGGAGGATACGGGCCTGGCAAGATGGATGCAAGGTGAGACACACAAAAAGGCGATTTAGCAGCCTATGTAACAGCTGATTTTTTTAGTGGTAGTAGTTCATTCAACACTTATTAGCCCTGCTTCTTCTTAGCTTCTTTGGCCAAGTGTAAAAGGTTAAAAATCAGGTTTATCATGAGCTCAGAAAGATGATAAAGGTTCTTTTGTTTGCTGAGTTATTGGAGCACAGAGTGAAAACACTGGGACTAATACTAAAGGGCCAGTTTGTAGATTTGCAAACATGGAGAAAAGAACTTTCCATATGAAGCCTCTCTGAGAAGTCCCACGTTTGCCCTGTTCATCAGCATTTCATTTGCATAAAACCTACACTGTTAAAACATCTGCTCACCTTGAAGTCACTGCTCATTGGTCAGATGCTGGTGATGTCATCTACGTGTTGTTTTTTCTTTCTTAGGGGTGACCGCAGACAGGAGCGGAGAGGCCGTCCTTACTAAACAGTCCTCTGAGGACAAACAGTCCATCCTCAGAACAAAGACCAGTGTGTGTTCACCCCGTCCATCCACACTTGAACCAGCCTGAACTCTTCACACCTCCTCCTTATCAACTCCGTCATTCAGCGTGTTGAAAAATGTGACTTCCCCTGTTCTCTGTTGTTTCCAGTCCGTCAGTTCTTTCTAGTCCAACTCCACTCCCTCTTCTGCTTGACGAGGCCTCAATCACAGCGAGCATCAAATTACACTTAAAGAAAAAGAGGATTTTCTTTCGACATTTCTGAGCTTCTGTCAGAATGCTTGTGATTTTTTTCCCTCCTCATTACCGACACCTGCTCAGAAACTTAATACACACAGACAGAAATGTTTTAAACAAGCTAAACCAGTTACTGAGCAGGACTTTTTGTTTCTTTTCCTCCAGTTTCAAATGAAAAAGCCAATAGATGTATTTCTTTAGAATGTACATTCATTAGAGGTTTTCATTGACAGAAACTCAACACTCCTCCTTTTGTCTCCTTGTTTTTATTGGAAGTATGTGATCCAAGACGTACACCTGCACAGGTCACACCTCTTTAATGAGATTTATTTATGTCGCTGTTTGTATTTCCCTTCAACAAACACGCTCCATTCACTCAACAGGTTTGACATGTTGATGAAAAAAGTCGTTATTTAACGAGGGTGCTGCTCATATAAGGTGACACAATTGAGAAAACTGCACATTGATGGTTTCAGCCTATTAAAAAGACAGCAAGAGCAAAAACGATTTATTTTTGTTTTCTCTGATAATTAGTTTGTTGCAAAGTCTGATATTTCGCTATTAAAATATAATCAAATCATTTTTTTAAAAAAAGGGGAAAAAAATGTGTTTTTTCTCATCAAACTGCCTGTCGATGTCAGCTCTGCATCGCACAGTGACGATTAAGCTGCACTACAATTTAGTTGGCATCAACTTTTGTAACCTGGGGATTTTTAAACCTGTTAGATGGCTGCTGTTCTGTTACCGTCAGACTCCTTTTGAAAGTGTTTAACTGCTACAGCTGCTGTGGGAGGTGATGACTGTACTGGTGAGAAAAAAGCAAGGCCGGGATCATGGGAGAAATTAGTTTAATGTTATTTTAATGTAACCAGTCATGGCTTAAAAAAACATGAACCCATGGTTGCAATAGTTGCAGATTTACTAGCTTTTCCTCAATGCAAAATTAGCTCCTGATGTAAGATTTTGTTTACAAGTTTACAAGATTTGTGTTTTTTGAGAACATGAACAAGGTAGAGATTACTGGCACATAATATTTATACAGATACAGACTTTTCACATTTACAGTTTTTGAACAGGATTCCAACTCAGAACTGAGCTGATGTTCTTGTTTGTGCAGTTTCTTGTTGTACAGGCAGCATTACAAAAAAAACATTGTGCTATTTAATTCCTCTTACGGGAACCACACCGATCAGATCTCATACCGACTTCATACCTGTCATGTCATTAACAGATCTCATGTGAGATGCCAACATGTTCAAATGTAGATTCACGTCCTGCCCTTGTGCTAAAATTATCAAAGCTAAATGATCCAAATCAGAGCCCAATCTTACAACCAAAGTTGATGACAGTGCTCTTTTTGTAACTGAGGCCTCGTCAGCAGAAGTTTTAAGGGGGTTTATTGATAAAATGTGTTGTATTGCTTTTATTTATGAGGTTGTTTTGTTTGTATTGTACTTGAAATGGATTTAAAGATGGAAATGTTGATAAAACCAAGCAGTGTTGTAGTTGTTGCCATTGACGTATTTCTTACAGCTTTCAGACATTTGGTTTCAGAGTTGCGGAAACAAAAACCTGCAGATAACCAGCCATGAATCATTTGTTCCTTAGTTTCACTTATTAAATCAACTTCTTTTGTATCTCCATTCAGCTTATGTCAACCTCAGTGCAGTAAAGCAAGCTTATGAATTGAGTTGCAGTCCTTGAATGAATTAGTCTTGTATGTTTTAAACTTTATATAATTAGCCTAAAGAATGACCCCATTTGTAGCACTTGTGGAGTTTCCTGTTGGCGTGCTGCTGGCCTAAGGCATATACCTTTTGATAAACTGTTCACTTTGACATCTCCAGTTTGAACTTTGCGAACATTCAAGAGAGATGACTCATCTGAGTCTATGACAATTGATTCATTCAGCCTGCAGAATTTGGAGGGGAGTTTTTGCAGCTGTAGCCACATGTCACCATGGCAAAATTTCACAATTTAGTTAGCACTGCGTATCATTAACTCTTCACAAACACCAACTGTCTGTAACCTATAATTACAATTTAGCCACTACCTTTTCATTTGAAAGCAGTGGTGTCATTATGCTCATTAAGCTCATTATGCTCATTAGGCTCAGCTTGGTTGCTAGTTTCAACATCTAACTTAGATGGCCTCTGTATTACATAAAGTAGACATATAAAGGATCACATTAACCCTAGAACACTATTGCTAAAATTTGTAACATCATCACTATTACCGGGTGATTTTTAACCAAAATATTATACCCAAGAAAAAGTACTTGTCATCAATATATATATATATATTTAAGTTGCAAACTTTGTTTCTTTTCCACCCATTCCTGGGGCATGTGAGTCTTTGTGAGTCTTCCCTGGTGAAGACTCAGGGTCCTTGGCAAAATAACGGCTGCAGGAGAGAGAACCAAAATATGGCAGATTTTTTATGAGTAAAAATGACCAGCTGACTAAATATTTCTTATCATCATCTGAATTCCCTATAAAATCACTACTTTGTGATAGTTATTCATAACTACTGTACTAAATAAAGATAGCATACAAATTCCAGGACAACTCTTACTGACCTTATTCGCCTTCATGCAGCTATCAAATCCACCCAAACCTTACTTACCTTACTTATCACTATCGCCGGGTTAAAACCACCCGAACACGTGCCTGTAGGAAAAAGTAGGTTTTGGATCAGAGAAACAAATAAACAAACAAACAAATATGCCTTCAAAGATGTCAAAGGCAATGCTGAAGCTACCCAGGGACCCATGATACTCGGCCAAACGCAACATAATGAAAATCACATAAACATGTTTGTTCGGGTGAAAATCACCCGGCAATAGTGTTCTAGGGTTAAAATCACATTTAAAGCTCCTGTGAGGAGTTTTTAACATTTATGAAATAGACAAAAATTCATATCAGTGGTTGCTTATTACATACAAAAACAAATAAGACCATCAGCGACAAGACTGGTGATTCCTACATTCTTATTCCTGATGCCTCAAACCAGCGGTATGGGCTAGGTATTTACACTCAATCGGACATTTGACTTTCAAAAGTAAGTAGAATTAAACTTGAATTGAAATCAAAAGTTTAAAAAACAGGAGCTTTAATGGGTCAGCCTCTACATCATCTGTCACGTGAATTCATTTAATCCCAGGTTAATACTTTCGCACTTGTTTGACCCACAAAAATGACCTACTTTATAACAAATGAGTTTCATATAGCTGTTGTGAGGATTTTTGTTGCATGTTATTTATTCAAATGTCACAATTTTCCTCAAAATTTACTGCAAATACCCCCACACTCATACAGCTTGATCTTATTGATCCAACCTGCGTGAGTGTGGGGGCAAAAACAGAAACTTCACAGTATTTTTCATGACGATCCATGACTGTTGCATGCAAACGGCAAACATTAATCAAGGACGACCGGCTGTCACATCACTACATATAAAACCAGTCTCATTCCTGAGGAGCCAGTTTGAAAGCAGATATTCACTTGCTTATAAGCACCTCCAGCGTTTGTCGGCAAGAGTGAGAAATAGACAGCTCAGCGCTTTTATTGTGAGCAAAGGCTGCTACGCTGCACTGGCAGGAAAAACTAATATAAGCAGAAGAGCTTTAACTACAGGTCATTAAGAAAATAAATAAAATAACAGAGCAGGTGAGTGCTTTGTGATCCTGGATCCTTTGTTTTTTTATGTGGGGTGTACAAGCTTTGCAAATGTTCTTATAGCTTTTAAATTCTCTATTGTTATGAATAAGAAGTTATCCCAGGTAATATGATCTATGGCTACAAAACTTTTACAATTTTTTATCCAAATTCTGTAACTTTCCTGTTAAGTTGGCCTGTTCCTCTGCTTGTTCAGTCCCTAATTCAAAATTGTAACTACATTTAGATGGCTATATTTCCTGTCTGTGATGATCATCTGGCTCTTCCATCCCATATAGCGGAAGCAAACAATTAAAGTCTTAACATGAAACTGCACACATTCATGTCCTCCCTAGGATGAGCTGCAACAGCTTCAGCAAAAGAAATGATTTAGATGGTATAAAACATGGAACAGTGCCCTCTTACTGCCCTTTCAGCATGACAGTTGTGAGAAAATATCCTCTGGATGCTCATTCGGTGTTAAAAAATGTGATAAAAAAGCTGACTTCATACCCTTTTAGTGCATAAATGTGGAAAAAGTGTCATCTGGTTACAATTAGTCTTCAAATTGTAGAAAAAGTGTAGTCCTGCTGCCCTTCCACTGTATATAAAGTGTAAAAAAAGGGGCCCTCCAGCTGTTTCTCTGTTGTGTAAAAAACAACTTAAGCTGACCTTTCAGTACACAAAATCTAGAAAAAATGTCCTCTTAATACCTTCGAGGTGAATAAAACATGGAAAAAGTGCTCCTGGCTGCCTGTCTGGTACATTTGATGTAAAAACCTCCCTCTAGTTGCTCTTTGAGTGTATAAAATGTGAGAAAAATGTCCTCTGGATACCCTCCCAGTGTCTGAAACATAGAAAAAATTCCATCTCACGTTATAAAATGTGGAAAAAGTTGCCCTTTTGATACTTGATACTTTTGAAACGAATATCCTCTGGATGACCTGTTAGCATACAAGGTGTGGAAAATTTGAAAAAATAAAAGTCCTGAATGCAAGCTTTATTCAGGAAGTCTTTTTTGATAATCAGACTGTTTTTTAGCAAAATTTCCTTCACAAAGTTGTTCATAAATATTCACCAGAATGCTGGGAATTCAGTGTCCGATACTCAAAACTCCCTGGGGCAGAACTCTCAGACCCCTTTTCTATATTTGTGCCCTTGTATGTTTAAATGGAAACTTTGCTGATGGTTTGAGAGGTTTGAAAGTCCATTCCAGTTCAGTAATTTTCAGAGTACCTCCTGTCCAGTGTCACCAAAATAAATCTTCACTGACCCCTTTATTCTTGACAGGCCAATTCAGCTTTACCAAAATGGTAAATGAGCCAAAACACAGCCATCAACCATACCTGTGTGAAAGCATTCTTGTCTTTTTGAAGGATTTGATCATGTTGATACACCTGTCTGAAACTTTTGCAGTGTTATCTCATATCTTTGAAATGCCCTCTGGTCCACATCTCTGGTTTATCCAGCTTTCTCAAAGTCATTTTCAAGAGTCAAAGCACACTGTAGCACATATACCTGTACATAAAAGCTGGAGCAGACTTCCTTGACGATTATGAACAATGTTTGTAGCCCTTGACTTGCGAATCCAGTTTGCCTTTACGTGAGAAAATGTCAAGTGTTCCTGGAAAAACCTCCTTCCTGTAAATACCCTGATCCATCACGCACAGCGTAAACAGTAAAAGTATCAGAGAGAGAAGAGCAAACAACAAGTCAGCCAGATAACACATATGAACAAGGCCTTTATGGAGGTATTATGTTTTATATGATATTTTCGTGCCATTTGTTTGTGTATTTATGACTGTTTTTACAATAATCCTCAAAACTTTGTCATAAAAGTTGAAATAGATCTGTTTACAGAAATCAGATCAGCTAGTTTAAAGAAATTGTGAAATGTTCAGATGCAGATTTGATCCATTGCTTAAGTCAACTTCTTTTTTTTTTTTACTATTTTACATAACTAATAAGTTCAGTCTTGCTGCTTCTAACAATGTGCTGCTGATGTGCCGAAATATGGAGTTCAATTTAACAAAACTCTCCACATTCCTTAGTTTGGTACAGATGGCTGTTAACCGTCGACCAAAACTGCGACTTTATCATGACTTAACGTTTACAACTCAATGACTATACTTGTGTCATTGTGAGTTTACAGCAAAGATTAATAACTATTTACTATTAGTAATTAGTAACAATATGCCTTATCTCCTAACATTAGCACTGGATTTTCTTACATCTTGTTATAAAGTAATGACGAGAATTTTTTTAAATCATTTTTAAAAATCTTAAAGAGGCGCTAACACACAACAAATCAATATTACACCAAATATTGATTCACTAATATCACACTGGTTATGACTGATTTACATAGTCAGTTTGTTTGAGATGTGTCCACAGTAAAGGCTAACTCCATAGCATCCTTAAAATAAGCTAACCTAGCTGTTAGCACTTTAATTTAACTGGACATTTTTTAAATTTAAACTAACTACTGCTTTGACGTGTTTCACTGACAACTAATGGCTGATAAGGTTTTCTTTGTAACAGCAAAATCCAAACCCTGTCTCACTTTTTAACCATTTCTTTTGACGATTTTTGGTTAGCTTTAGTTAACTTTTTACCTCTAATGCCCCAAACTTATTGCCAATCCTCTTTGCAATTTTAAGCATCCACATACCACTCAAACCATTTACCTTTGATTTTAAGCTAACTACTTCTTTAGACTCAGCCAGCTTTTAACCAACTCTCCACTCCTTTTAGCAAAGCATTCATGAAAATTTCTGCCAAATGTTTTAACCACATCTAAGTCTAGATGATCAAAAGAAAAATATATCCGCAATTTTGACCTAATTGTAAGCGAGTGCCAGGCAATTTTATGCACTTCAAAGGTGATGGGAACAGTTGATACAGCAGATAAACTCTGACATTTGGCCCTTTATGGTGTGTAAAGTTTTTCTGGTTCCTCCTGTTCCAAAACAATCACTATCTGATGAGAGCGACAATCACCTGCGAGGTGTTTTATCTGACTAACTCTTACAGTTTTACAAGTTCATTCCTAAGAACAAAGCTTGCCATTTTTGGACCTGTCATCAGTTTCATCCATCTTATCTGTGTGCGTAGATGAACAAAGTAAAAATCCAGTGAACTTTAAACTTCAAACCTGTGTTGTTGTATCATTTCTAACTTGATACCTGGTCATGTCTCTAGGTTTCATCTGCATTAGCTTTATTTCATCACCAATGACGGCCTGTTTTCCAGTTAACCTCGAAACGTTGATGAGTAGATCTACAACAATCTGGCATATCCGACTTACTGGAATTGCTCACCGGCCTAATTAAAAACATCTAGGTGTGGTTAGTTCAGATTGTTTTCTCATAACTAGCAACAAACTTACTAATGAAAATAACCCAGATTCAATTCATGTTTAATTGAAAAATGATCCATGAGAAAACTGTCTTCAGTTCAGCCTTTGTTGTCAAGAAGATTTAGCGCTCTAATTAAATTAATCCCATGACAAACTTGCCAGGACTTGATAAAAGGAAATGAAAGGCTTTGTTTTTTTTATTACTTAACTCCTGTCCCACATTTGCTTAAATATCAACTCATTTGGAAGTCCTCTGTTGGACTAATAACATATTTAAATGAAGGTCTCAAACTTACTGTTTGTTTTTTAGTTACACTTTCATTTGCAATTAAAATTAAGAGTCTGTCAAAAAGCCATGAAAGCAGTCTGATTCAGAAAATTCGCTAAGAATACAAAGTTTTCAAAGAAAATATATTCATTGCTATAGTCAGACTGAATCTGGACTTCTAAAAACCATGTAAACAGATTAGTCTGACTAAAATTGCTCTTGATCGAACTTCTCTGCTGGGAAGCGGGGAAGTAATCAAAAAATCAAGAGGGGAAAAAAAGGACCTTGAAAAATCAAAACTTTTCTGTCGCATAAACAATAAAGAGCAGTAAAATGACAGTTTTTCTCAGTTTTTGATGTACCTAAAAGGTCAACTGGAAGACAGCCAGATGGTAACAAGTTGAAAGGGGGCACAGTCTCCACCTACCGTAGTGGAGATGGTCATGCTACTGTCAGTAATTTGATTCTTGCCCAGTGCTTGTAAACTGGGTCTAGGACAGTTTGCAAGCTGTCCTAGACTTGTCCTGCCAATCCAGCTAGAACCATAGCTTGACTTATCTGTGCACGCAAACATATTATTACCTGTAGCTTTACTATTTTTATTTTTTATTTCAGAGGGAAATGTTTCTGCATGACCGTAACTGAAAGCTCAAGTGAGGATTTTTTAATGACTGAAATTCGTGATGATGTCTTCTTGCGATAAACAAAAGCTAACAAGACCATCAGCAACAAGGCTGGTGATTTTCAAACTGTAACTATAATACCTGAAACCAGTATGAGCGGGGGGTGCCAGTGGAGCGACTGAAAACCAGACCCTTTTTCCCATTTTCAATACTGACAAAAAATTATACATTTGACTGTCAAAAATTGACAGGATAAGATTTTGGTCAAGTGACGTTACTTTAACGTGAAGAGGACAAGATTCACTGAAATTGCTTTATTCACAGGGGGCGCCAAAGTTGACCCTACCAAAAGTACCTCACAGGAGCTTAAACAATGTCATAAATAACAAACAATGCATGTTGCAAAGTTATCGGACAAATTTGAGGCAACTATAATAAATTATACCATGGCTATCTACAGCATAAAATCAACATTATATAACAGAGCATGTAATCTGATTGGCTAAGAGGCCTTCCATGTGTTCATGTTGAGTAAAAAGGACATAACTGTCAGAGGTTATTCCAACATACAGCATTTTTGAAGGATGAGCAGATCTGTTTAAACACCCCTGCAAAGTGTAAACAGTGTTTAAAACTTAGTGCGGGAAGTAGAAGAGGCAATGAATGTCATATTCAAGCAGACTGGAGCGCAGAAATGCAGGAATGCTACCAAGTGAGACTCCATGACGGTCTGTGTTAAAAGTCAATGGAGTGGGAGGTGGGAGGGAGTCGGAGGGGGAGCGTGGCCATTCTGTGTGGCCTGTGTTTGTTTGTGTGAACAAACTGGAAAGGATTATCAACATGAAAGTCACTAAAAAGCAAGGAGTCATCCACTGGATCGTTTTCACTTGAGTGCGAGAGAAATAGAAGAAGTAACCTGATTCTGGTTGAAAGCTGTAACACCCTGATTTAACAGTAAATTTGGGGTCTACAGGAGCCAGCAGTTTGTACTTAACACAACTTAATGTAACAATTTGAAATACAGCTCGATAGTTACTTTGAGTGGTACACTGAATTGTCATAGAAGAAGTTCTCCTGGCATCCTCACATGCTGCAAACACATGTGATTAAGGCGTTGTTTTATGTCCAGCCAAGGGTTGGCTGACGCTTGATCATTTGTGTTTCTCACAGCCATTATGATCCAAGGTAGTTTGTATTGGATGTTTGACACACATCATCAAGAGAAGATTTTCCTTCCTACCAACTCAAAACTCTGGAAAGGAGCTTGCACTTGTGTCAATCTTGGCTCCCCTTTGGACACAGAAACAGCTCTAAAAGCCATGCCAATCCAGTTCCATACTAGCAGAAGTGGCGTTTTCTGATAATAAAACTCATCTTAACAGTCAAAAGCATCACTCACCCTAAATCTTCACTGTGTAAAACTGGAGGAAAAGAAAAAAAAAGCAGTTCTGGCAGCCCCTGTAACTCACTTCATCTGACAGCTACCTCACAGTAGCAACAGTAGATATGAGGCAAGAAAAAGTCAGAGTAGTGAGGAAAACACAAATCAATCAAATAAGTTATTGATTCATTAGCACACTAAGAGCTCTGGATAGACTTCATTCTGGTTTGATTCATAAAAAATGTATATATTGTTAATATTGTTTTCTTTTTTATTGTGGTGTACCCTAAGGCTCTGTCCTAAGACCAGTTTCTGGAGTAAAATCAGGCAGTTGAAGATTACAGTCGTCTAGTTTTTTATACTTAACTCTTTATAACCGGATGGCTAACTTACCCCGAAACTCATATTGCCCAAACTCCAGGAAGTGAAAACTGAGAAGTTAAATATAGATACTATAATGCAAGGGAAGATTGGTTTCCTGATTCCTCCTGGGTGTGCCAGGTTTGATCATGAATATGGTTGTTCCAGGATGTTGCTCTTCTGGGAATAATCCAACCATGCAAGTTCAACATGGTTCTTTGTCCTTTTGTTTTTACTGCTTTAGACTTAAGTCCTCAATTATGTTCACAAATACTTATTTAAGCTACTCGTTTAATGTTAAAAAATCATGTCTTAAGGGGGAAATTATCAACAGATGTAAGGCCCAGCTATACACACTTTTACAGCAGAAGTAGGAAGTAAAAGTAAAGTACTCAAATCTATATGTAGTTTGAGTATCATTGAAATAGTTCTACCATATATTCACAAACTGAACTTTCTACTTGCGGTTAAATAAAGTTCTTCTTATCTATCTATATTTCAGTATAAACCACCTGATTTATTTAACATTTGCATCTTATAAACACTGGCAAATCAGTGTGAAAGCTCCAGACCAATCCCCATCCTGCGCTGCTCTGTACCTCTATTTCTATTTTCTTTTATTCTTTCGCTAATTTATTTTGCCAGACTCCCTTAAAAGGAAAACTTTTAATCACATGGCTAATGAGAGTCGATAGAAGAAGAAACCAATCTTTTATTCAACAATATGTTTCCTGTCAGGAGTCATTCTCTGAGCGCAGGTAAGTGCGTTTGGTTTCTAGAAGGAAGTGTGTGTGATGTGTTGAAGGTGACTGACAGGAGTTAATGGGCGTGTCAGTGGACAGGTGACAGCGTTTGTCAGTGAGGTAGAGAGAGGTGTGTTTGTATTGTAGGCAGACAGAGATGGGAGGAGAAACAAAGCTTACTTATGCCAGAGCAGGTTCGATGTTATGGATTTCCAGTTATGGCTCTCCACGGAGTGATATGTGCAGCAACTCTTCTGACTCTCTTCTCGCAAGGTAAGAACCCTCCTCGATGCTCGCACCTGAACCAGATCCTCCGATTTCTCAAGTTTTAAAAGATGTGTTCAAATTGATTACATGTGTTTCCGCTGTGCAAACCCTGCATGCAAATTTTTCCTATCAGGCCATTTTAACAGTAAAATACACTAAATCAACGTATTTAGTGCAGCCTGCTGTGTATGGTCAAAATGTGCTTGAATGATGTTTTGCAAAAAGTCAAATTAAGGAGGAAACAGTGGGTACAAACTTGTCTCAATAATTAAAACAACTACTTTAGAGCTTTTGAAAGCAAATGAGTCTTTGTGCCATCCCTCAGGATTGTGTGATAAAAATCAATTACTAAATATTTATTAAACTATAACCTGACATGAGTAAAAAGAAGATTTATCCTCATTCATATGTTGTTTAAAGATAGGCGACAATCTTTTAAAAAATGTGATAAAAAAAAAAACATGCTCTGGATTGAACTTGAGGTTTCACTTTTCAACTTTACAACTTTGCCTTGAGGCTAAAAAAAAGTAATGATTCCTTCACATCCTCTCCTGTACGTCTCAGATATACATTGTGAGCTCGCGCAGAGGCTGCATACAGCTGTGTTTTTCTGTCAATCGCCCTTTTAAATACTTATGATCAACCTTCAACCTAAATCTGTCGCTATAAGTCACAAGGATGTATAACCTGCATATATATCCTCAAACCAAATGAACTGACAGCTTCAAACAATCGTTCAATTTGAGTTTTATTCCAAAATGAGTCATTAGTTTCAAGACTAGTTTCTTATATTTAACATTTGAGTAAATATTTCGAATATATAACATTCTTATATTTAACATTTGAAAAATACGTGTAAATTTGAATTAAACTTCGTTCTTATTGAGAAAAACCTTGAACTCCACCCGAGGCTTGATTTTTCTGTTTGATGTCAAAGTTTACATATTCCAGTGGAAATTATTTTTGACACATTACGATAAATTAATCAGTATTCATTTATCAAAAATTATGCATTTTTATTTTCTCTTTTTGAGCAATTTAAAGGTAATCCATTTTTTCAGAGGTGTTCTGCAAGTGAACAATCCAAAATCTAGAGTGCCGAATGTTGTAGGACGTACTGACAAGATCAATTTGAGTCTTTCATATAATTCAACCCTGTGACTTCAAAATCATTAAAGAAAGACTGCGGTTTTTCCACCGAGGAACTTGGACTAAAGACAACTTTTTTTTCATGTTTTACATGTGGTTAGCGCACACACCTCTCTGTGCTGGGATTACAGACTTCATTCTCTACTCTCCACATTTCCTGATCCAATAGAGGCAAAGAAATGCCCAAAAATAACTTTTGAAAAATATCATTTATTTAGAATAGAGTATTACAACTCTAATCTGCAGCACTCCTCTGTGGATAACTCACTCCAGAGGAAACAGAGTACTCCTTCAGGTGATTTTAGGACATTCTGATCTGCAAGATCTCCTGACGTCCAGCAAGTTTCAATCAGTGCATTTCACAAGGCAGAGACATACAGAGGAAAAACTGTTGCGTGATAGACTGATTGTGTTTGCTCATGGTGTTTGAGGAACACTGATGTAGGTACAAGATAAATCTTGATAACAGCTAAGAAATATGTAGAGAGATACAAATGCGAACAAGGCATTTAAAACCTCCAAAACAAGACTTTGGTCCAAGATCATGACCAGAGATTCTTTTCTAACCTGTATATCAGACAGTATGTGTCACTGAAAATAAGTTTTGGCTCCTTCAGAATAAATAAGTGAAAACAAAAGTTTAATTACCTGAGCTGCTGATGTTTGGTGCTGTTCCTGCAGCACATATGACTCATTTTAAAAGGTCTTGTGGTTGCTGAAATCGAGGAATAATTGTGGAAGGAAGGGCTCTGAAGATCAGAGATTAAAGCCACTTGAAAATGCTGTCATCAACACAGATGTCAATCAGCATCACTCAGTTTAGCGGTGGTGGGTCACAGGTTGCCACACCTTAAGTAGCCGAGGAAAAACCAACTTCTGAGAGATTGAGGAGAGAATGACAGAGCAGAATCATTTTTGTTAGACGGTGACTTTTCAGATTAAAATAATCAAACTCAAAAGAAGAGGTTGACTCATGCATGCTTTTGCATTTGAGGTTCATACATAGTTCAACCTTTTTTATAACCTAAATGGACCTACGAATATATCACCTATACAAGAGTCAAACAAAAACCATTAACCCTCACTCCATCATCTTACGGATTAACTCAAACTGGTCTGACCTCAAATGCCGTTTTCAAAGCGAACTTCAAACCCATCCTGGGGCATACCATGAGTGCGTTTACAGTGACTTGAACCTTACAGGTCTTTTTTCATGCATAACAGTAGAGGATGTTCATAAACCCTGCAAGCTAAACAAGTATTGCATAATGAAACTTTAGTGGAAGCAAACCGGCTCTTTAAAACAACTACAGTCTGCAGTCAGACGTAAAGGAGATTACCAAGATGCCTCGAGACTCGATTAGACTTTTGGTTTTAGTATCCCCACGATTACATAATACTATCACTTCAATGAGTTCAGAGTGCTGCGTCTACTGACAGACCGTATTCATAGACCACAGGATGTAGCCTATAGGGCTGAGAGGGGAAGTCCTCTTCATTAACATTGCATTTTCTGTAACATCGCAGGGGCCTGTTAACCTGGATGCAAAAAATCTAATTGTATGGAAGTCAGTGAAAAATGAGCGTGCTTCAGAATTTTTTTGATTGACAAAATGAAATATTTAACGTGAATCTTTTGGTCTAAGTGGCAAGTGTGAAGTAAGCAGCAACCTTCCAGAGTTTCAAAATTAAGTCATTTGCAGGAGTGCGTAAAAACTGTAGTTCCTTGGATGTCCACTTGGGGCTGGCCCCAAAAGCAAAGGAAAACCCAAAACTTATACTAAAACAGCTATTTTTAAACTAGATTCATCACATCCAGAACCTTTTATTTGTCTTTTTTTTTTAAAGATTATTTCTTCAAAATGTTTCCCTATTCCCCAAATAGTTTTGTGTTTTCAACATTTATTTTATCATTTCTGATTTCTTTATTCTTACAAAAAAACTATGTTTTGGAATTTATTTGTGTTTTCTAAAGAATATATTTCATGTTTGTGAGAAATATTGTCATGTTTTGGTAAATGTTTTTGTGTTTTATGAAATATTCTATTATCGCCTTCTTAAAATATTTATGCCACTGACCTAAGGGCCACAATACTAATTCTATTTCTTACATACAAACTTCAACTGATGGACATGTGCATTCGTTGCTGCATGAACTCCAGATCATTTAATAGTAGACGCTGAAGGCTTGTAACATGCAGAGACTGTCATACAAAATTAAATTAAAAAATAATTAAAAAAACATGACTCAGTTTGGACATATGCACTTGTCCTTGTTTTGAGGTGCATCTTTGTTCATGTGTAGAGTTCCTTATATTTGGATGAAGACTTGTTTCCATTAAGTGCATTGTCTACTTGTTCTGTTCCCTCGTTAGGTCCAATCACATGACTGTTTTATCTGCGTGTGAGTAAACTATGTAACTCTGGCTGTGATACATCAGTCAATATCTGCTGACAACTCTCTACTCTGTCTGTCATCATATATTATGATAGAAACACAAAAAAAAAAAGACATTTGAGAGGAAAATGTTCCTGTGTGTCCTTAAACTATACAACCCATGTTCTGGTATGTGAAAAATCCTGTAAGACTAGGCCTTAAAACCCGTCTGATGGGACCTCTACACACTCACACACACGCATGCAGCCCGTCGTCATGCGATGGGGAAATCTGTTACCACAGTGTAAGAAAGGTCAAAAAAGAAAGGTACAGAGCATGACAACACCACCCTCTAACCAACAAATAACAGCGTAGGTGTTATTTATCATGCTGCCATTGCTACCACTGACATTTTTTGCTTGTTTTGAAGGAAGTTTTCAGGACTTGTGTTACATCAGGGTTTAATGATAGGTGCTGTCAATTATCTGGTACCCTCATTGTTTGGCTCTATGCATGAAGAATGGCATGAACTTTATATGTGACAAGCCGGACTAAGGTGACGGATTGTCTTCAAATGGGGAACTACAGAGGCCTATCTCTTTTATTTTTGTTCCTTTAAAAATAGAACCACATCTCAGTGTCGGCATTTATGAGTGAAAATGGATTTTGAATTGTCTGAATGATTGTTTTCTGTTTTACAGGGTGTCACTCGCAGCTAAATGGTAAGTCTGCTTCTATTTTATTGTGCAGTGATTTGTTGTTTTCAAACAGAAAAAAAGCAATAAACTTTGTGGACTCATTGTGAAATAAAAATAGTCTTACCTTTATGAATCAGGGATGTTTGATCAGTTTGGAGTTATCCAGCTCACTCCCACACTCACTTAATCCTCCTCCAGGAGTTACAGATAGATTTCTGCAGGAGCGCAAACTTGGCTAATGTAGCAGGAAGCATGGAGGATTTCTTTTCAGTGATTGTCCCTTTTTTGTTGTTTTTAGTGTGTGGTAAGCCTCCACTCAACAACAGGATCGTTGGAGGGGCTGAAGCGCCTGCAGGCACCTGGCCCTGGCAGGCCAGTATCCATGGAACCAGAGGTCACTTCTGCGGTGGTTCCCTTATTAACAAAGAGTGGGTGCTGAGTGCTGCTCACTGCTTCGCCAGGTAAAGGACGGGAGGAAAAGAGTCCATTTAGGAAATGAAAGCTCAAAGTTCAGTTTCTGTACAACGCTGACAAGTCATTGATTTTACTGTTGAAATGTCACACTGAGATACTGTGATAAAACTGCACTGAGCAATGATAATATCAAAGAATGATTGACAGTCTACAAATGGCTAAGTTAAGTCTATGTGATTCTTGGTTTAAAAGTTCTGTCTATCCTGATCCCTTCAGCACCGGCGTCAGCACCAGCGATCTGAGCGTGTACCTGGGTCGTCAGAGTCAGCAGGGAACTAACCCCAACGAGGTTAGTCGATCAGTAACGCGAGTCATCAATCACCCTGACTACAACCCCCGATCAGGTGACAATGACATCAGCCTCCTGAAGCTCTCCGCACCTGTTGATTTTACCGACTACATCTTGCCCGTGTGCCTGGCAGCCCCTGACAGCACCTTCTTCAGTGGAGTTGTCTCTTGGGTCACAGGCTGGGGTGACATTGGCTTTGGAGGTGGGTGATCTTGTCCTTTTTATGCTAAAGTAGTGTCATCTGACAAAAAAATCTCTTCCTGCTGACCTCTGACTGTCAGATATGTTATTCACTGTGAATATTTCAGGTGGAAATTGTAAAAACAGCCTTTCTTCTTCAGCTGCTTGCACTGGTATTAGTTCTTATATAGTACATCAGTAAATCCTCGCTCTTGTTTCCCATGGTCTTGTTTGCTTCTCTATGTCACAAAAAAGCACCAATATGAATTCAAGTCTGTTTCACAAACATCCAAATACTCCTCACAGGAGCTTTAACTCGCCTTGTCCTCAATTTTCACGTATTCAACAAGACTTGAAGTGTGCCACCTATCTTTTGGCATACACTCTAAAAACTCTGGTTATTTCTTCAACTCAATTCCTGGGTTATACGTATTGAGTTAAATTTCTGGGTTATTTTTCAGATCCATACCCATTTCTTGGGTCATATTGATTCTATTGTAACCCAATTTGATGTTTTTTTTTAATGGATTAATAACTATGGGTAATTTTTCTGAGAGTAACCCAATAATTGGGTCAGACTGTTGGGTTCGATTGACTCTGCGTGGTTTCTAGGCCTAATGGCAATTAAAGTGACCTTGTAAACTTTGACCTTTTATATATTTTTATTATTTATTTTATATACAATATGGTATATATATCATATATATTGGGGAAGCTCAGGCTAGCTACCCCAATATGTATTGGGCTGGAGTAGCTCAGCAGGTAGAGCGTCCGGTCCCCAACCAGGGGTTTCGAAGTCCACATGAGACACATCTGTAAGGAGCGAATTACATCTACCAGTGTGGGTCCATAGGCAAGACCCTTAGCACTATGGCCTACCTCATAAACATAAGTGTATTACCATTGAAAGCCAAATCGGCTCAGACGTCGCCCGGGTCAACAAGGTCTGCAGAGCTCCCAAAAAAAGCTCCCTAAATGCATATATCAATTTAATCCAAGATCATGAGTCAAATTAACTCGAAGATTGGATTAACTTGACCCTTAAAAAGGGTTATTGAGTCAACCCAAAATTTGGGTTAATTTGAATAACCCAACATTCTGGATCACAATGACTCAATAAGTAGTCAGTCCCTTTTCAACCCTGAGGTTTTTAGAGTGTATGAATGAAACGTTGCCTGATGTGTGAAACTACTTTGAGGCAACATAATGAAACATAATTTGTTTACCTACAGTGCCCCTTCCTGCCCCACAAAACCTAATGGAGGTGGATGTGCTGGTTGTGGGAAACAGACAGTGTAAATGTAACTATGGAGTGGGAAGAATCACAGACAACATGATCTGTGCTGGTGTAAACACTGGAGGGAAGGACTCCTGTCAGGTGCTTATTTTTGATGCACATATTTGTAGCAGATTTTACATCCTGAAAAGATTCCTCCCCCTAAATGCTTCTCTTATTTTGTAAAGGGGGACTCAGGGGGTCCATTGGTAAGTAAGCAGAACAACCAATGGGTCCTGAGTGGGGTCGTGAGTTTTGGGGAAGGTTGTGCTCAGGCAGAGTTTCCTGGAGTCTACGCCCGTGTGTCTCAGTATCAGTCATGGATCAACTCTCATATCACCAGCGACCAGCCGGGCTACATCACATTTAAGTCCACTGGGACTGACAGTGACCTCAGTGTCTCCTGTCCTGGCCTGCCACCACCACCAACCACCCTGCCTCCAACAACCACACCCAGACGTGAGTACCTGTCATGTCCAGACTGTAAATGCCCATTTCCTGCCTTGACTTTGTAACTTGATAGTTTTTTAAGACAATGTTTACAGTTTGATCATGGTTGATTTATTTCATCAGAATTACAATCTCAATCACATCTTTTGGTGCAAATTTCAACAGTTGGTCATTTGAAATCTCAACTCCATTTAAAGCAAAATTGTCTTAACGTCAAGAAACTTTGATTGTGTGGTCTAAATTTCAGTACTTATAGTCTTAAAAAACTGTTGTTTACTTTTCTTCCTGTTCTCTCCAGCTGTAGTATGTGGTGAAGCCACAATGAACTCACGCATTATTGGTGGAAGCTCAGTCACATCCCCTGGTCTGTGGCCATGGGTAGCAAGCCTGCATCAGAATGGAAGCCATACGTGTGGCGGGACTCTGGTGGCCGTGGATTCTGTTTTGAGTAATGCCAACTGCTTTTCAAGGTGAGACAACTGAGGAAATATCATAAATTGCATGTTATTGTCTTTTCTGTTTTGATAGTCAAGGGTTGAAATGACCAAAAACAACACAAACTTAGTTTTTTTAGATCCCACATAGACAGGAGGACAACTGAAGCAGCTTAAAGGGATATTCCGGTTAAAATTAAGTTTAGGTCAAACACACCGTAACACAGAGTCAGACATCTTGTCAAGAGATGAATGTTGCCAACCGCTTGCTTCTCTAGTTATACCAACTTTAGTAACGACTGCATGATAACAATACACAGAGTCACATGCTCAACCAAAACGCCACTCTATAGCCACAAATAATGCTCAGAACAGCACCTAACTTCATCAACAGTTCGTTGTATGGCGTTTTGGTTGAGGTTTGCGTGTGGCTCCATAGACCGCTGTGTATTGCTATCGTGCGGTTGTTACTAAACTTGGTATAACTAGAGAAGCAAGCAGTCGGCAACATTCATGTCTTGATGGGGTGTCTAACTCGGTGTTACAGTGTGTTTGACCCTAACCTAACTTTTACGCCGGAATATCCCTTTAACTACAGTGTGCCTACAGGGCCAAATTGTGCATGCCTAAAAAATATTTAATTTCAGACCTTAACTGCATAATTATTAAAACATTAATGCTGACAGTCCTCATATGGACCAATGGGAATGTACTGAATCTTGCATGCTGATGGCTATAAATGAGGGTGCATCCTCTGGAAACCACGAATGAACAAAAACTTTGCTTGTGCATACAGTAGATGTTAAAATATTGATTCAAGAAAAAAGTAAATTTTATCCTCCATAGGCTTTAGAGGAAAAGTCACAAGATTCCTTATTTTACATCATACGACTCCTCTGGGGACCATGCATGTACTGCACATTTAAGCTTCGAGGTGAAATGCTGTGATGTTGTAGATTTTTGGTCAACAGATCAGCATGTCCATAAATCTATTTTTTCAAACAGGACTTGTCGACTTTACACTAAACATAGCTGTTTGATTGGACTGGAAGAGCAGAGGTCATGTTTAAAAAAAAAAAAAAAAAAAACCCTTCAAGGGTAAATCTGCAAAGAGCTTAATCTCTGGTTTAAACTGATCAAACACTCCCCCCAATCAGTGCTGATTCAGTTCATTTCCCTCTCCCCAGTACACCTGTACCATCTGAATGGACCGTGATTTTGGGTCGGTTGAGACAGAATGGATCCAACCCCTTTGAGGTGACTCTGAAAGTGACAAATATCACTCTGAGCAACCTCACTGGAAATAATGTGGCAGTTCTACATCTGGCATCCCAGGCCCCCCTGTCTGCCTATATCCAGCCTATCTGCATTGACAACGGGCTGACCTTTAGCGAGGGCTCCACTTGCTGGGGTGCTGGCTGGAGTTCAAGGCATGGCGGAGGTGAGTCTATGAAGCATTTAACCACTACTAGACTGTTTGTAGTTTGTATACCTCCCCAGCTAAGTCAACTGCCACCTGGGTGTGATTGGCTTCTGACGGCCTTCTTTTTCTTGTTTTCAGCGCAAGAATTTCTGCAGGAGTTCCAAACCACAGTTGTAAATTGTGGAAACGACTCAACAAGTGAAAGAATTTGTACGAATGCATTCCAACTTCAGGACGTGAGTGAAAAGAGCCTGAGACAGTCAAGATAATAGTAGACTTTGAGTTTTTATTCAGGTGTTGATCATCAGAAACCTTGATTTTCTCTTAAACCTCATGGCTGATCTGAGCTTCACATTGTATCATTTCACCTTCAGCTGAAGAACTCTGCGAATTGTCATTATAGGGATTGGCATTGGCATTATAGGGATCAAAGCTAACTTGATAAAGACCTTCAAGTAGGTACTTTTGTATCACCCTATTTTCTTGTCAAACCTAAAAACTTTCCTGTTTCCTCAGGGCGATTCTGGTGGTCCACTCATGTGTAAAGTGAGTGGGTCCTGGTTCCAAGCAGCTGTATTACAATTAGAAAACAACTCTAGCAGTCTAACACGACAGAAGTCAAAAATGGTCTTGGAGAAACTGAGCCGCTTTCAGACCTTCTTGTCAGCAACAATAGGGACGTTCTTGTCTCCAACCTCCAACAACAGCACCAACAGCACCAACAACAGTACTGCCACCACAGCCTCCCCTGTTATGACCACAGCCAGCAGTAATGTGGATGTTCCTTACACCTCCTTCTTCATGTTTTTTCATCTTCTCGTCTTCGCTTTGAGTCTCCAACTATTTGTATAGGAGCGTCTCACTTCAAACAGAGATTTACATGATGTGAGCGGCACAAATGAATGTAAACAACCATGAACTGAGAAACATTTATTGGCTTGAACTGAGTAAAAGATGCATGATGATGTGCTTTTTAGTGACCAGATCTAAAACCGACCTATTTTGAGTTGATTGTTTTAACACAATATATATTTATATTAGCATATAATTGAGGATCAGCTAATGTTTGTTGTTAAGTTTATTAAGGATAAATAATAAGAAATATTGAAGGAAGCTGAAGGGAGATACACCCTAGAGGAGTTTTAGTGAAAATGACACTTGAAATGTGGGTCTACCAAACCCCACATTTTTTAAGGCTTAGGATCTTAAATTTAGATTTTTGGTGCTAAGCAGACCTCATTTGGACAAAAGAGGTGGAACCTGAGTAGTCAAACTAGTAACAAATGCTACATTTTTAGCTAATGCTAGTACAGATGGCTAGAAATCCAGGGAGGGTGAAGTCATGGATGTTGACTACCAATCTACAATCGCCATACATGAAAACATTGATACAATACTGTCACAACACCTCACTGCTAGCAAGTGCTTGCCTCTTGGAAGGAATCGGAAAAAGGGGCACACTGAGGATAACTTAAATCTGTTGAGTTACGTCTTGAAGGAACATTACACAAAAAGGAATAGATGTTTGAAATGTTGTTTGTACATCTGGAAAGAGAACTTTTAAACTCCTGCTGTGCTGAGTTTCAAATGAAGTACTTTTAAAGCTGCACTGAACAATTTTTTATAAATGTAGTTAATGACTACAGCATTTCATTGTTTCTGAACCTAACATACAGGAGGAATTCAACTTTTGAAAGAAAACTTGCAGAACAGAGTGGTTATTAAATATGGTGTGCCTTTTAAAACGAGTGATTGAAGTCATATATTTTAAAAGTTTAATGAGCGCATCTACCTCATTCTTTCAGAAAGTGCCTAAAATAAAGTTGATTTCTATCTGAGGTGATTCAGCACTGATGTGGACACTCAGTTGAGCTGCACTTCACACAGATAATTATTAGGTTTGAAATAGAGCTCTTAATTTTTCTAACTTTGCTGTGAAAAAAAAAACTGTGATTTAAATGTAATACTGCTGTACAAATGAAAACAACACACTGCCTTACACTACTTTCTTTTCTTCTGTGTTAAATGAAAGTATTCTGCAGGTTTTTGAAACTTGGCATTATATTAAAATTTTGTGGAATAAAAAAATAAAGCATACACTGAAAATGTACTGCACTGTCATTTTATTCTGTATCCTGATATCAACTGCTGAATGCGCAGGTGACATACATTAGATGACAGAAATAGTTTGTCTGGTTAGGCCGGTTTATTAAGCTGACTGAAAGCATCATTAAATACTCATGATATGGTGGATATCTGAGGCCAATGAGGCATATAGACAAATGAAAAAGCACTGATGTATGTAAACGTGACTGCTGTCAACGGAGTAAACGTACCTTTTTTTTAAGCTCCAGTGAGTAACTTTCAGTTTGAGTCAACTTTAGCGCCTGCGTAGTCTTTATTTGTGTCGTCCTCTTTATACTTCAGTCATGTCTTCTTACAAAAAAAAAAAAAATCTCTCACCTGGCTGAGGTATTTGTATCATTTTTTATTTAGTATTTTCAGCAAAATTTGCACTAACAGGACTGTTTCATCAGCTGTTCGGCCTACACCTACCCCCTCACACCAGTTTTAAGGATTAAAATTACAAGATAATTACAGTAATAGTTGTTGCTAATGTTCTTGTTTGTTTTTGGACATGATAAACACACACCAAGGTTATTTTTTTGTCAGTTTCATAAGCCTCAAAAATCTCCTCACAGGAGCTTTAACTGTGACATTTATCATTTTTAGACTTTGAAAACACGACACGGTAAAAACAATATTGCATGTTTTATCCAATGTGACATTTGTTTTCAAATGAAATAGTTTTCTTTATAAAAACAAGGTTTGCTTGTGAAGTTAATTATCCCCAAATTGTTTTGTTTTGTTTTTTTAAAGGCACTTGTGTCTGTGTGTGTATGTTTTTAGAGGGAGTCATCTCATATTCAGGGTTGTTTCATATTTGGGTCACTACAGTACTCATTGGAACAGTCGTCTACGGAAATAAAACCATTGAGAACATTGTAACTCTTCCAAGTATTTAATATAATTAAAAATACAATGAATTATTTACTTAGAGTTTAATACAAATTTTCAAAAACACAGTTTCGCATCAAAGGTGTAAAAACTATGAACTGAATGTAAACCACATGTGTGAAGAACTCACTCCAGCCAGCAAATGTTGTTCAAACTTCTACAAGTAAATACAAAACAGCTGCACTATTGCCTCCTAGTGGTTTGATGGAAAACTACTATGAGCTGCAGAACCTTCTTTTTACACATTGAACTGAAATGTGCGGTGTTTTCATAGATTTTATTGTGAGCTCAGAAGCTGCATCCTTTACATAAACATAAAGAGGAGGAAAAAGAAGGCACTTCAACCCCAAAAGACAGAGGTCAACAAAACCAGGTGGTACAGGAGTTCAACCACACCTGCACACCACCCTGACAGAAATGAAAACTTCGAGGTTTGTGCAGCTTATGTACTTAATGCTATTTTGGCAAAGGTTAAATCAGATAGTGTTTCATAAAGAGCATAAAAAAGAATCAAAAACAAAGAAAAAAGTTGTCATGAGACATGAACTTGTGGCCAGAAACAATAATAATAATCATCCATGGCTGCTGGTTCATTATTGCATGGCTATGAAGTGATAAAACTCTAACCACAGAATATCTACTGCCAATCATTATCACTCTCTCGTTAAGTTATCTTAAAGTAATTAAAACAGTCAAAACCAAGTATCAGACAGGATCATTAAGTAGCATTCACATGTGTTCAAAAGCAGCAAAAGAAAGGCTCTGTATATTGATTTACTTGTTATTTCCTGCTGGATCACATGACCACACTCTGTCACTGTAAACCCAATGGAACAATCAATATCAGTGGTTGTTGTCCTGGTTGGTAACGTCTGGGGATTAAGATAAATCTGGTTTTAAGTTGTGTGGAAGTGCTTGTATTGTATTCTTATGAGCATGTGCACACACTTGCGCACTCTAGGATAGTGGTTCTCAAGTCCAGTCCTCGAGGCCCACTGTCCTGCATGTTTTGGATGTTTCCCTGCTCCAACACACCTGATTCAAATGATGAGCTCGTTATTAAGACATTACAGAGCTTGATAACGAGCTGATCATTTGAATCAGGTGTGTTGGAGCAGGGAAACATCCAAAACATGCAGGACAGTGGGGACTCGAGGACTGGACTTGAGAACCACTGTTCTAGAGGATGAATAACTAACAAGTTAAAGACTTCTCCATCACCTATCCACATTTTAAAAGTAAATGCAGCTACCTTTAACTTTCTGTGGCGACTTCTAACCTTCTGCTTGTCCACCTATTGTAATGCAACACAGTCAGAAATGTTACTAGGCTATAGAAACAATGACTATGATATACAGCACATGCACATATTTCTTGTCCTGAGTCCTGAAGGAAAGTTTAGATTTCTGTTGACTTTGACTGCAGAGCTGCAGAACACTGCGTTTTCACACTTTTATATCATGTGACTGAAGTGGACCACTTTTCAGTGTCTCTTCTTGAGGTACAAAAGTTTCAACACAGATGGTTTTTGTTTTGAATAAAAATACAGTATAAAAAATAAATTAATTAAAAGTAGTTTACTTTGTTATTGTACGTTTTTATACTTATATAAGATGGTGTTATTCATGTCGGCCATGACTCACTGAACTGTTTAGGAAATGTGTCCGATCACAGTAAGTAGTGATGGTGTGATGCAGAGCTACATGCTCAGTTTATCAGTCACTCCAGTAGAGCCAGATGACAGGAACAGAACAGTTTTCAGTTTTCCTCTGATGTAACAGGATCGCCACGTCGACCCTGACATGAACTGTTCATTAGCAGCTTTGTGTCTCTGTTGTTGGTGATGGGCCATTCCTAAGGTACCGGGGCACCTCCATCTTCTTCTCTCACTTGATCCTGATCTCGAAGCAGAGGCAGTGGCAGGAGTCGCACTCAGGAGGCTGAAAGCTGCAGGGGCAGTCCCAGCAGGAGCACTGTGGGCAAACAAGAGTCCATAAAGACCAACTCGAAGTCCTGCTTCAGTAATCTCCTGCACAGTTTGTTCTGTTATTGTTTGGGCCTTTGATTTTTATTCCAACAATCAAAAACATTAAAAACATTTATTTGATTTGGTGAAGTTCTGAAAGTCCTCTGACAAAAAACATCTTATCCTGTCGAATATAACATTAATTGTGAGTATTTAATATGAAAATTCTAAAAACCGGGTTGTACTTGTTGATCTTGTTGCTGGTGGTCTTCTTTGCTTTTGTGTATCATAAAAAAACATTAACATGCTAATGTGGAAAACCTCCTCAGAAAAACTTTAATGATAATAACAGAGATTTTTAGCTCATCTGAGATCCTCAGACAGGTTGTTCCACAGCCCAGGAGCCCGAACAGTAAAAGTTTGATCCCCTTTAGTTTTTAAATTCGACGTGGGATCATTAACAAGTTTCCTGTCTGAGGATCGGAGGCTACGCACAGGTTAGTAGAAGGACAGCAGTTCTGATACGTACTCTGGGGCCAAATCAATTCTAAAAGAAATGGGTAGCCATTGTAAGGACACTGAAACAGGAGTATTACGCTCTCTAGCGGCTGAATTTTGCACTATTTGATGCAATTTCTGATTTATACCTGTTAAAAGACCATTTCAGTAATCTAACCATGAGGAAATAAAAACATGATTTTAGTTTAGTTTTCAGAAACATGCTTGTTTCATATTTTCCATAGAGAAACCAATCAATTAATCTATGAATTTACAGAGCTCCTTATTACATAAAGGATAATTAATTACTTTTGTGCCTCATTATTCTCAAAGATCCTCTGACACAGAGCTGATCATAGATCTTGGCCTGTAAGTTCAACTTTTTCTCTTTATGACATTCTGTATGAATACTTATGACACTGTTTAGTTTTACAATCACAGTATCACCAGATTACATGGTAATCATGCTTATTTTCTCCATGTTGTAACCCTCTGTTGATGTTATTTTGCTGCAGACTGTATTAAACAAGGACAGAACAGGGATCTTGAGTTAAAGCAGAACCTTGAGAGCTCCACCTAGTGACTGACTGCAGTGTCGGTCCTAAAGCTCACCTCATTTTTTAGACTAATTCAGTTTCAAATAGTTATTTGATGTAAAAAAAAAAAAGATGATTGATTGACAGCTCTGTTGGCAAATGAGTCTGAAGCTGTCTCTGTATTTATATTCAGTTGGTATGTATGGAAAGTTTCACAGTAAAGTAACCCTGCTAAAGAAGTTCCATATCCAAAGTTGATCATTATTTTTACTGTAACTGTCACACGTCTGACCCTGAACAAGATCCACTCAGATATCCAGACAACTAAAGTGTTTTGGGGTTTTTTAAATACTTGTTTAAGATGAACTTAAGTAGCTCAGCGTGGATGTTAAGAACAAAGTAAAGTGACTTGTCCACATTTTCACACACACCTTTTGTTCTTTGCAGATTACTGTCAGAGAAAACAATTACCCTGCTCTGACAACACTCTTTACTGCAGACTAAAGAAATAAAAACCTGATGCTTTGCTCTGGGAATTTCCCAGCAAGAATCTTAAAAGGGCATGACGCGATTTGAGGTTTGTGGTACTTACGGGAGAACAAGAAGAACAAGAAGGACAAGCGGGACAAGACGGACAGTCTTTCCAACATGATTTTGTAGTTGGCATGTTGCAGTGACATATCTCTGCCAGTCTGAAGCACTGCTCACAGAAAGAAATGTCCGGACAGCAGTCGCCACAGTCGCAAGAGCAGCGGTCCTTTAAGGGGGAGAGGAGAAACAGGATCACAATCAGGAATATGGTCGATAAGAATGCCAATGAACCAAAGCTGGTCATAGGTTGGGACATTTCAAATTTCAAACATACTTGAGGACAAAAAAATGAATCTCTATGTGTACAATAACAGATGTAGAATGCCCAAATTAGAGCTAAACTGTACAGCAGATTGATCACTAAATACAAGATCATGTAGTGCTGACTTTCATTCCAGTGAAAACTAGAGTCAAAATATAATTAGAGGTCATTGTACACTTGAAGGTCATGTTTAGACATGTATAGCACACCATACATCAGCATTTTCTTCACTGTGTTTTCCTATTGGCTGCGTTTAAACTCCTGTTTATAAATGTTTAAACAATTATCTATTATTTTTTCTCTATATCTGTGGTTTTAATTTAGTATTATGACAAAGGACACAACATATCTCATTCATTTCAAACACAATCTATGGTGAAGAGATCGGTCTGGTGACCAGGCCAGCTGCACCAACCTTAAGGCAGTATCGTATCCACAGCCCGATGCCCAGTACGATCATATAAAGAACCACAGTGATCATCAGCACTGCTGGGAGAGGAATGGCAAGCCCCCAAATAGGCAAGACCTGAAGGAAAAGTATGATATGATTGGATGTAACAGAAGATAGAGAAGCAGAGGAAATATCATATGAAAAGTATCCAGATTAAAAGTCTGAGAGTTTATCTTTACCAGTATTGTGTTTTCCTGAGAGGACATCCTCACTGTTGTGACAAGACTCACATCTCAGGGGATTCTAGAAGGAAAACAAACATACCGAGCTGTAGTCAGCGTTACCAGAGAGACCTTTTCTTATTGTCTTCAACAGATGGGTCTATGTGAAGTATTTAGCTCTGGTGTCTTTATCAGTACAACTCTACAGGATTTGCAGCTCATACTCTTGAAGAGCTTTTTCATGAACAGTGTTTGATCAAAGAATAAAGTACTTTACAGCTTAAACTTAATGACTTCATAAAACGCAACTTCAATATTGACTATATCGCCATGAGTAATACAATCAAATTAAACAAACTAATGTAAATCAAAGAAATAACATTTTTAAATAAGTAGGGGAGAATGGGGTAAGTTGAGCCACCCCCTGTTGCTTAGAAATGGTAAAAGAAATTGATCATGTGACCCAAATGTTTAAGAGATGGGCGTCAATTCATGGAGTCCGTGAAGGTTAGAAGCACATGGGTGAAGGGGTTACACATTTATTTACAAAAAAAACATTTTTCACTCTTGAAAGTGCATTTAGTCTGTCATAAGTTTGATTAGAATTGTGTTAAAACCAAGAAAGATCATTTTAAATATGTTTTATACATACATTGTGGTATCTATGAGCTACAACATGAGGTCAAAAACCGAGCATAAAAGTCCACCATTTTAGTTTAGAGGACTAATAAAGTCATAGTAGTAGTTCTGGGGTAAGTTGAGCCAGTGGCTGAACTGAGAAAGTAAATAAGTATTTTGAGAGGATCAGAGTTTTAGTTCAGATTGTTGAAATGTGTTACTTTTTCTTTTCAAAAATACAGCTGTGAATGTTCTGAATCACTTAAAGACATTCTCATGTTAAAATGGCTTTTTACAAAACAGCTTTTTAGCAGTTGTATGCAATAATAATAAAAAGAATTATTGTACCAGTTGAATAGCATATAATAGATAAATATACACATGAATTACACTCATTCTGTTGGTTTGCAGGGATGCACAACATCTTGAAATATATGCAGATACACTAGTTAGAGACAAAACTATGACTGCCTCGATGTAGTGATCCAAAATATGAAAAATGGCTCATCTTACCCCACTCTCCCCTATATCTCTGGACATCTGATTTCCATGTTTTACTTGTTTTAAATTGTTGTTTTCGTTTCGTAACCTATAAAAAGGAGCCTAAATGTAGTTTAATGAGATTTTTACCACATCTTTAAGATTATCACAAGAAATATCCGCAGTTAAAAATGTAAAATAGTCTTTCATAATAAAGCATCTTTGTGGACTAGCTACCAAAGCACAAGCTAACTGTTTACTCTCGGCAGCTCGAATTTTAATCATGTTTAAGCCATGCAATAGCTGCATATTAATATTTTTGATTTAAAAAAAGACTTGTGCTAATTAAGAAAATAAGTATTCAAAACCTCACCAGAGAAAATGCAACGCATTGCAAAGCATTTCATCGTTGTTTATTCTAGCATTAGCTAACGCTGCTAACATCTCACCTTGCTACATCGTTCCACTCTTTCTCAAACGGGTCGTGAGTGTTCAACAAAGGCGTTGCTTCTTTTGCATCAGAGGTATTATTTCATATCCATGCTGGAACCTTTGAAAAAACGATAAACTGTGCCCCGTGTAAGTACAAATAAGTAAAACGTGCTATGGCGGTAGCTGTAGCGTTGCCATAGTGACGTACAGGAGCGAGAAAGGACAAAATACGTGACTGAAAAGGCGAAAGAGAAAATCATCTTACACGTACAGACAGATGCTTTTCCACGAATCCATTTATTTCAACCTGAATATTTTCACACACTTAACAAGCAACGGTATTAAAAACGTTTCTTTATATTTATATCATGTTAGTTCCTTAAAAATTACTATATACTTATTTTATCCTCAAAAAGTGTACATTCTCTTGACACAGTTCCATTTTTCATATGCATAATTACTGTATGTCCCCTAAGTATACTCCTACTTAAACCAATCTGTTCTTAGTTTTAAAAAATACAACTATTTTTGATTTGTTATTTATGATTTTTATACAGTGACCTTATTTCACTGTTTCAAAGATGTAATTGCATGGGTGTAGTAACAAAACAGTTAGCGGAGGAGGACATTCCCATTATTATTCCTCATGTTAATCCCCATGTTGAAATGTTATACTCTGGATGCTCATGTCAAAGCTTGACCCATAGTGCTCTCTATGGGGGAGATCAGGGGTAGCAGTAACATCAGGATAGTTGCTATCTATCTATCTATCTATCTATCTATCTATCTATCTATCTATCTATCTATCTATCTATCTATCTATCTATCTATCTATCTATCTATCTATCTATCTATCTATCTATCTATCTATCTATCTATCTATCTATCAAGCCCAAGATTATTTCTACCCCTGGCAAATTTTGACTTAAAGTTACTTTTATTCAACCAGCAAGTTTTTTATTAATTGGAAATGACACAGGCATCTCCCAGAAGATAATAAGATGATGTACAAGAGGCATCGTTGTGGAAAGAAATATTTCAAAGCTTTTATTTACATTTGAACAAAAAGTGGGATGTCCAAAATTATTCATACCCTTTGCAAACTGTCACAGTCTATGGGAGAATCCAAAGTTCTATACCATTCCAAATAGTCCAAGCTGTTCTAAAGCATCCTAATTACCCTGATTGATTGGGAACAGCTGTTTTAATCAACTCAACAGGTGAAAAACAGCTCTCTGCAGTTGGGTTTTGGACAGTCATGATTAAGACAAAGGATCTCACTGAGGACCTGCAGCTGCGCATTGTGGCTGCTCACAAGTCAGGAAAGGGCTAAAAAGCTATGTCTTAATGTTTTCAAGATCCAGTGTTCACAGTGCAAAGTGTTATTAAAAAATACAAGACATTCTGCACTGTGGAAAATCTCAGAGGACGTGGTAAAGCCTAAAGTGACACCTGTGCTGTCCAGGAGGATAGCGAGAGAGGGAGAAAGAATCCAAGGATCACCGCCAAGGCCATCCTGGTGAATCTGGGCTCTGCTGGTGGCAACATCTCAAGGCAGACAGTCCAACGGACACTGCACACTGCTGGGTTCCACAGATGCAGACCAAGGAGGACGCCACTTCTCCAGATAAGGCACACAAAAGCCCGCTTGGCCTTTGCAAAAGCTCATCTGGACAAAGAAGAAGACTTCTGGTCTTCTGTTTTGTGGTCAGATTAAACAAAAATTGACTTGTTTGGCCACAATGATGTAGCCTTCATTTGGCGTGAAAATGGAGAAGCCTTCAATCCTAAGAACACAATCCCCACTGTCAAACATGGTGGTGGGAATCTAATGCTTTGGGGGTGTTTTTCAGCCAATGGACCAAGGAACCTAATCACAGTAAATGGCACCATGAAAAAAGAACAATACATTAAGATTCTCAACACCAACTTCAAACAGTCTGCAGAGAAACCTGGCCTTGGGCACCAGTGGACATTTCAGCACGACAACGACCCAAAACACACAGCAAAAGTAGTAAAGAAATGGTTAGCAGACAAAAACATGAACGTTTTGCAGTGGCCCAGCCAGAGTCCTGACTTGAATCCAATAGAGAATCTGTGGAGGGAGCTTAAGATCAGGGTGATGGCAAGGAGGCCCTCCAACCTGAAAGAGTTGGAGCTCATCGTTAAAGATGAATGGTTGAGAATACCAGTAGAGACATGCAAAAAGCTGGTCAGCTATTATAGGAAGCGGTTGATTGCTTTAATAGCCAAAAAAGGCTTTGCCACTTTTGGTTCAAATGTAAATAAAAGCTTTGAAATGTTTTTTTCCACAAATGATGCCTCTTGTACATCATCTTATCTTCTGGGAGATGCCTGTGTCATTTCCACTTAATAAAAACTTGCTGGTTGAAAGTAACTAAGTCAAAATTTGCCAGGGGTATGAATTATTTTGAGCTTGACTGTATAAGAAACTGTTAGGACCATCCCTTTAAATATATTTTACAGATTTAAATTATTTTTCTGAATGTTTAAAAGAAAAACTCAGAGCAGGTGACAAGGACTAAGATGCCAAAATATTCTCTCATATGAATTTGTTGCTCATGTGTAATGATTATTGTTCTGCACACTGGGGAACTAGATGGAATAATGCCATTTATCAACATGCCAGTGCAAACCCTCTTCATGTATCTCTGGGCTGAGATGTTTTAGTTTTGTAGTTATTGGTCTCTGTCTGTATCATACTCATTATGCATAAAAGTGCTGAAGAAAAAAAACCAACCACCCCTGGTCTGCCCTACTACCAATCTGAATTTGGGTATTTCAAATATGTTACTGTCAAGACAGTGCTGCTTTAGAGTTGCATACAGTGTGTTTAAATCATTGTCAGACACGTAGCTGGACCTTAGGGGATCTGCGGCCCGGATCTAGGAACAAGTCATGCACCCATGTACAAAAAACAGGAGATGCTTATCAACTGCAGAAATTTTATTGAACCAAATATGGATTTTTCAAAACAGGCTTGCTTTCCATCACCTTAAGTCACAGAAGCACAGTATGACCTGGCCATGGCTTAGATTATTACTGTAGTACTTTAGCGCATCTTCATCTTAATTGGCATTTATAAATTATTGCATTACAGTGCTGAAATTTAAAAGATTCAAGTGTCCATAACCACGGGCCGCATTAAAGGCCTCACTTTGATCAAAGTAAGACCATCTCTGAGCAACCGTTTACCTAATACTTGAATTGGCAGCAAAATAAAATAGTAAAAATCAGTCATTAAGAAGGAGCAGAAGCACAGTTTGCTGGACAGGATGGTGGAGATGGTATGTACTGATCACAAACACTGCCCTCCACTCTGAGAGCAGGCTGCTGGGTATGAAAACAATGCAAAAGTAGGATTTTGAAAAAGATGGAAGTCACTTATGTAAGCAAATTTCCAAATCAAATGACATACTTCCCTTCTTCCCACTTGCAGCATTTGTTTCTGAGAGTTCACCCACTTCCACCACAAACACTGGTATTAAGTTGATGACATCTCTTTCTCACACCCTTTCCCCACCCAATTCCACATGACACCACTCCAACATATGGACACTCATTTTATTTAAACACCTTTCAGTACAAAACAAAAAAGTTACACAGAACGGTGCCTCCATAGTGTGGCACAAGAACCTAAAAAGAAAAATTAAAAAAAGGAAATTAACAGTGGGGGGAAAAGGAAAGAGGAAGTGTGTGTGGGAGGGTCATCACCACTCATCCCTGATGTTGTGTGGAGCTGCAGTGGTGTGTCTTTGTGAGAGCGAGCCTGCCCCCTGGTGTTGTAGGGGGGTGATGGTGTCAAAGAGTCCCATGTTTGTCAGAGGTAATTCACGTGTTAGCTAATAGGAGGCGGTGGGGCTGCGAGGGAGGGGGACAGGAAGAGCAACAGCAGCACATAGGAGAGGAAGGGGGGAAGGGGAGGGAGGTGTTTAATGGCCTTCCAGGAGAGAAGGGGGATGGGGCTGCTTGCTCCTAAAAGCCGTGGACTTTGAGCTGCTCCTCCTTGGCCAGGTTGACCTGTAGGTTAAAAGCAAAAGATCAATCAATTAAGATGGCCTCTGGTTGCCAGTCTGCAGCTCGTCTCATGAGTCAGCATTGTTCCCCAGTCGCAAGAGATACAAACAACCAAGGGATACAGAAGACGTACCTCCAAGATAAATGCGCAGATATTCTTACGCTGGTCACCCTGAAGCTGGATCACTTCACCATACTCTGGGTGCTCAATCACTGTACCATTGCAAGCAAACTTCTGTTGGGGCAAACAAGAACAGAGCAAAGAGTCAGTGTGAATAAATACAAAAAAATAAAAAATAACAGACATCATCTGCATTTAGCAAGAGCTGGAAAGGCACTCTCAAAAAAGTACCTTCTTGAAGGCCTTGACTAGCTTCTTCTTGTCATAGTCAGCGGCGATGCCCTGAACAGTGGTGAGGGTCTTCCTGCCGTTCCGCTGTTGGATTCTTATGTGGATGTAATCGTCTGTCCCGGCTGGGAGCTTGTCATCACCCTTAGTTGCATCAGCAAAGGGGTCTGCGAGGAGAGAGAAAACATTAGCTACAGCCTGGATAGGGTTCAAGAAAGTATCCTCTGGGCCCAAGCAAGAATTTCACTATGCATCTTCTCTATGCCATCCTTCACCTGTGTTCTCTGGTATTGTTTCATCATCAAACAGCTGATTAAATTATTTAAAGTAGTTCAGATATCATGTTAAGCCCTTCATGGATCTCGTGTGGTCTTTGAGGCCTGTTGTCAAATGCTACATGCATGGACTTTACAACCAAAAATAACCCCCATATCTATGTTTAAACACCTTTATCTATCCGTCTCCGAACATATCCAGGTCAGCTATTCGCCAGCCCCGTGTCATCTCATATTTCAGATAAATAACTGCGCAGACGAGCTAAATATAAAGCCTACCAGCTTAGGGCAGCGGTAGTTAGCCGCCGCTCAGCATTACCCCGAAAAACGGCTACGGAAAGAGCGACCATGACAAAGCAACTTTCGTTCGTCTTGTGTGTGCCATTATTCAAGAAACAGATCTGTCGGAGCGATATCGTGAAGTTTAAACAATAATGGATCTCATAAATCAGAGAGGAGAAGAAGAAAAGGCTTGATGATCAGCAGCCAAGTCTGGGCCTAATGGCGGCCGATCTGAGTTAGCAAAGGCCCGCAAGGCGAGCAGTGTTTTAAGGTTGATTTAAATACTTCAATCCTTTAACTTTTAACATATTTTTCACAAAGAACTCTCACTTGGGTCAAATCCAAACAATTATTTAACATATTTCTTCGCTAAAGTTAGGTAGACACCCGGCATTAGCTCGGCTTCACGCCGCCCTTCCCCCACCTTGTCTGGCTGTTACTTTGATTAAAATCACAACTTACCAAAAGTAAGGAGGTTCTGGATACCGGACATACGATAAGATTTGCTTTCCTTTCGGGTGATAACTTGGTTAGCGAGCGGTTCGTCGGCTAACTTAGACTTTTTATGTCGTTTCTGAGTTTCGCCTTGCGCGGGGACGATGCTCTGCTTCGGCAGTCTTCACAAAATGGAGTTCGTTGAGCTCGTAGGACTGAAAAACAAGGCTTTATAGCCCCGCCCCAATGTAAACGTCATCGCGTCGCTGACGTTTCGAGAGAACGTCGTCGGCAGCCGCTCCCCGATGTTTCTCCATTTTACTGGAAGGGTGATGTCATCGCTTTATAATGTCATATTTGCATCAGGAAAATAACCATATATGAGCAAACACCTCTTTGTTACGTTGAGTAATGCTATTTTAATTTCTATTTTTATATATTTTACCTTAAAAAGATGAGTTTTAAACATTTAATAGATAGACTCACTGTCCAAATATTACTTTGGCAGCCTCCATTGAGAATTTAAAGCTCATGTAAGGAATTGCTTGGCATAAAAAACTGAACATAACATTGATGCCTCCTCATGCCCTGAAAAAGCAAATGAGACCTTCAGCAAAAATACAAACCATATCTATGGTGTAATATCTAATGACATTGGTAAGGGCAAAGACAATACACGTAGACGAGGCGACGCTGGAGCGTAAATAGCGTCGCCGCCATACTGGATAGGACTCCCCACTCCAGGCTCGCGCAAGAGCCAAACAAGGTCAATGGAGAACGAGCAACTATGCCTGTTTTTTTTTTTTTTTGTTTTTTTTGCACTCTATGGTTGAAAAACCTGATGCAGTATTGAAACCAGATCACATAGGATTACATTTCACAAAACTACGTATATTATGTCTATGGGTAAGGGGTAGTTGTCCAATTAAACTGAGCGCTGCTGATTCAGCATATGTCTCAATTTTAGCATTCCCAGTGGAAAAAGTTCTACGCGCATAAACTTATGCTAGTTTCAAATAATAAATATAATAAAAAAAACAAATATATAAAATTTCCCAATCATGTTCCCAATGGTCTTGTTTGGTTTTGCGTATCATGAAAAGCCATCAATATAAATCTCTGTAAGGTAAAAAAAAAAACTCCCTACAGGAGCTTTAAGTACTTGTGTTGACAAATAGAGGCTTTTATCCTTAATCTAATACACTTTACTCTGAGAGTACAGTCCTACTCGTGGTACCTTAAGTGTTTAAAAGTAGTTTGAGAGGTAGAGCCCTCTGTTATTTGGTCCTTCTCCTTGGAAACCATCAGTCAGTCAGGTTCCAGGTAGCAGACGCTCTTTCCACCTTTGAGAGCAGCCTTATTACTTTCCTTTTTGGCCTAAGCTTTAGCAAGCTCGAAGTTGTGCTGCTAGGTTACTTGTCATGTCCATCACTGAAACTCCATCTCCCATTAGCTCATTACTGTCAGGTTGGTTGACCTACTTTGTACCCGAAACACTTGACAAAACCAATTAGCAAGAGGCTAACAGGATCATTTTTTAAGAAAGTTTTGTCTTTTTTTTTTTTACATCCTTACTTTGTCAAGGAGTTGTTTACTAACCAGCTTCCTAGCAACATGTTTATGCTATTCAACTTCTGGCTCAGAGCCTGACGTGTGAAGACTAGAGCGTGCACAGAACGCTTAGGCTAGTTTTGGTCTGATTAAGTGAAGTTTGATTAAATGCAATTTTAGTCAGACTAATGTGTTTACATTTTTTCTAGACTCACTTACAACTACAAGTGAAATTCAAATACTCGACCTGTTGCCTTCAATCAGTTCAGGCTGGATGAGTTAGAGAATGAGGAAATTTCATTTGCATGCTCTGCTTTACTTGCCAAAAAAACAGACACGTGGTATTCAAGGGTGTGAACAGCAAGTAGAACAGATAAAATAATGGCATGAAAATGAAACAATTCAATCGTTGAACTTAACAGGACAGGACATTACAGAGCAGCCACGACACAAAAATGGCCCAGCAACCTGCCCAGCCAGGTAAGTTCACATAATACAGAATTATAAAGAAAATTTCATACTAGCTGTTAGAAGTGACTGTTAGAAACTGTAGTTCTTGCTGTTGTGATTTTGCTTATATTGAAAAGTGTGAATGGTGTTTTCAAGTTACTTTCCCAAACTTTTTCCATGGAATCAAAATATCACAATACAAAAGAGTCAACCCTTTATGAAAAAGAACATTTTAGCATGGAAACAATGAATATAATCTGAAGTGTAAGAGAAAGAGGTTATAGAAGTGCATCAAAAGACACACCTTAGACAGGAATCTAATCTAGCCAGTATCACACTGTGGTGTATAGAGCTGCCAAACAGTTAAAGGGAACAGCCTCTTATAGTGTTCATGGCCAAAACATTGATTCAGTTCGAACTTGTGATTAATAAGAAGTAGATTTTTCTTCAAAAGCAGCTGCAATTACAATCTGCAACATATTTAACATGAAATCACTCAGTTAGACACACCTGTCCTTTATTCATGTATTCTGAAGTTTCGGGTCTCAATACCAAGTTATACATTTGAGGATATACGCTCTCAAAGAGGGGTTACTTTAATGAATGAGTAGCTACCACAAAGATTTTAAAAAGGTAAATGTTTCAAAAGTGCTATTTTAACTCAGTGGTTAAAGCTCTTGTGAAGAATCATTGGTTTGTGTCAATGTTAGCACCTTTGCAGACAGAGCAGTATCTTATCCAGCTGACTTTTGACTGTCAAATCTGTCATTTTGTCTGAATATCTGACATAGATGATGTAAAAGAGAGGGTCGTCTCCCTCTGGCTGACACCTACCCCCCCTTGCACCATTTTCAGACACTTAAAATGACATTTTAAAAACTGTAATTTGTTGCTTATTGTCTTGCATGCTATCCTATATCATAAAAAGGCATTAAAATGGAATTCGGTCTCTTCAACCAATATATTAACAACTCTTCAAAGGCGCGCACACCATGTATAGAGGCTGTGGTTCTTAAGGTGGACTACCTGGTCCTTTACCACATATTCACAGTCTCATGTCTCATCAAAAGGTATCAAAGCCCCTAAAATAGTAATCAATTTAGTATAGTTTAGCAATCCAGACTTTAAAAACAAGTTCAGCTAAGATTGTTAGCGGCATGCTAGCTAAAACACCAAGTAACAAAGCTTGGGATCGTTCTTGGCTGACTCATCACAGCAAGATGAATCGTGAGTCCCTGCTAAGCTAATATTGATATTATCAAGCAAAGGTTTTTAGCTAAACCCATTTTTTGTGTGTGTTTCAGATACCCAAGACCCAGAGCTGAAGATAGTGATGATTGGACGGAGTAGAGTGGGAAAGAGTGCAACAGGAAACACCATCCTGGGGCGAAAGGCTTTTAAGTCTTTCATGTCCAATTCCCCTGTGACGCAGGAGATCAAGATAGAAAAAGGAGAGTTGGAGGAGCAGAATCTGGCTGTTATTGATACCCCTGGTCTGTTTGGGAACAACTCATCTGACACTTTTGACGAAGCAGCCCCACAGAGGGTGATGGAGGGGATCAAGCAGTGCCCGCAGCTCGCGTCACCTGGCCCAGTTGTGTTCCTGGTGGTGCTCCAGCCTGGTAGATTCACAGAGCCTGAGCAGCAAGCAGTGAAACTAATCCAGAAGAGCTTTGGCAGGGAGGCAGCACATTACACCATGGCTTTGTTCACTCGAGGCGATGATCTTAAGAGAGAAGGAGGGTCCATCGAGGAGTTAATTGGAGCGAATCAAGTGCTGCGTGACTTCATCAGGGAGTGTCGTGGGGGCTACCATGTGTTTGACAATGGAGAGAAAGATTTCCCTCAAGTTACTGAGCTGTTGAGGAAGATCAATGCCACTGTGCAGAGAAATGGAGGGGGCACTGTTGAATTGTCCCATGAAGGTGAGGGAGACCCCCATGGAGGAAACATTGGAAGAAACATAACTGAAACAGAGAAAGCGTTACTCTTAGCCTGCCTTGATGGCGCTTTGGGGGGTGCGACTTCATTTTTAATATTAAGCAGTGTTTTTCGTTTGTGGCCAAGAATTGTTTTATCATGGGCTATAAAAAGAGGTATGGTTGGTGCACTTGGAGGTGCAGCACGCTTTGTGGTTTGTAGACTGATCTGGAGAAGCTGAAAGAAGTTAAAAAGCCTCCTCAGCTGCATGACTGCAGTGTAGTCTGAAAGCGCAAGTTTCCATTGCCCTCTAAATTCTGTATGTTATCAATGTCCTCAAAAATTGTGCTTCATATGTTTATGTAATCGTCTACTGGTGAAAAAATCTCAATTAAAATAGTGAACCACACAGTGTTCAGGTGCTGAAACATTTGATTGTGTTGGTAGGGTGCAGACAGAGCATGTTTGACGATAACAAAAGATCTACAAATATATTATTTCAGTTCAAAAAGAAAACATGAGCTATAAAATGTAAACTATAAGGATTACTAACATGTTGTAAAGTGTATTGTGGTACTTTTTCTTCTCTGTAAAGGTGTTGATTTAGCCAAAGCCAAGTGGTTTTGAGGAATAAAGTTGTCAAAGGCTTTCCTGTCTGTGGTTGTGTGATATCATTTTGAAATTTTGTAGTTTGTCAAGTTTTAATAGTCTCTTTTCTTTGTCTGACTGTGCCGAATTCCAGTTTTGCTGATCTGAGACAATAATACTGTAGGCAGTCTTCAGGCACAGTAGCAGGTAGGTCCATTAGGTTTATACAATGTAATGTTATTACTGATATGTAGTCAAACTTGATACTAAAAGTCAGAATACTCATGAGGTCAGCAAAACTACTTCAGGAACAAAGTTGAGAAAAAAAAAAAGTTGAGATGTCCAACACTTGGGGAGTGTAGCAGCGACACACCATTTGTTTGAGTGTATTTTCCACAGGACTTTTCAAAATCTTACGCTGATGGTTAAGTAGATCTTAGCAGTGACGGCTGGGGCGCTTCAGAGTGGTTAGATGTAGTAAATATATCAGGGGCTCACTACAATCCTTACAGGGTTATTTCACCAATCACTTCTACTTAAATTCAATTCTATAAAAAATGTAACACCTTTATGTTCTTTCTAATTCAAAGCTCCTCTGAGAAACTTTTGGTTTGGGTCAGATTTGGCGCCCCCTGTGGACAAAGCAGTCTTTGCTTATCGTGTCCTTTATATACTAAAGTAGCGCCTTTTGACAAAAAACATGATCTTGATGACTTTTGAATCTCTAATGTACTATTGTGAATAGTTTTTGTATTGAATGTAAAAAAAAACAACCGTATAAGTTGTTCTCAGCTCTTCTGGAGCATAGTAAACTCTGTGCACCGTCTTCAACAGTGATAGTTAATGCCTCAGATATGAGGAGCGCTAATAACCTTTTAAATAAATAAATCAAAGAGCAGTCTTCTTGGTGGACTTCTGTGTATGGTGTGGTAACCACTGTGGTTTTAGGGTGTGAATCCTAACCCGGGTTCAGATGAGTTCAATCATGTCTGACTCAATGAAGTGCATACACATTAGTCTTCAGAGTCATTTTATTTCTTTTATCAATCTGATGCTAAATTTTGTCTGTTGTTTCCATGTACAAGCTTAACATGTAACAAACATATTTTAATCAATTTCACTACAAATGTAGACAATAGAAATAAAAAGCCATGCCCACTTTAGACAAACACCAGAACCTTTAATGAAAGTCACATTCATCTTAATGACCATGTGGTAGAAAAAAAAAAAATTATGGTTGAGAGTGTAGCAAGCAACCTTAAACAGTTCACCAGCAATACCCATGAGCTACACAACAGCACAATAGTGCACAAAGAAACAAAACAGGCAGGATAATGAACAGGACTTTAAAAACTGACAATAAAAAGTTGAGTTATCTTGTAGAGTGACTTGAGTTTACCAGGTCCTAAATGGATCTCTGTCTTTATTTATTGCCGTTATTTTCCCCGTGTACATTATCTGCAGTTACATTTCACATACTTACCCCAGGAGGCGAAAAAAAAAACACCAGTTGTCATGGCTATAAAAAATTAAACATAAAAAAAGACACCCTGGACAGCAGAAATTAAGATTTTAAAAAGAAGCAGGTTAACTTTTAGGGTGTTGAGTCAGGTTGATGATTTGAGCTGTTCAGAAAACCCACATTAGGGCCGAGTCTTGAGCAGGAATCCTGTCTGTCTTGGACATCTGAAGTCATCGTTTCTTAAACTGTGGAGAGAGAAAAAAAAAAAGGTAGCATGTTAATAAGCTGACACTCAATGGCCTTTGATTGGTAACACAATTACAAAATAATGAGTAGAATAATTTAGTTTTGCCTCAGTTGGTGTGCATTAGAGAACTGTACTGCCAAATGACCATTTAGAGTCACAAAAACACAAAAATCTCACCTAATAAAACCGCCGTAGAGCACTTTTTTCCACTTTCTTTTTCCAAATTTTTCCTTTGAATTATGGTTTTACGTTTAAGGGATCTGGTTGTAACAAGTGGCAAAGAAAACAGCAAATTTTGGGGGACGTCTTTCTTGAAATGTTTTTGGACACTTAACAGTGATCTGAAAAATCCGGTCCTGTCTGTGCACTTTTAGTAGACATACTTTGAGCGTTACACTGCAACCGTAACAGACTGTTTCTAGGCTGCAGGAAGAGGAAATCAGCAAAAGTGACTTCCAACATTTGAGCACAAATTTCTTGATTTAGAACCAAAACTGTGTTAAAGTAAGGTGTTAAAGATACCTGAATCCCCCTCAAAGCTAAATGCTCCCCCTCTCTGAGCCCACTACACAGAATGAATTCTGTAAACTGTAAAAATTAAACTGTGTCAGAAGAATAAAAGTAAAGGGTAAAATACTACGGGACTGATATGGGAAAACAGTTCAGCAAACCTCAGAGACCCTCAAGCACCTGTCTGGGGATAATATCTGGAGGACAGTGGCTTATGAGTCATTTAGAAGGGCAAACACATCTAGATCTGAAACTCTCCTCACTTGTTGTTGTCATTCTTTCTGCATTTGCTGTAAAAGAGAATTTTTGCTCAGAATTTTAATAAAAAAAAGCACAAGAATCACAACTCCGCTCTCAAATACTCACCTCTTGCTGGCGCAGTAAGACCTATGGAGACGACTGGCCTCCATTTTCTGCTGCTGACTTGGGCTGGCTTCTAGATCTCGACCTGGAGCATCTTTTGGAGGCAGGTGTGTGGCTTCTGGACCTGGACCTGGACCTGGACTTGGACTTGGACTTGGATTTGGATTTGGATTTGGATTTGGATTTAGATTTGGACGGTGCAAAAGTGACTTCCAACATTTGAGCACAAATTTCTTGATTTAGAACCAAAAACTGTGACTTGGAGCGGGAGTAGGATCGTGACCTGGATCTGCTGTGGCGGGATCGGCTCCGGGAGCGAGAGCGGCTCTTGCTGCGGGACCTGCTGCGTCTTCTGCGTCTCGGGCTGCGGGAAGAGCTGGGTACAATCAGTGGGCGGGGTTATCATTTGAAATGTATGAAAGGCATCAAGACAGAAACTGTGTCCTGTAAGTACAGAAAGTAAAGGGTAAAACACTACGGGACTGATATGGGAAGACAGTTCAGCAAAATGCCTTGATCATGACCCTCATGTCCCTTTTGGAGCTTGTGACTCTACTTTCAGATGCATTTTTCCACTGGTGATCCATTAGTTATGCCATAATTTGATGGTTGGAATTTAAATGCTGTCTGTCTTAAAAGGCTGAAAATGCTGAGTATTAAAAAATAATCCCACCTTTTCAACCCATTACAGCCACTGGTTTAAGCCTATGGGCAGCACAAAATGTAACATATGCTTTCAATTTATCGGAAAATCTTGAAATTCGTATTTTTTACAATTATCCAGCAGGTGGCGCCTTTGAGCCATTTTAGATCTCGACCTGGAGCATCTTTTGGAGGCAGGTGTGTGGCTTCTGGACCTGGACCTGGACCTGGACTTGGACTTGGACTTGGACTTGGACTTGGATTTGGATTTGGATTTAGATTTGGACGGTAAAAAAATTAGCCGAGGCAACAAATTCACTGCGGATCTACCGATGTCTTCTCGCTCTCCATAGCCGGTCTTAGCAACAGCAGCGCGGTTAAATCTACTCAACAACCCCACTAGGCCTGAACGATATATCGTTTGACTATCGTCATTGCGATGTACGTGTGTGCGATAGTCACATCGCAGAGCCTGCGATATTGGAGGTGAATGAACTCATTTAATTTCAAGGGTAACCGACTGAGATACACTGCATGTGACTCTGCATGTGCTGTGCAGCGATCCACCAATCGCCTTCGTCCTTAACTCAGTTGCCAATCAGACTCACTTCTCAGCTGCCAATCAGGCTACCCTGCCAGCTGTCAATCAAAATCAGGGAGGAGAAAACCCACCCCTGCACATGTTCTGCACATGGAGGGAGACGTGTGTCCGCTGAGAATTACTTTCGGAACTTTACTCATGACTATTAAGCCGGACAAATAAGAACTGTATGGGTTTTAAATTGTACATTTCCGTGGATCACTCCATTAGGCAGGCCATAATTTGATGGTTGGAATTTAAATACCATCTGTCTTAAAAGGCTGATAATGCTGAATATTAAAAAATAATCCCACCTTATTTCAACCCATTAAACCACCAAAAATGAAGATTTGTTGCCAAAAATAAAAGGAAAGTCAGTTATCTGGAATTATTTCGGTTAAAAAAGGATGATGTCGACCAAAACACGTCTTCTGTGTTCATCTGTTTCCACAATAACGTCCCAGCACAATAAAAGCTAAAAATATCTCTGAGACAGACAGAAGCCGTTCTACTAACATTCACAAAAAGAGGTAAGATCAGAGCAGATTAAGTGTCCTCAAGATTTCAGCAGTGCAGCATAACATTAAGTGCTATTCAGGTCATCTGGTGAAAATACTGTATTTTTAATATCGCAATATATATCGCAGGGTTGAAAAAATCGCAATATTATTTTTTTCCAATATCGTGCAGCCTTAAACCCCACTGTCAACGTCGGGTGTTGAATAAGGGACCCTCAATAAATTACCGGTTAATATTCTCAGAAAAGGCTGTTTTCCTTCAAAAGCTTCCATGTCATGTGACCAATTGACCTAAAATTGATTTCAAATAATAGTACCCATGTCGACCAATAAGACAAACATTACTTGATCCATTTTCATTGTGCCCCTAAAGTTCATTGTGTGCTCCTTATGAAAAAAAGTTTGTGTCGAGCCCTGTTGAAGTGGCGCTGTCACAGTTTAACGTTAAAACATTCGCAATGGGAAAATCGCCTGACTTCTGAGTCTCTTTAACACCTAATTGAAAAATTGAGACCAAAAATGGAAGAAAGAACCATTTCTTTCCACCTTTTAGTTATTAGCTTGTTTTTAGCCTAACATTATATCAGTCCCAAGGCTTAAGCGAACTCGGCGCCTGCTTAGGGCCCTGCGGCCAATAGGGGGCCCCCAGGAGCAAAAAATAATAATATTTTTTTATTTTTTGCATGTATGAGTGATGCTTTCTGTATGATCGAAAGAATCATCGTAAAAAAAAAAAAAAATTAAGTTGAAATATTTTAGTGCTGCTGCTGATGTAGGCCTATGATTTTTACTGACGATATGTCAAAGCTCCGCGACCATTATGTGCCTTCTGTTGTGCAATGTGAACTGAGCATCCAAAGTGCAGGTAGTTTTTGGGCAAAACAATGAGAGAGTGTGTTAATGAGAGAGATTTATGAAGGTACATGAATGATCAACAATCAATATTATTAGCAGAAATAGAGGGGCCCCAAATCTAATTCTGCTTAGGGCCGCATTGAGGCTTTGGCCGGCTTTGCCAACCAGCAATAACACTTTAAACACCCAGGCAATCTAATACAACAACTCTACCACAAATTATGCTTACACTAAGCTTATATAAGCTGATATGATGCCATTTTTGTTGAAAAAAAAGTTATTAGTGAAATGGTTATTGTATCTTATATTGATTTCTGAAAGCGTTGCAGTGGTGGTGTACTGGATTGTATTTTAAAAGGGGCTTCCTTACAATTGGTTTACTTCACTGACAAACATAAGAAAGGCAGAGATACATTTTAACCTAAGGCACAACACTAACACCAACTTAGGTTTAACAATTTTACAGAAAAGATATCACCATATCAACAAAATAACAAAATGTTCAAGCTTGGTTTTAAAGGGTGGTCAAGAAGCTGCTGTACACTGAGCTGCATTTAAAGGCAAAGGTGTTCATAATACCATGACTGGTAGGTGTAGAATTCAAATAGTATGTTAATATTCACTAAAAACTATTGATTGGTTCTCCTGGTCAGGGTAGAAATGAACTAAACTTTTCTTAACTTTATGGGGAAACTGAGGCGATGTAGCTGCGCCACTGTATTCGCGCCCTTGGGTTAACCCTTTGTGGGGGGGGGGACGACTCACTTCTGGGTCTAACGTGGGCCGATTAGTTCAGCTGTTTCGGCTAATTTACTGAAATTACTCCCTTCGTTCTTCAATTGCGCTCAGTTAATCAACCGACCATGAACTCTCACGGTTGCTCAGTCTCAAAGGGGTCTGGTCCACATAACCAGCAGTTTTACGCATGTTCTTACCTCCTGCTTCGGCGTCCATAGCCTCCCTGTCTCCTTGGCGGCCCTCCTCTCCTTCCTCCTCCTCCTCCTCCTCCTCCGCCGCCGCCGTGATGGGACTCAAGGGGCCTCCCGTATCGAGCCATCTGAACCCGCAGCTCCCTTCCATCCAGGCGCGCACCGTCCATGGCGTCCATGGCGTCCTCTGCGTCGCGCTTATCGTGGAAACGCACGAATGCGAAGCCACGGCTTTCTTTCGTGTAACGATCACGGGGAATATACACATCCCCTACCCGGCCGTAATCCTCGAACACACTTCTGAGGGTTTCGGGTGAGGTTCGGTACGTCAAATTGTCGACTTTAAGAGAAGTCATGCCGTCAACATCTGGGGGAGGCCTACCGTAATTCATTGTGATTAGCTTGCTAGGCCCGATAGCCTTCCGCGAAACAGTTCAGAAACTCGCAACGATCAAGCTCACCTTCTCGAATAACCCCGCACGCACACGTACATGCGTGAGTTTCTTCAAAGTTACTGGCACAATCGTAAAACTAGAGCTATTCGATCGCAACTCCACCCATGTCGTCTCCAACTTTCCTAAACTAGTCCACACGGTAGAACAAACTTCTTCCTCTTTAGAAAAATGGCGCCTCTCTGAATTATACTATCAGCAGGAGCGCCCTCTGGTGGTATCGTCTTTGTTGTTTCTAACAGTCGAAAAAAAGCGCCCAAGAAACCGAGAAAAAATATCCTCATTAAAGCAGAGTTTTTGTAAACTATTAATACGAGAAATATGCTTCTGAATTGCAAGATATCGTTTAAATGGCTAACCTTTCGTCTGTTTTGGAAAGAAGTGCAAAAGCGTTGCAGGCGGAAGTAGACTGTTTTGTTGAGTCATAAGTAGGCTGGATTGGCTTTAGCACCTCATATATAAACGAGAGCTATGTGGACAGAGCATTTGTAACTCAGGGTAGTGATGGGCACGACAGTTCTTCTGTGCTGAATCACTAGAATCAGTTCACTAAAAAGATTCGTTCAAAAGATTCGTTCACCAAATCACCCGAAACGTAGCGTTTGGCGGGAGAAGCATGCGACTCCGACCTCCTGAACTGATACACAAATGAACGGTTCAGGATTCAAATGAACTTGTTTATAAGTCATGATGTTTTAAGTGTACTGTCCTATGGTATGCTATTTATCAGGTCTGCTAGGTAAATTGGGCTCAGTGAGTGATTTGTTCACTGAATTCAAACTGAACATACACCGCAAACCGCTGCAAAGATAAGATGCTGCGGGTTTAATGCACTACTTGCTACATGCTGTGTCCTATTGTATGCAAGTTTTTGTGGTGGCAATTTAGCAGTAAAAAAACGCTGTTTCTCACTTCAGCTTTACTGAAGCTCGACTGAAGTAAGAAACGAAAGAATCACTCGAGGAAGTGATTCGGTTCAGTACGTCACTTAAAAGATTTGGTTCTTTTGAACGAATCGTTCGCGAACGACAAAACACAATGTCGACTAGCACAGTCACAGCACACAAGTCAGCTGATCTTATTCACATGACAGCCCCCTCCACAGCGGGGCAAATCCAGAGCACCGGTGCCGTGAAAGTACCTCAGAGAAAACGCTTCAGACGACGGAAACCTCCGTATCAGAGTTCGTTTAGGAGCCACGAGAAGAACATGATTTTCTAAGGATATCGGACCAGCCGCAGAGAGCCAACAATGTCACAAGTAACACACTAAAAGCCTGCACTGAAAGGAGCAACCGGAGGGTTAGCCTAATAGCTTCAGCACTGTTGGTAAGTTGTTTGCATGTAAGTCTAAATTAAAGTTTTTACAAACGAAAAAACACATTTTTCTCTAAGATGAAGAAAAAAAGACAAAAGCCATATTTTAAAACTGCTCATTGTTTGTAGTGAGACATATTGCACAGACAAACATAGGCGATGTTGTTGCTAATAAGCAATTATTTTACATATGTTGTTTCCTAGCTCTATCGTGTGCCGAATTTACATTAGTTTAGCATTTTAACTTAGTATTAGGTTGTGTGCGTGATTCGTTACCGACTTTTACTTGCGAAGTTATTTGCCTTAAAACAACACATTTTTTGACTGAGGTTTGGTTAGGCTGTTAATGTGAGTTGTCTCGTCACATGCAATGCTGATGTGTGCTTGTCTTCTTCCACTCTCAGAGAGGCTGTTCATTCCCAGTCTCTTTTTTGGTATTTACTTCCTCAAGGAATTTACACTCAACCTTCATCATGAGTCCAGAAGGAAAGAAGCTCTTGAACATCCTCATCCTCGGCTTTGGCTTTATGTTTATGTTCACTGCTTTTCAAACATGTGGCAATATAGAGGTAAGTTTGTCCCACATTGATCACACATATCTTCAGATTAGATAATCTGTCATCAGTCTGAAATGGTTTGTCTTCGTTGTGACAGCAAACAGTGATCAAGAGCTTCAACAGCACAGAGTTCCATGGGAGTGGATACACGAGGTAAAGGGCTCCTGCTCTTATAATCACATATAATTAGATTATGTTTTATTTTTGGTACACAACAACTGCACTGATGTCAGACTTATCTTAACAAACTGTAGATAAGTAGTCCTCCTAATGTTGACGAAATTCATTCTTAAGAAAATCTGTTAAGGATAATTAAATCTTTGTTAACCATAACAGAGTTTGCTCTGGGCTAATTGTATAGTCTATTCAACATGATTTCAATCATTCAAATCAAGTGGTCAATCCTGCAGTCTTGAACTTGTGGTCTGCCATCTTTCTGGACATTTTGGGGATATAATTGGCGGAAGGGACAAAAAATCACCATAAAATTGGGTCATAGCATTTATTTGTGTTCACTCAGCTTTAACATCACTCTCTTAAAACCCAGCAGACTCATTGACAACAACACATATTTTACCTCTTAGAACATGCAAGTTGCACATCTACACTGGCCACTTTTAAGTGATATTTGTTTGTTTCACATTGATGTACTTTGGATCTGAAACTTCACAGAGCAGTACAGTCTTGTAGCTTTGACGAAGGCTGTATGGCTTATGCACATGATTTATTTTTGCTGCACTGTGCTGAGTCAAAGACATACTTCAGTATGGGTACAATAACATGAATAAGCTTGTGTTATATCTTATACATTATATTACATCATTTCATATTGTGCCAAATTGTATTGTCTTGTATTGTACTGGATCATGTTTTATTGTTCTGTATTGTACTACGTATTGCACCTGACAATGTTTGAAACTCTGAAACAAACTCTGAGTTTAACTAAGAACCACTAACTTTTGCTATCTATTCCTTCCAGCATGGCCATCATTTATGGAGTTTTCTCTGCATCCAACCTGATCGCTCCATCAGTTGTGACTGTCATTGGGCCGCAGCTGTCAATGTTTTTTAGCGGGCTTTTGTACAGGTAAGATCACACTGACCTAAACAGTCACTACCTGATCAGTAACAACAAATTCAAGGTTCTTACGTGTCTTTAAACGTTGCTTTTCTAGCGGCTACATTGCTATGTTCATTTATCCGTACACCTGGAGCTTCTACACGGCGTCTGTGCTTGTTGGAATAGGAGCAGCAAGTACATAAACATTTTCCAAAGATCATTTCTAGCCATATGTTAGTCCTCTTTGTTTGTATTTTCTGATTTTTCTCTTTTCTGTGCTTCAGTTTTGTGGACAGCTCAAGGCAATGTACTCGCTATTAACTCTACTGACACTACCATTGGAAGAAATAGTGGCATATTTTGGGCACTGCTGCAATTCAGGTGAGTCTCATTGTTTGCACCTGAATGGAAACATGATTATTTAAACTTTTGTGAGTTCTAAACAATAAAAATACAACTTCTTTGCAGCTTATTCTTTGGAAATCTTTACATATATTGTGCCTGGCATGGACATGTCCACATAACAGGTAAGCTCCATTAGGAAATCTCGTCCTCACGTGTTCATTGCTGACTCTTGACTTCTTATAAGGAGTTTCATTTTGAGCGTGTGACTCATGTTGTGTTTCCTAGACAAAGACCGCCAGACTGTGTTCATCTCTCTCACGGTGATCAGTCTAGTCGGTTGCTTCCTCTTCTTCCTGATTCGGAAGCCAGACCCAGAACCCTGTGCGTCTGAGGCGTCAGAGTCTCTACTGCAGGCTGAATCCACAGAGAGCAACTCCTTAGCAAGGTGAGGGCTATGAGGGATTCTGGAAACAGGATTTTTCCTCCATGAAATTAAAAACATTGAATTAATCTTCCTGGTGAAAGTGGTGAGCTGTCTTTAAACTGTGCAACAAAATTCTTACTAGTTCTTTGTGAAAGACTTATGTCTTCAAAGTGTCGGTCAAAACTCACATACTGGAACTTCTCCTCGGGCAGAATTAGGCTATTTGTGCTGGTGTGCTTTTAGAAAAGGAGGAAACGCAGTAAGTGTTTTGAAGAATCATCATAAGTCTATAAATACTTGGTGCTGGAAAGCTTGAATTTTGTCTGCCATTTTTAGACAGTGACATTTAAAACAAATGTACTTTAAACAAGTCTTTACTTAGATTCATAAGGTCATAAAAGTGAATCTGACCAGATCATCGTTCTTTAAAGCTCCTGTGAGGAGCTTATTCATGTGTATGAAATACACTGAAATTCATATTGTTCCCTTTTCATGATATTTAAAAGCAACTAAGACCATGAAAAACAAGGTTAAAGGGATATTCCAGCATAAAATTAATTTAGGGTCAAACACACCGCAACTCCGAGTTAGACACCCCCTCTAGAGATGAATGTTGCCGACCGCTTGCTTCTCTAGTTAAACCAACTTTAGTAACAACCGCACGATAGCAATACACAGCGGTCTTAAGAGCCATAAACAAACCTCGACCAAAACGCCACTCTTTAGCTCTAAATGTTCTTCCTTGAGCTGCGTCACCTCACAGCAGTCGGTAATGGACTGGCCCAAGGTCTTGCTACAAATAAGCGGCTGCTGGAAGAGAGTAGGTGAGTTGTGTTTAATCTCTGCTAAAGAAACTAGGCAAAGCATAAAAGATGTTTGGTGGCTAGTGCTACGACTAGGACCCTATATGTACTGTTGATGAAGTTAGGTGCTGTTCTGAGCATTATTTGTGGCTATAGAGTGGCTTTTTGGTTGAGGTTTGTTTATGGCTCCTCAGACCGCTGTGTATTGCTATCGTGCGGTCGTTACTAAAGTTGGTTTAACTAGAGAGATTGTGATGGCTGTGATGTGAATCTTGGGAGCCAATACAGTGATCCAAACATGCACCATAAGGGTTTAGTATTTCCCCTAAAATGCTGAGATTGCTGTTAGAGGTGTCTGACAACCTAACAGAGAGGTTACCTTCAGACGTGCATGTTTTTGATGAAGTGTAGAACGCTTGTCTAAAAGGAGATTGTCGTTGTGTCACTTAAATCAAAGCCACCAGACTCCATTTGAAAAAGCAACTATTTATACCCTTCACCACAAAGGCTCTGTTTTAGTCAGTGTTATTTTTTCATTTATTTTGCATGACACAAATATAAAGGCGGATCCAAACCAACCTTTTTAAACACTTAAGTCACATTATAAGAGAAATTAATGGAGAGCAGAATGCATGAAAATTCAATACAATCACAGTATATGGTGTCTTTCCACTTTATTTACCATATGAGGCAGAGCTTTCTGCCGACACACAAAGAGGGAAATACTAATTATAATGTGAACCCAACATGTCCAAAAAGAAGTAGGATGGAGCAGCACAAACAAATAAACTAGCATGTTTTGATTGTAGTAAAGCAGGGATTTCAGGAAAAGACCATATTAATCACTATTTTTGTCATTGGATTCTCAGGATTTCTTCTTTCTGAAAAAATTAATACACTTAAAATAACTGTATTAGCCACTCATTGGCATTCATAGGCTTTCAGTAGTGTAACTTTTTATCAGGCACGTGCCCACCCAAGGATTGTGTCGCAGTCTCAACGTTATGTTCAAATTTTTCAGACCTGCTTGTCATTTAGACCCAAAATGCAAAAAAAATCAGAATTGAAAATACTAAAGGGGCTCAGTGTCCATTTTTCAGCTGTAACAAGTTCAGCTAAGTTCACGCAACTTGGAGTCCATGTTGGGTAAAATGAGCTGCATGGGGCGAACAATTTGTTCTGTTAATGGCGCTCTTGTCTGAAATAAATCATCTCCACTGGGGTTAAACTAGGGAGAGAGGTCTCAGTGGCATCTCAGATTCCACATAAAGTTAAGCCATGTAGAGACGTACAGAACTAATCCCATGCGGGACCTGGAAATGGCAATCAGGAGATACTTATGGAGGTACTTTTTTTTTATAGTTGTTGTTAAGAAGCCCAAAATATCCTGCTGTGTCTCTGGCGTAGTCTCTTACTTTCATTTCCAGCACCAGGCGGTCTGACATTATTCAACTTCCTGTGGAAAGCTCCCTGGAAATCTTTGGGAAAATGTGTTTCTAAAGATAGATGAGGGTCCTGGTTACCCCACCCCAGAGCAGGAAAGGTATTTTCTTATAGAGCAGTGCTGGATGAGACAGGCGACCTTTTACTGTAAATGCTATCCTTTGTTGCCTTTTCTACATTTCTCTTTGAAACTGCTGAGATACAGTCGCCATGGTGCACCAGTCCAGTTCAGAAGTGAGGTTGAAGATGAAACATGGACCTTTGTACGATCAAGGTCAATAGGTGAAGCTCAAAAATGTGTTCTTTTTCCCATAGTATGATTCAAAGAGTGCAACTTCTATATACTCCAGATTTATCGCACACAAAGCGTCTGTGTGTCGAAGCTCTTGATGCTCAGACTCCAGCGTCAGCCCACTCCTTGTGAAGCTCCTTGAAGTTCTTGAATCTGCTTTGTTTGACAGTCCTCTCAAGCCTGGGCTCATCCCTGCTGCTTAGTCTCCATTTAAATTAAATTATGGAGAAGCAAAAACTTTTTTCAGGATGGGAAATTCATACTTTTTGAGCTGCGCCTGTACAGAGAAAAAAAGATGAACGCAGCTGTTTTATAATATCCTTATCATTTTTTGTTGTCCTCTTCACAGCACGCCAGGCCTCTGCTCGCAAGCTCTGGATGCTTTTGGTGAGTTCAATCAAGTTATATCAACTTATTGAGCTTTTTGAATGTGGAAATCTGATATTTCTAGAGCTAGAACAATTCTACAAAGACTCAACAGACTAAAGAGTTTAAAAATGTCTCCAGCCGTTAGCCAGAAAACAGGCTGCAGCAGAGTCTTCAAATGCAAACAGCTGAAGTGCTTGTTTTACCACTGACATCATTGGGTCTCTGATGGGAACATTTATTTGCTTTTGCTAATAATAGTTTTTAGTAAAATGAACTGTGTTGTCATGTTGTAACTTCCTCTTTCTTTGTCTTTTCTGTTGCAGTCAAAGCATGTAAAATGTTTGTCACTAAAGAGATGTTGCTGCTGGGCACCTCAATAGGATACACAGGTGAGGAAGATGAAGAAAGATGTGTGAGTTTTAAACCAAACTGCGTGTGCTGATACATTCGTCTGCTCTGTTAGGTTTGGAGCTCACTTTTTACAGCGGGGTGTACGGGACGTGTATAGGAGCCATGACTCGGTTTGGTAAAGACGCAAAGAGTTTGATCGGCATTTCTGGCATCTTTATCGGCATCGGGGAGATCTTAGGTGAGTCCTCTGTGTTGTGTCTTTGCTTTAAAGAGGGAAAATCTGGAGGATCTTCTCTGGACAATAACTTATCCCCTGCTCTATCTGGCCAGGAGGGGGCATATTTGGGATGTTGAACAAGTGCAACCGTTTTGGAAGGAACCCTGTGGTGCTCCTCGGGCTCATCACCCACTTTGTCGCCTTCTACCTGATCTTTCTCAACATTGCCAGGGATGCTCCTTTGGCTCCAGAGGCAGGAACAGAGCTGCAGGCCTACATCATGCCCAGGTATGAGGACCACAGTGAGGGTCTTGTAAACACAGGAGAGGAAACAGCAGGGCCCTGACAAGTAACCGAAGATTTAATTTGTGTGATTGTTGTAATCCATGAACAGGTTTGAGGATCCTAGTTTAGAGATCTGGAGCTAAGGCAGAAATCTTGTTTCTTAAAAATACAGTTTATATAACTGATTATGAGAGATCGCGTTCTTTTAGACGAGTCTGGAGCAGCAGCAAACTTTAATCTCCTTAAATGAAACCATAAAGTCTTCAGTTTATTCAGTTTGAAGCAGTGCTCTACTGTACTGATGTAGCAACAGCTTTACATCCAGTGATGTGACCATCCTTTGTACTGGAAATGCGGAACATGTTTAAGCAAGATGTATTAGATAATTAAGAGACCGATTTGTTCCATAAAATGAACCAAAAAAAAAACAACTATCAGTGCAGTCTTGGAGCTTTGAAGGGATATTCCAGCGTAAAATTAATTTAGGGTCAAACACACCGTAACACAGAGTTAGACACCCTGTCGAGAGATGAATGTTGCCAAATGCTTGCTTCTCTAGTTATACCAACTTTAGTAACGACTGCACGATAGCAATACACAGAGGTCTATGGAGCCACACACAAACCTCAACCAAAAAGCCACTCTATAGCCACAAATAATGCTCAGAACAGCACCTAACTTCATCAACAGTACATATAGGGTCCCAGCCATAGTACTAGCCACCAAACATCTTTTTAGCTTTGCCTAATTTCTTTTGCAAAGAGACTAAACACAACTCACCTACTCTCCTCCAGCAGCTGCTTGTTTGTAGCGTGACCTCGGGCCAGTCCATTACAGACTACAGCGGGGTCACGCAGCTCAAGGAAGAACATTTATGATCATTATTTGTGGCTATAGAGTGGCTTTTTTGGTTGAGCGTGTGGCTCCTGGGACTGCTGTGTATTGCTATCGTGCGGTCGTTTCTAAAGTTGGTTTAACTAGAGAAGCAAGCGGTCGGCAACATTCATTTCTCGAGGGGGGGTCTAACTCGGTGTTACAGTGTGTTTTGCCCTAAATTAATTTTACGCCAGAATCTCTATAGTCCTAGGTAATATCTGGAAAATTTCAGGACAGCCTGCCCTGGAAATTCCCCAAACTTATCCAATTAACACTTCCCTCACAAAACAGGGTTTTACAACAGTAGGATTTGCAGCATCTCAAACACATAATCACTACTTCGCTGACTATCTCAGTTTTTCAACCATCTTCTTTTTTCTTTTTTTGTCGCTGCCCAGTGTGGCGGTGGCGTTACTTTGCAGCTTCCTGCTTGGTTTTGGTGACAGCTGCTTCAACACTCAACTGCTGAGCATCATCGGCTTCATGTTCCGTGACAACAGCGCACCTGCATTCGCTGTCTTCAAGTTCATCCAGGTGAGTCTAAGACACAGCTCACTTTAAAGGCAACTTAGAAGAAGATATTTGGAGCGTATGTTTATCGCTTAGCAAGATTCATTAGCTCTGAATGTTTCCTTGTGTTCAGTTTTGCATCTAAGTATCATGTTGTTGTGTTTGATCCCCAGTCCATCATGGCCGCCATAGCCTTCTTCTACAGCAACTACCTGCTGCTGCACTGGCAGCTTCTCATTCTGGTTGTGATGGGTTTTCTGGGCTCCATGACCTTCTTCATGGCGGAGGCACATGCAGAGTCCAGCAGGCGAGAATCGGACTATGACAGCATCTAATAATGAGACTGGTGAAGAGGTGCTCCTTCTTCTACTGCTGTCGCCCAGTGATGACGATAATGTTCCCCAGCCTGAAACTGTGATGATTCCTGAAGGATCCAGTCTGTTATAAGCCTGGTACCATAAATCTTTGCATTCAAATCAGCTGGTACTTACTCAGAGTGCTACGTGTACTAAAGTTACACAAACTTTTGGTTCATGCTGGCCTCGCTCTTATTCTTTAGGCGCACAAATGTAAAACTGTCGTAAAACATAATCTTCAAACAGACTCAGCTGGGGCAGCGGTGATAGCAGTTTGGTGATCAGATTCAAAGCACTGTTGTTTCAAGCCTTATCAATGATAGTACAGAGGTGTGTAATGGGATTTTACTGCTGTTAGTGCCTGTATGGAAATATCCAGAGAAATAATATTCATTTTAATGTGATCAGCCTTAATTTAGACATATCACTGATACATTTTTATTGAGTGCTGCCACCCAGGCTGCACACAGTGACTTTAAACAGGAATTTCTGTATTCAACAACCTGACAGGTGTGTATAGAGATTGCTTGAATTTGTTGCTTTGGCCCGAGGTGGTGAAACAGGCTACAATTTCTGAAATATAATCATGAAAGGAAATACACTTCATCAGAGTCCTCCCCTTAAAGTGCAAATTTTTCCTTTGATAAGCCGAGATATAAATGAAATTAAATATATGACAGTTTGATAGGATCATGGCAATTTGGCACCAAACTCCATTGAAAAATGTATGAATTTTACTGCACAGACACACGAGTTGCCACAGCTTTGATCAGTTAGTTTGTATTACATGAATGGGTGGTGTTAGTGGTTGAATTAGTTTGTTTAGACCCAAACATTTGTGAGATATACAATTACACAAACTAACTATTAAGGCAGCAGAGATTTAGCACTTCCTGCACTCTCAAGTAATTTTTTAATTTTTGACTCTTCACACATGCACTAAATTGATGAAAACTTCTGTGTCCTTGAACTGTCAACAATTTGTCAGAAATATTTACGTGTACAATTGGCTTTCAAAAGAGAGATGCAACTTTTAAAAAAGACCTTACTCATAATCATTTAAGTCTATCCCTGTCGAGATCTTTTTCACAATCCTTTCAGACACTAAGATGAAAATTTGAGCTGCTCAGTTCCAAAACATTCACCTGAAGTGGATACAGTTTGATTCAGTGCATGTCAGAAATAGGGCCTAGTTTTGAAAATATGCTCTGTGCACAAATTCAGCTTTGATTACAAAGAATTTATATCTGGTTTGAGATGATCTATCGTTCTCTTTAAGGGATGCTGTCAAATGCTCCGACACACTGCAGCAAATATGTTTGTATCCACTCTCGTTCCACTTTGTCAAACCTGTTCAGCTGCAGTCACATGCTCTTACAGCCTGAGACGAACTGTAACCAACATATTTACCAGCCAAGCTTTCCCTATATGGCTCATCCGACTGAGAGTTTGATAAAAAGACAAGCTAGGGATCAGGACAGTCCAAAGGGAAACATCACTGATATATTTATTTGTGTTAAATTCATTTCTACACTCATCAGTCTGTTATGCTGTTTTCTTTTTCTCTTGATTCTTTTGTACCTTTAGTTCTGTATAACTTGTTTATCTCTAATAAGATCCACACTGGCTTAAGGGCAACCCGTGACTTTGCATTCCAGTGAATGTTTCATTATTACAAGCGGGTGACTTCCTTTAGTTCAAATGAAGAGTTCATTCGCGACACAGGAGTGAAAGAAAATCTGTCATCTCTCTTCCGCAATAATCTTTTTTTTTTTTTTTTTTTACCTTCGAATGTGACTAAGAGAAGTTTTCAGGAGGAAAAGTAAGACTTCTAGATGGTAGACTGAGAAGCATGCCAAAGATTAGTCAGGTTTTTGTTTTTTGTTTTCTGTGACTTGTTTCATTATCACAAATTTTTAGAGATCTGAGGCCAAACTGACAGCGCTAAAAATGGGCCTCGAGACATGTTGTCTTTTCCAGACAGCTGTATGTAAAGGGTACGGGCACCAAGGAACTATATTATAGATGCTGTAGGGTTTTTTTTTCTCATCTTTGAAGTGTCAATACATGAATATACATAAATTTTTCTGGTTAATTTATTGCTGCTTGGACATCAAGGGTAGGGGTTTGCTAAAGTTTCTATTGGTGTTACAATGTATGCAATCAAACTGAAGGATATGAAGGGAAATGCATGTGTACTATAAAAATTGAGATTTTATACTTGAATGTAGAAATGAATGGCTCCCAAACTTTTGCTTGCTTGTTTTTATTGTCAATAAAATCTTATTTTGAACTGAGGTGTTGAGTGCTTGGTAAGGTAGATTATCGTGGAGCAGTGTTATACAGAGATATATGGAAGCCCTGAGTGGACATGAATCATGTTAACTTAATTGTTTGTGATTTTAAACTCCACTTTCTTTTGATGTTTTTTTCTCACAATATTTAAACTTGTTTATCTTATTGTGTCCACAACTTTGTTTCCTCATGATAACTTTTTTAATTCTAGTTATTTTCCTGAAATTGTAGGATCTTGGGTCTCAGTATAAAACACTTGTTAATTATAGGATCCTGTTGATGTGGTAGATAAGTTTTATATTATGAGATGAGACAAAATAATCCATCATCATAGGAAGGCCAACTCTATAACACTAAAATTATCACAACACCAAGGTGAGATGTCAAGGAAACAACTCAAATTGTCATGTCACATCACATTTTTATCAAGTCACCAGCCCCATAAAATCAACTTCTTTAGGGAAGAGATTGTTTTGTAAAACAATAATTGTACTGCTTTTATTTTGTGTTTAGGTTGGTTCATCTCCACTGTTGTAAAACATGCCCTTATTTTGGAGTGAAGTACGGGGCTAACTTAGGTAGGCTACATACAGTCTATGTATAAAACTGACTGACTTGATGAAGTAGTGTGTCAGTTTAGGGCCTCCATACAAAATGACTTGAAGGGTTTGTTGCATATTTGGTAGTCAGAGCCTCTATCAAAGAGAAACAATGGACAGGCTAACACATAAAATCGATTATAACGAAGAGTGAGCTTGAGAAATATGTAGATTACCTTTATATTTAAAACTGAAATTTCACGTCAAAGATTCAAAATACTTTTTTGTTTTTATTGCTCTGAAACAAACTAGTCAAAGTGTTGCTGTCAAACTTCGGGTTGAACCGAAATGTGTTGAACGTGTGTGTGTGTGTGTGTGTGTTTTGACGTTGCTGGCTGACTCTGAAGTTGCTGTTTGTCTTTGACTACACGGATATCAACCTCCGAGCTAACGGTCTCCGGTTAGATGTTCATTCAACACTAAGAGAGACAGAGACAGCAGTGTGATTTTAGCAAAGATGTCGGAGAAAATCAACTTGTATGAGTTACTAAACTCATCTATCCAGCCTCCTCGGGGGACTGAGGTTAACTTCTCCAGTTTACATGCCCTACTTAGAGCCATACTGGAGCAGCTGGATAACCTGCGGGACACCCTCATCCAGACGGAGGAAGAGGAGGACGGCGTGTCCGAGGTGAGAGAAATGAGCTTTTATTGATGTGTTGTTAATTTAGAGAGAAGAAGCATCACTTTTTTTTGGGCTCAGTTATTTTGTGGTGAGATTTTATGAATGTTAGCTGGTGCTGGACCTCGATAAATAGTCATTTTCAGACATTTCTGCAGTTAAAAATAGACCATCACACTCAGTTTTAGCCACTTCCGTAGTAACGGTAAGACAGTAAGTAGTAGTAGTAGTATCTATAGTATCTATACCCACATTATCTCCACTGATGTTTAACTAAAACAGTGTTTACATGTATAATTTAGAGCCATAGCCTTCTGGACCTTTTCTACTCTATCACTGTTACTCAAGGAAATGTTCATTATGAGTCTTTAAACACCGTCCTATCCTAACAGTGACATTTTAAGTGTTGACAAATTTATGTGGTCTTAGAATTTGAATATGTATTGACAAACTTTCAGGCCTTGTTGTTTTTAGCCTCTTCTCGGCAGTTTGGGCACAAACGTCAAATGAACCGAAGTTTTTCTGGTGGTTTGACATTAGTGGAGTGTCTGTCATTAGGATAAAGCAAGAGGGTATTCTCAACAGCAAGCTTTGCTATAAAGAAATAATGGACCGTTTCTATGGAGTTTTGACCAATCACAGTGAAGTATTTCTTATGTCTTTAATTGTTGAGTGTTGGCCCCATTGGTCTTTGGATGTTTGACAGCAGGTGTCAGGGAATGAAGCATTGTCAGCCTCAGAGATTAAAGTAAGTATATCTCATAAGTAGTTTCACAGCAACCTCAAAAAGAAAGTGCAAAGATATGATCGCAACACGTTTTATTTTTCTTACAAAACTGTAACTGGCAGACTTGATGGGCTATGTATTTTTGACAATAAGCCTTTGTGAAAGGACTGGTTTTCAACATTCAGCTTATGTTGCCTTGATGCCTACCTCCCATGTGGGCCAATGGTGTCATAACACATGGGTTGCCTTTGTCCTACAGTGACAAAACCTACAATGACACCTGTGATTGATGCTGATGAGTAAACAGTTGGAGCAGGTCAACATGTCTCACAGCACAATGTTAACTCTGTATTGTAACTCCTCAGTTGGGAGTTTCTGTAAATATCAAATAACCTTTTTTGAGACTAAAAAACCTCTGAGTCTGAGTCTGAGCCAGCAGTTCTTCTTCTTCTTCTGCGTCTTTTTTGGCGGGCAGGAGCAAACATTTCAGCATGGAATTAAGCTGCTGATGACAGAGCAAAGGACAATGGGAGACGGGCACCACCCTGACATCTCAGATGGCCTCTGCGTGCCTCTGTTCAGGTTTCTGCTTCCATCAGTGGGGTGAAAAGAGGTGAAGAGGGTTTTGTTCTTTCCTTTGTCAGAAAAAAATAATTCTGACAAAGGAAAGAGATTGATCAAGAAAAGGTGTTCAAGGGAATATTCTTGTCCAGGACATGTTTTTCATATCTTGCTCTTGATCTTGTCCACTCTCTCCTGCTCCCTCAGTTTATGTGATAGGGGGTAATTAGTCCCCTGCAGTGATGACTCTGGTTGTCAGGGGATGAATAGCTCTCAGGTTGAAAACAGGATGCTGGGCAGGTGCAGGCGATGCTGCGCTTGAATCATTCATATCCTATCTGGGCATCATTCAGGTCAGCTGTCATATCTGAGGAGGTGACCTGCTGTGCCCTCGTCGACCTGTGTCTTCTCTCTGATAGCTAAAGAGCTCAGCTACACGTGGGTATACACCACATGTCATTGTTTGGGGTCAGTATACATATCATGATGTTCCTATTGGGCTGAGAGGAACTGCTTTTACAGAACATACATTTTCATTTGGATTAACCCTTCATTTCCTGATCTGGGTTGGGTATTTGGAAAAGAGTGGTGCCATGATTGAAGAACCTTATCATGAAGGCAACATTCTAGTCCAAGATTAATTCCCTTATGAGGACATAGGTATTGTAATTTTTTTTCATTTAAAAAGGAATATCACTCTTACTCATCTATTGATTACTCGATAAATTTAATAATATTTTGGATAATTATCAAATGTTATAGATATGCAAAAATAATTAGTTCTAGCAGCCCTCATATCATGTGACCCCTCTTTGTGACCAGCTGTTAGTCATTCAGTATGTCAGTGAAGCTCTGTGGGGGTCGCTCTTCATCCGTTCATGTCCTGGCACGTTTGACCCAGGTTAAATATCAACTCATCTATAGCTCTGGAATGTCATTAGTTTTAGTGTGTCTCTTTCTCACACACACAAAAATGCACATGCGGATAATTAAACAAATGAAATGGTGCCGTTTACTCTGCCAACGGAGTGTGACAGTCCCGCAGGAAATGTAAACATCCTGGTTAAGAAAAGGGACCACCAGGCTGAGCTGGAAAATGTAAGACAGCTTGTGTAACAGCTGGATACTCTTATCTGTTACCCCTGGCCTGTGCTTCAGCCCTTTTGTCAGCTCCGGTGTGTCCTGTTTGCTCGCACCCCCATCTTAGGTCAGATTGTTGCTACTGTGAAGGATTTTTCTTCATATTTTATTGAAGTGGTTTTAAAGACACAAGTTTGCTAATCATCTTAGCTGCTCACTAAACTGGGTTGAGCAACAATGGAAGCCTTTGGTACCACCATTTTAACCATACTATTGATGATTGTTTAATCATCTTAGCTGCTCACTAAACTGGGTTGAGCAACAAAAAACATATCTTTGATAAGAAGAATTAACTTTTAACACTTTTTTTTTTACATCTATTATATCTTATGATGTTTTTTTTTTTTTTTTTTGGGTTAGTCTTAGTCCTTTTGTTTCCTAATTTTTAACTCAAGATAACCTGTCTTCTGTCATCTGTGGCAATTTGAAGATTCTTTACCTGTTTTTTTTTTCTCTGTGTGTGTGTGTGTGTGTGTGTGTGTGTGTGTGTGTGTGTGTGTGTGTGTGTGTGTGTGGGAGGGTGGGTGAGGTTCTATATTTGTATTTTTTATTTCATATCTTTCTTGAATGGACACCATGTTGTGCTACATTTTTTGTATGAAAAGTGCTTTATAAATAAAGTTCGACTGACTGATTAATTATATATTTTTGCGTTTTATGAAAAAAAAAAAAAATTACAAGTTCAGAGAAATTTTCTTGCCATTAAATATAAGAACAGCTGACCTTCAGGGCAACCTTACATACCTCAATTAAGACTTAAGAAGGTGTATTAGGATTGTAAGGGTGGACAGACGGCAGAATTTTATTGACCTTTTCTGTGTCCAGAAGTTTGCTGCTGAAGAAAAGACCGTTGAGAAGTGCTGCCACCGTGTGGACGCCCTGGAGGGAACATTGGTGAGCGAGGAGAAGAATCAGCATCACTCACACTTCTAGTCCCTTTGATTTATTTTCTAAATAGCTACCATGTTGTTACGGTCACAGAGATCCTTGAGGGATACTTTTCAGAAGTCCCCGGAGCTTGTAGAGCTGTGCAAGAGCGTGAGCTGGGAGTTCATGCAGTCTGCTCAACATCCTGGAAGAGACGATCTTCAAAAGGTGGGATAACAAAGTGTTAGAAGAAAAGTCTTAATATGGTCACATCAATTAGAAATATTTCTTAGTTGGCGACGGTCAACCCGGTAGTGGTTTTAGCTTCTTCTGATTTCAACAACAATCTTTTTGGAATGCAATTTTTGTAGTTTTCCCTTTCACTAATAATTTTGTAACAACTAAACCACATGTTCCCTCTGTTTGACCTGTGTTTGTTCTTGATAGTATCCCTTTTTTTCCTCATACATGTTAATTTTATGTTCTGCATCTATGTTCTACCTTTTTGTAGGAACTTCTTAGTTCAGGGATCACAGATCAAGCCTCACACACATCAACAGCTCCTGGTTCCCCACCGGACTCAAGAGAAAAACTACAGGAGGAGTCAGACGTCCGGTCAGCCACTGAGGCCACCTTAGGACCCCAGCAACAGAGTCATCCAAGAACTGACCAAACACCTGCTGGTCTTCCCATGTCCCCAAATGCAGAGACAATGTCCCCGAGGAGCTTCAGCAAACTAATGGAGAGGGTCAATGAACTTGAAGCTCTTGTTGTATCACTGAAAGAAGAAAAAGTGGACCAATCACAGCTGAAAGACCTCAGAGAACTTATCAGTAGGAAAGGTAACACGCTCGGCCAAATCAGTATGCAAGTTGAAGGATAGGAATAAGAATCAAAACTGGAGTTTAACTCATTTTCTCAGTGCGCCATAAATGTTAGCTCACAGACTGTAGCTTTTGTAAAAGGGTAAATAAAACATGCAAAGTTAATTAAACTAAATTGCAGATGAATTCTGAGTGTTTTCCCCCTGTTGTGCAGTAATTGTTTGGTCTCAAATTGTCTATTTGGTTTCAGCAGATGCATCAAGAAATCAGTCAAATCAGCTGAACCAGCGAGGAGCTTTGATAGACCCTCTGATGAGTGACCGGGAAGAGGTGGGTGAGAAAACAGAAAAACTATCCCTCATTGTTAACCTGACTTTAGCACCAACACTGACTCCACACTAACACAGTGCTGGTCTGTGTTTTGATGTTCATGGTGCACAAATTGGAGGATTACATGAAGCAGCTGGAGGTTAATCAGGTTTTAACTGAGGAGAGCACGGCAGACGAAAACCTTCAGGATCAGGTCAGACAGGTTAGTTAGGGTCAGGCAGTACACCAGGGTTAACAGGAAACAATGAAAGGAAGGTGTTTCTTTTTTATTTTCAGTTTGTGTCCAGGGCTCTGTAAGCTTTAGATGAACACACAATCACAGCCAAGGACTCTTACTACCTTCATTTCTTCTGTTCTTGCATGGCGGTATGATGGACAGTGAGATCCAGTATGAAGGGGGGTTAATTCACAGATACTGGAGCTAAATATAGCAGGCTATTTATCCAACACAGTTGAACACAGCCGTGCATCAAGGAAATGTAAAAAACCTACGTCTCAAAAAGACCTGTTGATCGTCTCCATATTGTTTAGCATGTTCCAGAACAAACTCTCAAGGATGAGATGTCCACAAACGCCAGCGTCTCAGAGAGCTGCACAGAGATGGCAGTGTCCCAGAGGAGCTTCAGCAAACTGATGGAGAGGTTTGATAAACTGGAAGCACTTGTTGCATCACTAAAAGAAGCAAAGGTGGATCAATCGCAGATGAAACACCTCCAAGAGCTCATCAACAAGAAAGGTAACCTCAGATGAAGCAGGCGGAGTTTAAGCTCAAACATGAGAGAAACATTTTGTGCCACATAAAGCAGAGATTTCTTGACTTGAGTGATTTGACTTACTCTTCTGTCACTCATTCAAAGCAATTGGGACTCAGAAAAAGGGGATGTTGTGTAGTTTGTGTATATTAGGGACAGTACTGATAAAGCACATGAACTGGGATTTTAGATTTTCACCCTGCAAGACAAGCAAGGATTTCATTTGTAAGCTGATTAAATTATGGTTTCACGTCATGCCATCTTTTAAAACTTCAGAGGTAGCTTCAAGCCTAGAAAAATTTATCAAAACTGCTCTGACAAACCGTAAAACGAAATTACATTTAAAAAGTTATGATAAAAATTTTAAAAATCATTACAAAGGTCATCTTGTTTTAAAATGAAATTTCTCTTTGGCTTCTTATTTCCTGAGCCACCATGAGACTAACTTACACCTAAGACTGCGAGCTGCAAACCCCTCTAAACAAACAAAACAACAACACAGAATTCAATTATTCATCATTCATCATATTCATCTTTCAATCATTTATCTTAAAGCTCCTGTTCGGATCTTTCAGATTGTGTCGATCTACTCTTCTTTTACCTCTTCTTTTGACCATAAGTTTTTTTTTTTTTACTAATTTACAATTTAAAATAATTTCATTGTCTTTTGCAAATCTTAAAAAAAGACATTGATGTAATTTTCAGTCTGTTTTGTAAACATTAAAAAACCCTCACAGGTGCTTTAATTCACACGAGCTGGATCAGGGTATTTTCTAAAATGTTACTCGTTGCTTTATTTTTTAGGAGATTTTTCTTGAGTGTTTGCCTTGTGTAATGGTACATTGTTGATTTGGTTTCAGTGGATGTACCAGAAAACCTGTCAGACCAGCTAAAGCAGCAGGAAGCTCTGATAGACCGTCTGATGAGTGATCATGAAAAGGTGGGGAAAAGTTCGTGACTTAAACTTTGATGATGTAGCTTAAGAGATCCAAATGTATGTTTTTATTCATTCAAGCTGAAATAATTTGAAAATATTGAGTCTTTCCATACTTTTTGCGTAGCTTTAGACTCAACTTGTGAGTGTTGAGATCAGTTCAGATGTTGGTCTGTACTTTCATGTTCATGGTATGCAGGAAGTTCTTACAGAAGCTGGAGGCCGACATAAAGCAGCTGAAGGTTAAACAGGCTTTAACAGAGGAGAGCATGGCAGACCAACAGCGACAGGATCAGGTCAGACAGGGAGACATGTCACTGAGGGTCAGGGGGCACACCATGGCTGATAGATCATTAAAAGGATTTATATGGTCCTCAGAGTTGTTAAATGTAGAGTTTATAGTGACACCAGCTTCATAGTGAGGGAATGGAAGAAGCTTTGTCAAAATCAAGATGTGAACTGACACAGAAAGACCTTGACATGTTTTATTAATACTTCATCAGTTGTCTTGGTAAAGCTTTACACGCGATTATTTCAGGGTGAGTGTTTGAATAAAACCAACAAACCTCACCTTGGCTGACATTCCTTCGATCTACACGACACATGAAGAAGACCGCTGCTCCACAAAATCTCTGAAGTTCAACATAAAACTGTCTCCCACTTTTCTGTCTCTGCACTCAGGATGCAGAGCTGGTGAACAGCCTGCAGAGGGCGATCCTTCAGCTTCAAGCAGAGTGTGAAAAACTGCAAGAGACCACCAGGAGTCTGCAAGAGGACAACAGCCAGAGACAGAAGGATATCCAGGTTCAAAGTTTTTTACAACTATTCTCCCCCCAGTTCAACTGTTTTCATCATTCTTTTGTTTTGGGTTTGTTTCTTCTTTTTGTGCAGGAGCTGTTCAAGACAACAGAGGAGCTACAGGAGAACAAAGCTGACAAGCTTTTGGTTGAGAGTGCAACTGTGAGTGGGTTCATTTTATATTTATGAATGTATGCAGAGGATTATCAGTCTTTACTGATGACTTACAGACAGAATCAATGAGTGTTAAGATATAAGACAGCCATAGAAGGTGCTTATGTACGGTGGTTGCTATGATTATTAAAAGACAGAGGATTCTCAAACTTCTCTCCATTTCTGCAGAAAACTGATCAATTGGCTCTGGACGGCAAAGTGAGCCGTGTGCAGTTTGACTCTGTGACAGAGGAGCTCAACACGCTCTTCCAAGAGCTGCTGAACAAGGTGACGGGCCAGGAGCAGGACTGGCACCAAGTCATCGGCAGACTGTCCTCTGAGATGGAGTGTAAGGTAAATGTCGGAGCGTTTAGGAAACAGGTTGATTTGCGGTTATTTTAGACACAATATCTAACTTGTAATCTGGCTTTAGCTGAATCGGATGGAGTTTGATCCTGTGAAGAAGCAGCTGGAGGACCGCTGGGAGAAAATCCACAAGAAGCTGCAGAATCAAGAAGCTCCAGAGTGTGACGATGCCGCTGCTCTAAAAACGTAGGTATTGACACCTCATTCAGTCATTGACAGTAGAGCTCACATTATTCTCAAAGGTCTTACATTTTACAGCCACATATCTTCCCAAATGTCCACATTTAGAAAACTACTTCAGAATAAAGATTTTTTTTTATTATCTCCAGACAACTCGTGGAAAGATTTCGCTGCCTGTCCTGTGACCGACCTGTCACCAAGAACTTCCTGGGACCGTGAGTCTGCTCTCAGTCACTGTTTATCACACAGATAGTTACAGTTTCAATGAGTTGATCTCCACACTGAGAATGTTTCCCAGGTAAATGATATGTGCTTTTTGTCAAACCTCTCTTGTTTTTGAATCTAATCTGCTCGTCTTGGGTGTTTGTTTTGGGCTCCATGAAGGAATTTGATGGAGCTGCCGATCTCTGCTGGTGCTCCTTCCAATAAGAGCAACTGGCAATTTATGGTGAACCCTCAAGAGAAGTTTCAACAGCACAACAGAAGGTGAGATCAGCAGTTTATCTTCTGACTGAATCTACTCTGTTCTCTGTTCACCAGCAGGGGGCACAAGACAGCTGAAAGAAATCCATTACAGGCCAAACAAACAGGAGAACAGGCAACAGGCAGAGTTTCTGTGGAAGGAATAATGTCATGTTAGTCTTTGAATTTCAGAGCATCAATTAGTTTGTTCTCAGGTTAGAGTTTGAGTATTTTTTGCCTGGATTCAGGACATTGTGTGAGCTCTTCACAGACAGAGGACTCTCATTGAAAACATGGTTCTAATATTCCGTGGGACAATGACCATCTATCACAGTTTTTTAATGTATTCAAGTATTGTGCAAAAACTTCTTCTAACCATGTCCTCAATTTTTTAAACTTAATATTACTGTGTTTACTCACTGAGGTCAATAGAGCACAGACTAGCCAGGTTACGACAAGAGCATCCCCTGCTGGATCATACAACACACTACTTCAGGCAGTCTGATACGTTAATATACTGTATTGTTCGGAATTTGAATGGCTAATCCCAGTTTGAAATATGAACTTTTCCCCCCAAAACTAGAATGAAGGTTGGAATTCATATAAAAAGTGACAGCCTGAATTCCCAAAAAGGTAACGCTGTCGAAGAAGCCTTGCCCTGAATTTTTCCTAAGTTGCGTATAGTGCTTTTCCACCAAGCAGCTCAGACTTTTATCTTGCATTTTCACAGCAGATCATGACCTAACCTGACACTTCACGCAGGGAATGTGTTGGCTGTGCAACAGAATGGCTTGACTTTTGCACGCATGTCAACAGTGAAATGCATCTTCGCACATCTTATTTATTGAAGTTATTTGAAGAATATTTAAGACTGCCTGCATTGGGAGCATATCTCACAAAACGCTTTACCATGTGCGTCAATGATCCCTGCCAAAAATACATCGGAAAAATTATGAGCTGAGGGCTGTGTTCCCAATGTCAAAATAAATGCTGATGGTTGGCTGGGTGCCCTAACAGAAGGGTGTCACGAAAGTAGGACAGACTGGATGTATTTTTAATACCTCTCCAAACTTTTGACAGCAGAATTGCAAAGTCAGGCTAAAAAATGTAGTTGTGTCCCTCAAAATTTTGGATCAGCTTCACTTCTTTGACCAAAAAAAGTCCTCCGATTTTATCAACACTCTCTGCAGATGAACACTCTCAGCTCGGTGTTTCATCCCAGTGTGGGCATATTGTTTTAGAAATGTAAAGCAGCAGCTCTCGATCACTCCCCTGTTGACTGTGTTCAAAACAATCACAGCTCCACTATTGATTCTCACTGATTTTTTTTTTCTCTGACCACACAGCCAATATTTCTGTGAGCTGAAGGACTACACTTACCCACCTGTATCAAGGAGCTGCGGAGGGAAAGAGACAATCATAACCCGACCTATGTACTTCAGGAACCTGAGGAAATGAGAGAAAGAAGAGCCAGAGCGCAGAAAAGTGTCCCTCCAAAGGTTTGTAAAAGTGCGAAACTGTTACATTTTTCACACAAGAGGGTAACTGCATCTTTGGGGACTACTTTCAGTGGCGGATCAATCAATTTTTCCTACCATTTGCGCTTTTTGAGCAGCTTTGGACAGCGTCAATGTTTTTAGCCAAACTAAAGTCACTGAAATTGGTGATTCAGTTTCAATACTTCTTGACAACAATGAAAGAGGCTGTGTGATGCACAAATATGCTAAGTTTTTATCACAGTTTTCATTGATCTATGAATCAGTAATTATTGCTCTAACACTGTGCAGATCCTTGCTGAAAAGCCACACACTGCAGAGAAGACTGAGTTAGCTGCTCTGATATATATATATACTAAGTGTTGCATCATGACAGGAAATGTATCACTACAACCAGCAAAAGTGCACATCCTGTTCACAGAAACATCAGGCTGAGAGGAAAGAACATTTTGATGAGAAAGAGCACTTTGATGAGTAAAAATGAAATGGGTGGGGGTGGAGGGTGAACTTCTTTTGACATGCGGTTACAACTGGTTCTGTATTTTTTCCTGTAGTTGAAGAATTTGGCTGTATGATGAATGACCTACTAAAGTGTGCCTGATGCTGATGCAGCTGTTTTGGAAATATTCCACTGACCAAGACACATTTCAGTACATTTACTCAAGAACTTAAGCACAGTTTAAGACACTTGTGTTCATGAAGTATGTCATAGCTATGATACTTTATACTTTGATCTGTCTTTGCAGCTGATCAGTGTGTGGTTAGATGACAATAGATGTGTTGCATCCAAAAAATAGTACTACAAAATGGCTAACAACAGAGAGAGAAGCGTGTGAAACAATTCAAAATACTGCGTACACTAGCATCGAGATAAATGTTTGGGTCTGACTGTGTCAAGATTTCTCACAGACTGTGTATATTAGGGACAACTTGGTTCCGCCTTCCGCCAGTATACGGATTCGAAGCCGAAAAGCTCTCGGTAATTCCGCGTTTTCTCTCCATTTCCTGAAACCAACATTGCGCAGTAGCCTTGTACGCACTCCACCACTTGCGCAGTAGCATTGTGCGCATTCAAGTCGCTGTGATGACACTCAGCTTAAACAGCGTATCCCTCGGGTGAGCTACACAATCTTCGCACGCCCATAGGCTGCATCAGGTGTCAATCATGAAAATATGAACCCCCAAATAACTTTTAAAATGGAGCTGTACAGAAAAAAGAGGACTTGAGCACAAACCAGTCTTACAATAACTACATGTCAACATCACAAGCAGGGGGGAGAAAAATGTATATCCTGTGTAATAACTTCCTACAGTTTGTCCATAGGGATTGCTGGAGGAGGCGGAATTTATGACCTTTACTGCAGCCTGTCACCAGAGGGTGCTGTTCTCGGAGTGACTTCACCCAGTGAGGAGGCAGACGCTGCCCATTCTGTATACAGTCTATGAGATTTCTTCAAACTAGCTTAAGTAGCAGTCGATTGCTTGGTTTATAGCGCTGCTAGTTAAATGCCCAGGTTCTCAACAATTTGGCCAAGCTGCTAAAGATCGTTTTGGGTGATACACTTAACTATTGACAACCCAACTAAAGAAAACAACATCCTAGTTTTAGATTAGATTAGATACTTTATTTATCCTTTAGGGAGGTTCCCTCAAGGAAATTAAAAAGGACTGAAAATTGGACTAAGATCGGCAATTAAAGTATACTTGCAACAAGCTAATGCTAACCTAATGGTAGGGCTCAAACCCAACTTGTGTTGTTATTCGGCAGCTTAAAAACAGTCTGATAAAAAATTTAACTTAGAAGAAAATTTAGAAAATCCAGAAGTGCTTAGTCATAGTGCTAGCCACTAGCTTACAGCTTTGCTAGCTAACAACCTACTGACTTCAAATGTTTTGAAACAAACTAAACTCATTTCAATGTCCTTGTGCCCCTGGTATCTTGAAAGTCAAAAACATGATTCTCATGAGCCAACAGCGTCCAAAAAGTCTTTCCTCTACCACAGCACATGGAGAAATTAACCTTTAACAAGCAATACTGAACAGCCAGGAGGGGGCAGTGTCATCTACAACACTCCCACAATCTACTGAATATCTTGTCAAAATTGTATCGAGCTGAAAGAGATCTTAAAAAGTCATGTTTTCATTTTAAAGTATAAAATCTTCTCTTTATTTTTATAAACCCAAATTAGCATCTGAATTAAAATGAGATGTGCTGTTTATTAAGAATACGCATCTTTTTGCAGCAGCAGCGCATTGTTATGATTTTGTCATTGAAACAAAGTCACAAATCTCCTTAAAGCTTGAGTCTGATGGGAAACAGTAACTCGGTTTAGCATTCTGCTCCAACCACATCCTTCCTCAAGCTTTGGTGTTACTGATGCAAAGACTTTGTCTCAGTTCTGATAGTAGTAAGAAATCCAAGAAGATGAACCCACAGAAAGTAGCAGATCATACGTTGTTTTATTAAACATATAAATACAAATTTCAACAGAGGAAATGAACACAAAGTACAAAGAGAAATCTCTATAAAAGAGCGGAGCAGTGAACCTTGAGAAAAAAATATCACCTGGTAAGAACCAAAAAAAAAAGTTGAATAAAGGCTGAAGTGAAGTAAAACAAAGAAAAATCAGCCAGTTTTTGTGAAATCCTCAGGCATGGTTTTGACACGGGCTGTAATTCACTGATACCTAAAAGTCTGATTTCAAACGAAGAAGAAACGTCAGCGTGGATTTCCAGAACAGTCGTTAATCCCCTCTGCAGGAAGCTCGCTCATTAAACACAGCAGGGAACAGATCCAAAACAAATCTGCTAATTCAAACATTCGCTCCGACTTGTCTACAGGCTGCTGCAGAGTTTGAGTCAAAGACACATCATGATACCGCGATAGAAATGACTGTTTGACTCATGGCAGTTCATTTGAAACTGATTTACTGGGCCATACCGCTGGTTTGACTTATTTTGAAATGCTCCCTTAAAGTCACACAGCCTTACACTTTTCTCCTCAAACTTTTGAATGTGTGACCACTATTTATCGTGTTGTGTGTTACCGCTAACAGCAAACACACAAACATGAAGAGCTTATGTTAGGGATAAATTAAACTAAACGGGTTTCTATAGCTGATCTGAATCAAAGTAAAAGGAACCCTGATGTGGAATAGTTCTACCCATTGAAATAGATGAATCTATTACATTCATAGTTGGATGTGCGTCCACTGCTGCAGATAACTTAAACTTTGATCAGTGGAAGTTTTAAAAGTGAGATTTTGCGTATTTAACTCGTCTAAGCTTTGGTGTTTTTGCCGTTGCTGTGGTAAACAAAGAAGAAGGAGACTTCATGAGGAGATTCTTTCACTGTTTTCTCTCATTTTACAGATCAAACAGGAAACAGAGGAATCTTCCCCGTAAGTCTTGGAGCTGACGCAGTAAAGACTTGATGTGCATCACCACTTTGGGATGGCTAATCTATTAAAACAAGTAAACTCCAAAAACATGTCGAGCTGTCTTGCTTTTCAGAGCGATTTAAGACTAAGGTATAAACATCTTCAAACTTGCGAAAACAAAGGTGTGGCCCTTTAAAGCAGGTCGATACCGCCTGTCATGCATTTTTCCTTTACGTCATGAGATAGCTTGTTAAATTTCTGTACGGCCGATAGATTTGATCAGTACCCATGAAGCAGTTCACGCAAGTGGAATAAAAAACATTATCATCAACAGTGAAGCTTGACCTCCCCGAGTCCAAGAACCTGCTTTAAAAGTGAGCAGGCGTGAGAAGAAAGTGCGGGACAGTAAAACCAGAAAGTACAGAGTATTAAAAAACAGAGGGACCACTTTGATTGTCTGCAAAGAACAAACTCTTCTTCCTCTCTGCATCCATCACTCCCTGACAAAAACAACTTCCTCTTTATGATGAAGTGGCTGTGTGTAAACTTGAGACTAATCTACTCGTGAGTTCCTGTGAGAAGAAGATGACATCAAGGTTTGTTTTCTTTTGTTTTTCTATCGTCGTGGATTCAAACATGAGCTCTGCTGTGGAGTCTTCAAACGCTCTGATCCTGTCTGTGTGTGCAGCAGAGATACATTCAGACACACAGAGGTAGGAGTGGTTGAGTGTCTGACAGGTTGTGTGGAAAATCACTGAGTTGGCTTCCAATCGCCCTCCGCCACAGACAGACAGACAGACAGAGACAGACAGACAACTGCATGGAAATTGTCTCAAACCAGATACATGTTTCTTTTGTGTGAGTTCATCATCATTTGGCTGAGGTTTGTATGTACAATAAAAATAAAAAACGCCTCTTACTGTCAATCTGAACAGAAATCACCTCGAGGCTTTCAGCTGGATAATTACAAACTCCTCCTGCGAAAACAGCGAGTGAGAAGTGTGGCATCACCAACCAGACAAGTCTCTAGAGAAAACCAGGAGAACTTACATCGTCCATCATCCATACATCAGATTATTGCAAACTTCTACCGAAAGCATCCTCCATGTTTCCACTGTACTCCTCTAACAGTCCATCCTGCTTACATGAGTTTGAGCTCACATGTTACCTTTGTTTATTCATGAGGTTGAAAACTTCCTGCTGTTCTCAAGGTGTTTCCAGATTTAAAAGGACACTCTCTTGAAAAACATGGATGCGACATTGCAATTCCAGAAAAACAACGGATTTTATTACTGATAGCTAGCAAACATAATTACTAACGGTGCGTCACTTTTGGAGACAAGAGTCATCATTTAATTGAGAGATATAAAGAACTATTTATCTGACAAATTATCCATTACATCCATTTTCTATAAGACTAATTTCCGATTTTGATTGTGACATGGGGTAATGAGGCCACAGGCTGGAAAACAACCTCGGCTAACCTCTGGATAAGGGGGCAGTTTGTTAACTCAGACGCAACACAATATGTCTGTTTCTGTTAAAAAGAGTTGTTTGTTGAGCTGATTAAGAACTGAAAAAGGTTTCTTGCTGAGTTTGTGATTATAAAGCAGCTTTTGAGGCAGAGATTTTCCAAAAACAGTTCAGTTTCCACAAGTTTAACAATTTCTTTAAAAAAAATGAATTATGTCTCAAACACTGACATAGAGGCCTGAATATGTCAGTTGTGTTTTAACTAATGTTTTGTGCTTTGCCCAAATGATTCAATTAATAACCAAAAAAAGGAGAAAAAAAACCCACCCACATTAATTAAAGCTCCTGTGAGGAACTTTTAGTTTCTATTTCGATGCTCCCAGTGGACAAAGCAGTCTTTGTTGATCTAAATTGCTTAAGTAGTGTCTTCTGACATACAAATCTCATTATCCTGACTTTAGACAGTCAAACTGATCATTAATGAATGTGAAAAATAGTCAAAACAGGACTGTTTCTTTAACTGCTTAACTGACACTCACACCCCCTCACACCAGTTTTAGGAATTCAAAATTACAAAACGAAAATCTTCAGTCTTGACCCTGAAGCTTTGCTTGTGTTTGGATATCATAAAAAAAGAATCAATATAAGATTTCAGTCTATTTCATAAATTTGAACAAACCTCCTCATAGGAGCTTTAATTACCATCTCATCTGTTTCTTTAAAGCTCCCCTGTGAAACTTTTTGTGTTTATTCTGACACCCCTGGTGGACAAAGCAATCCTTACCTATCCTGTCCTGCTTGAATAGTGTCTTCTGACACAAAATCTAATCCTGCTGACCTTTGATAGTCTGTTTTTCTTAATGCAAATATTGTAAACACAGGGCTGTCTCTTAAGCTGACACATACCCCCTCACACAGGTTTCAGGCATTAAAAATCAGGAAATACAAAATTGTCCATCTGGTCATTAACAGTCTTGTTTACAATAGTCTTGGTATCATGAAAATGCATGAATGAGAATTTCAGTCCATTTCATAAACATGATAAAACTCCTTATGGGAGCTTTAAATATCAGATTCAGTCTCCCTGTACTCCACTCACTGGTGGAGATATTTTTGATCATTCAACAGGTGTAAAAATATTTGCAAGTGCTGCATGCTCCATCCATCGTGACAAATGTCAAGTTTTTGATTAAAATGATTAAATTGAAGTATCTCACGTTCTCGTGTTATGAAGACATACACAGGAATATGTTTAGTGCCCATATTTGTTGAGGTGATTCTGGAAATATCTTGAGATCAGCTGGAAGTGTTTAGAAATTCAGTGGATGTTTGTAATGGTAACACATGAGGACGCCGCGTCTTTCAGGGTTAAATCATCCCCCCGTGAAGCTGTGAATTTATGGCTACAGCTTCTATTACCCTCCTCAACCTGTTCACATTCACATAAACACTCAACCCTCCAGAGCAATATCATCCATAAGCATCTTTTCATCTGCTGGTTATTGGCAACTTCATGCCAGGTTATTTTTCTACCCCGTGAAAGACTCGATTAAAAAATAAGAAAAACTGAAGCAGTTCAGCAGGTAAGATGGCTCCTCTCCTCGTGAGTGCTCTGTGGGGTCCTGGGCATGTTTGCATTGATGATTACAGACAGTTTCTGTGTTTGTGGGTGTTTTCTCATAAAATGACGCATTGAAGGCGCAGAGGAGAGGTGTCCAGACTGCTCTTCATCACTTCAGGAAAAAAACAAACAAGAGAGGGAAACAGCAGTGTCTTTGTCTTTTTTCCATTTCCTCTCCTCCACGTCAACCTCCCCGACCCAGTTTTATCCTCCCACCCGCCCACCCTTACCCAAAAAGAAAAAGAAAAAAATAAATCAGATTCATTTGGCTACACATGAACCAGCACCCAGCCTCTCAACTCCCCTCCCTGCCCCCTTTTAGCCCACCGCTCAGTCTCATCTCTGGCCATGAAGTGCCGACACAACAGGGGGCTGCTGGGAGCCGTTGGGCTGGGAAACTGGGGGCCACATGGGAGTCTGTTGCATGTGGTGGTGGTGGTGGTAGTGGTGGTGGTGCATGTGGTGACCTGTGGGCGACGAGGGGGGCAGCCAGGCCGGCTGGTGGCTGGGCGGCGAGGAGGCCCAAAAGGAGCTGAAACCCGACGTGGAAGATGGAGTTGGCGGGGAGCCGGCCATGGACACCTGGGAGGGGCCGCTGCCGGCGCTGGAGCCGCACTCTGATGCCCGCAGCTTGGAGAACATGGTGATGGCGTCCGGGAAGTTGGGCGGCGTGGCGGGTGTGTTTCTGGGAGTACACATCTGAGAGGAATAGAAAGACGGTAGAAATGGGAAGTTAGTTTGTGCGAGATAAGACAGCGGAAGATCCCTCAGTCTGACAGAGAGCTGCTGTCAGGATTTATCTTCTCTTTTTAAACCGTGTTTCCCGTCATTACCGTCACTCTGTTTGCCCAGATTTGACTCTGAATGTTGTTTTAAAGCTTTGCTCACCCTGCCGGGAACACGGCTCTGGTTGGGAAATACTGTACGGTAACTAGGTATCGCATTTCAAAACACATCAGTCCAAACATGCCTGCAGGATCAAGTATCTTAAAGGGGTCAAACATCTCAGGTTCAGTGTTTGAGTTCTAGTTTGTTTACTCACCATGAGCTCAAATATTCATGAAACCTTATCAAAGTTTTGTGACACTGTGAGCCCTTTGACATGTTTTTTAAAAATGACAGACAGGTCCAAAGCAAAGGGTCTCCTCTGTATCAGACTGTGGTATGCTGCTAAATGCCAAAAGTCCTCACAGATCACATCAATCAAAGGGTCTCTCTCACACACACACACACACAGATCAGGTAGCAGCCAGAAATAGATGTGCGCATGTGTGTGTGTGTGTGTTTGTGTGTGTTGGGGGCTGTCCTCTCAGCTGTGCAGCTTGTAGATCGATATATATAGAGCACTCAGGCATTTGCACACTCACACACAGAGGTGTCACATGTTTGTGTTCAGACCAAAACAACTACGATCATCATCATTCGCTAGTAGAACCTCACTGTTGAGCTTTTGTGACAGGATACGATGCGCCAAATATCACAGATTCTGTCTTATTTTATTTTGTGATTTTTTGCGGATAAAAAAATTGTTTCTCTAAGTTATAAACCTTTTATAGTCGTGTAACAGCTGATTGTGTAAAATGACTTAACTGAAGCTTAAATGAACAAATCACCTGTATTTGCACTAGGGGTGTCCGGATACAACTTTTTCACTCCTGATACGATACAGATATTTTAGCCTTCAGTATCGGCCGATACCGATATCGATTATGTTTTTCGGACTTTGGCGAAAAATACTGCCACACAGCCGACATCACTCCTACTCCTTGCTACTTTGTTTGTAACTTATCGAACTTGTCCGAATATAACAGGGCAAGGCAAGCGCTAAAATAACTTTGTAGATGTAGCCATCTTGTTTCCGCCGCCGATTTTGCTTTTTTCCGACTTGGTAGCTAAAATGCTGGTGACTCAGGTGTGACATCATTTTCAGCTCCGACATCTGAGTTCAGACGTAACTCGAACGCAGCATTAGTACACACTGTTGTTGTGATCACGTGGGCTCTGCATGCTGGATCAGGGCGCTGCTAGCTAGAAGTGCTGGAGCAGAGTCTGGAATAGACAGCTTGTATTGAAGCGCTGATATCAGAGATTTTAGATAATGGACAGATACTCGATATTAATATTGTATCGGGACAGCCCTAATTTGCATTTTCTGTAACCTTTGTGTAACTTTGTTTACGAACAAAAACAGCCGATTTTTTTCAACTTTAACTCAACCCTGCGGTGCATTTTTCACCAGATTTAGATCAAACCACTTAAAAAACTGGACCATCTTCAATGTAAACAACACTGACTGGATATGAAACAGTTACAAGTAACCCCACTGACTGTTTAATTACATCAACACATGACTCATGGAGAATTAAAGTCAACAGAGACGTTTGTGTCTCCGATTTTGCTCGCCTCCTCAGGGAGTGCCGGCGCTCTGCCTCTTACTCTCTATTGGTTACAAACAATGACACCTCTCATGGAGGTCTGCCGAGCCACAAAGAAAGAACGGTGTGTACTAAACACACAGGACACACACATGACCCTCACGCATCAACTCCCGACATGCCACAAAACCGGTTCTTCATCAGAGTCACTACCTGTGTCGTCAGAGCCTGCATCACAACAAACACTGGAAATGGTTCATCATGAGTCCATCAGGGCCCCTTTGTATTTATTTCTTTGACAAGTTTTGACTCGTGTCAGCCTCGATTTGATCTTTTAAAAACAATATTTGTGTTTTAAGGTCAAAGACTGCCTACGAGAAGAGGAAGTCGATGTCAAAGTCGCCTGAACTTGCATTTTTCATGACTCCACTCCTCTGGTTATGAAACTAATTTTGACTTCATGTGAGTCGATCAGAAAATGAGTCAGCTTCTCACTGCATTTCCTTTACCAGCGACTTGATCTCAAAGTCTTCTTACAATACAGTGTTTATCATGTTAGTTATAGTTTCATGTTGTCACTTGAGGGGTGGCAGCTTTGGTTGACATAAATCCCAATCATAATCTGAAATTTTGATCATGAACTCGTTTAAAATTTATCTGAAACATGTTTCTGACCGAGATAATCATCAAATGCCAACCAATTAAAAGTGACAAGATATCAGCATCATCTATTGGCCTTGAGCTGACCTGTTCTAATCAGCATCGGTATCACCAGCTGAAAAAAACAATATCATCAACAGTGATCAGACATACTCTTATATGGCACTGTTACGTAAAACTCTTAAGGTCCTTTCACACTGGGAGCGTTTTTTTTGTGCGATTATTTCGGACGTCAATATTTTTTTTCAAACCCGTATCCTGTCAATACAACAATCACATCAGCGACGTTTTCCCGTCCTGCGATATTGCGGCATTTATTTTTTTTGGCATCACGGTCGAATTTTCTAAAATTTCGTATACTGTGTGTCCACTTCTGACCAATCAGATTGCGTGTTGTTGCAACGTCAGATTCACCACTATATATCCAACATGGTCGACCGGCTTATCGTTTATGTGTCGGGGAACAGAGTGCTCACAAATATTACAAAAAACACAAATATTACAAAGATAACGACCTGAAGGACAACTTGTAGAGAGTCATAGCGTCGGATTTCTGATATGACGATAGTTTGTGTGCTTTAACAGTTTGCTAAACGTCTTTGTTTTAACTTTCATCTGCGCGAAGTAACTAACTCTTAAGCCAGTGGTTCTCAAGTCCAGTCCTCGAGGCCCCCCGTTCTGCATGTTTTGGATGTTTCCCTGCTCCAGCACACCTGATTCAAATGATCAGCTCCTTAGTAAGCCATTACAGAGCTTGATAACGAGCTGATCATTTGAATCAGGTGTGTTGGAGCAGGGGAACATTCAAAACATGCAGGACGGGGGGACTCGAGGACTGGATTTGAGAACCACTGTCTTAAGCTAACCTGTTCAGATACAACATACCATATGTATATATGTATTACGCGTATTTTTTCCCCCCGGAAAGTCGCAAAATCACATTGCGCTTGTGATGTATGTCAACAAGCCCCATAGGTTTTTTTTGTTTGTTTTGTTTTTTGTTGTTGCACTCCCACATTAGCTTCACCCGAGTATTTTTCCTACAACAGCTCAGTCCTGGTTGAGGCATGTTCTCCCGGCGCCTCTGTGCTTTCAGAGGAAGCAGTGACTAACTAGTGAGAGAGTTAATATTTGATCAAGAGCTCCTTGTTGCTGCTGCTAACTTCCTTCTCTTCCGTCTCAAAGTGGCTCCACGACAGCGCCTGCAGCCATGTTCGGACAGTTTGAGTGCGTGGGGGGAGGAGGAAGGACAGCCCTGTGCTCTACCTAAACATACACACACCCAGGACCTCGAAAGGAATGATGTCAGCACGCTGCACCCAAAATAATAACAAAGCCAAGCCGCCACCTCTCTCACTCCTTCTCTCTCTCTCTCTGTCTCTCTCACACACACACACCCTGGCTTCCTTCAGGCACTAACAGGCTGCTTAGAGAGCAACGGACAACCCTTTTACACCAACACAAGAGCAGCCCTGGTGGGTCAAAGTTAAAGACGGAAAAGAAAAGAAAAAAAAAAAAAAAGGAATAGATAGACACGCCACTGCTGCGTGATCAGGATCGGACAGATCCTGGAATGTAGTGCGGTCGGTCGGTCGGAGGAAGAGTCTTCAGACACGAACAGCTAAGACACAGGATTGCATAAGCAGAACTGAGCCAAGGACACAGACAGCTCTGTATGTGTGTGTGTTTGTGGTGATGCAAGTCTGCACAGCAACAGACGAGTTTTTCATTCAGTTTTGAGAAGTGGATCCTCTTTATAAGTCCATAATTACTGTCTCACAGAGCTGCAATTAGAGATTAAAGAACCATCATGTCAGCACATACACTCCTTGTAGCAGAGAGACCAACAGCCTTGCAGTGGGTTGGGTTCAATTATGGTGGGAAATGACCCAAAAAACTTTAATTCTGCACGTCTTTGATTATTCCTTTTGGTTTGTTAAGTTGTTTATCCATCTCATGCATCTGTGCTGGTATTTTATCTATTTCCTTTATCTCCTCATGACTATTTTGCTTTTGGTTAGTTGTGTCTATGGAGCTTTTGTCTCATAATCAGCTGCTGTTCAAATAAGCCCTTCAGCGCGATTTATACTTGTGTGTTCGATCTACTATGAGCAACAACATTGTGAGCCCTGAACTGTTTGATGAAGACCTCACAGATAACATTACGACTTATAAAGAGCATTTCTTTCTGATGTTTGATCATTTGCCTGTTTTCATTTAGTACTGTAGCCTAGGGCTGGGCGATGTGGCCTCAAATCAATATCATGAAATATTGAGCAGTTCACCTCGATCCAGTGTTGTTTTTGGCAGGCATTTTAGATTTAGTTTTAGTCTTAGTCATTTTGACGAAATGCTTCTTCGTTTTAGTCCCATTTTAGTCATTTCTATCCTTGATAGTTTTCGTCTAGTTTTAGTCCGACGAAAACTCAAAAGCTTTTAGTCTAGTTTTAGTCGACGAAAAGGTGCCTTTTGAGGTTCGTGGTGTTCTTTCCCGACAGTTTGAAGCCGCAGCATGAGGAAACTGTGGCTCCACAACTGTCGTCTGTCTCGTCTCCCCGTCCCCGTACAAGACATTGTGTTTTATTGTCACTTGGACTGTATCTGAAGTAGGACCATAAATCATCCCTCTTTTTTCGGCCACCGGGCACCGCTGCTGTTCCTGCCGCCACGGTGTGTGTGTGTGTGCGCCTCGTCCACCTGCCGCTCTGTGTATGTGTATGAGTGTGTGCGCGCAGCTGTGCGCGAGCGAGGCTTTTGGTGTGTGTGTGATGGGGGCGTGACTGGTAGGACAAAAAAAAGCATGTTTTGAAACTTTGTTCGTCCACCTAATAACAATTTAGTCTCGTCTCGTTCTCGTCTGACGAAAATGAATATAATTTTCGTCACATTTTAGTCTTTACAGAGCTTTGGTGACGTTCGTCTTAGTCTCATTTTCGTCAAGGGCTGGGTGATGTGGCTTCAAATCAATATCATGAAATATTGAGCAGTTCACCTCGATAAGGATAAATGGACGATAACTACTCCACAAGCTGCTCACCCACTCCCACATTAACTTTGTCTACTTCAGTCGCCTCTACAACTTTTTAACCGTCCTCCATCTCCTCATCTGTCTTTCCCTCTTTGTTACAGACTGGATGGGGTGGAGTCACGTCTTAATGGGACAATAGACCATAGCCTACCTACACACATCCAAAACCAACTTTTATATATTCATTTATTTTGACACCAAATATACCAACATGGGCAAAATGACATCGGTTATTGTCGTAAATTTCAGTATCAGTAAATGTTCGGTTTATCGCCCAGCCCTACTCTAGTCTCATGATCTAATAAAAGTGCTCTTCAGCAGCAGTATCTCTGAGTCTACATCTCTAGGTCTCCTGCTGGTGTGTGAAAGCCAGCTGTGACTTTAACTCCACATTCAGCCCAGTAGGTCAGTGGGTGCATCCGTCCCTCCGCCCAGCTCAAGGGACTCAGCCCCGTCAGCCCTCGGCTCAGCCACACATCACGCCTAAAGGCTAATATTTTTTTTTCTTTCTTGGGGTTAACTGAATGCACTTACCATCTGGTGGTGGTGACTGGGGATGTTGGCTTCCTGGAAGAAGGAGCTTAAGGCCGTCTGCGGGGGGGAAAAAAAAGAAAGAAGAGAGAGATTGTGTCATGATCCTAATGATTGATTTAGATTGTAAACATGAAAAAGTAGAAGAGTCAAACTTTTGTCTTTTTTTCTCCTCAGACCCCCGACCCCCCTCCCTCCCTCCCTATCAGACTATGGGTCAGTCTACACAACTGGTCAATTGAGGTGGGGGTTAAAACTATTATCTCAATGCTGGGATCCGAAGCAGGGCCTTTGAACCGAGAGACCTTTCTGGAGTAGCTGCAAGCTGACAGACACAGATATGCAAAATCTGCCTGTAAGTAAATCTATGTAATAAAACCAAACTCAAAAATGGTTGTTCACATAATTCTTTCAAACGCTGCATACATGAAATTGCTGTCAGACTAAATCTGCAGGGTACTTATTCACAAAAACACAGATAATTCGCACAGCCCGACAGCAGAAGGTCTCCAGAGCCAAGCTGAAAAATCTGGGAAACAGTCGCCGTAAAAATATAAACAACAGGCTTCATGGCTGCCTCTCTGCACAAACAAGGAAATGAGATGGCTTCTTGTATTGTTTCTCTTTTTTTTTTTTTTTTTGAGTGAACACAGCCAAGGCCAGTGGAACAAAAACACACTTGATGACCTCAGAGAGACAGAAACAAAAAGCTGATAACAAACCCAACCCAAACAAACAATCCTCTGAGCCTGACCGGGGTGTGATTCATGTGCCTGAGCGAAAAAACAAAGAGCATCATGTCTCAGACTCATCGTCCTGGAAAAATGGTGGATAGAAAAACTTGAGTATGCTAAACAGAGTGAAGGGGAACCTGTGACGTGGCTTATATGGGGCACCAAAGTCAAAGTTCAACAGCAGATTTTTGTTTCAGCAGAATCTTAACATCAAAATTCTGTATGTATTTTACTTTAAAGGTAGATTCATAAAGCTTTGGGTGTTCAAGTATTAATGCTCAATGTCCAAATTCTGCTTTTGATGCGTTTTTACGCAGTCGATAAAGTCGGAGATTCATCTATGAAAGTGGATGCTAAAATAACTTAAAATAATTAAAATAACAAGCGCTAAAATAACTTTTGTGGATGTAGCCACCTTGTTTTCTCTGATTTTGCTTTTTTCTGACTTGGTAACTGAAACGCTGGGAACTCGGGTGTGACGTCATTCCCAGCTCGGACATCTGACTTCTGAGGTAACTCGAACGCAGCATTATTCTAATTTAAGCCTTCATTGCTTCACCTTGCTTTCATAGCTCTGTAAGAATTATCTTAGTCTTTTGTTTTTTTTACTCTTACAATTTTGATTTGGTTTAGCATATTTTAGCTTCACACTGCAGCTTATACGCTCTTATTAGCATATTCATTCGTGTGTTGTTGTGACTGTTTTCACTGCCTGAACACTAGTTAGGGGCGTTCACCTACTGCGAACAACGCCAACTCAAAGTGAGTTTATCAGGTTCACGCTGCAGCTAATGCGAGTGTGAAAACACCCACTTTGATAACAGTCATGTCCAAAAGGTGTACAAACAATGAGACTGCCGACCGCCATTCAGGTTTTAGTTTTATGAACCAGCACACAAACAAACAATCCACATTGTTGAGTTGCTGTGAAAACTTCCTGCTATTGTAACGGCCGGCAGCCTGGCTAAAATATCACTCTGTCAGCAACACAAGAAAAAACACCTAAACTTCATGTTACCGCTCTTCTCTGGAATGAACTTCTTGCTCAATTTGTCAGATACTTAGAACAGTGTGAATATTTCCTTTGTTTTGTACGAATCAGGCAAGGTCACATCTAGCTACTCAAAAACAAAATCACAACTTTTGGAAACAATGCTAAACTTTTTATGTAACTCAGCAGAACAGCAACAGTGTTGATGTGTTGAACGAGCCTCCAACGTGGTTAAAGTAACGTCCTACTAAGACTGAAAGTAACAGACAGAGTGTGTGAGCTTGTTTTACTGCTCAGCAAAGCTTTCATTTCCACTTCACCGAAGGCCTCTTTCTTGCCAACACTTCAATGAATGTGCGGTTTACCCCACCCCCCCGCTTCCTTCCCCCCTCTTCCTTCCCCCCACGCTCTGGTTGTTTGACAACAGCAGCAGCGGTGCAGGAATGTGAGCAACGTGACACACATATCAAAGTGAGAAAGTGCTGCTGAGCTGCTATTGTGACCGTGCCCTTTTCTTTTAGTCTGCTCTCAGTTTATTTTTTAAAAGTAGGTTTGGCGAGCGTCACACACACACACTGATGTCACACTGTCACTAAAGATTTTCTGGTGCTGTAAACACACAGTCTGACTGTAAACATAGCTGCAAGGGTCACTTAGTCACTCAGAAATGACGGGGCAGCACAGAGACAAAACAACAGATAAGAAAAGACGAGTTTCGTAGTATGTCTCAAGCTTCCTGATCAACATTTGAGCTCATCAGTCGTCAGTTATTCAGTGAAGATTAGCTTCCTTATCTATAGGTTAATAAACGAGTAACTGTTTAAATACAAATGTTGTTTGGCAGTGAAGAAATAAAATCAACGATGAAGCTCTTCATTTGCAAGTCTTCTGATAAGCATAGCTTTTTTTTAGCTTGTATGCTAGTTTGTTGTTTTGCTGAGAACAATTAAAGTGTTTAACATGTTTTTTTTAGATAGAAATGGAGTTAATCAATGTTGCTACATTTGTCAGAAAACTACAACAGCTGTTTAATATCTGTGACCCTGTGATGAATCGAAGCAAATCACAATTTTCAAACATTTAACTCAAGTGTAATTTTAAGCTTTTTAGCAAAACCCTGAAATCCTCGTTTCTTTTTTCCCAGTTTCAACTAGGGGTGGGGAAAAAAAAGAGTCACGTAAGTATCGCAATTTTTTGTTTTACAATTTTTAAATCGATTTTTATTGTCAAAAATTTTTTTTTCCCAAATTTAATAATTGAGGTCCTTTCACACTGGGAGCGTTTTTGTCGTGTGATTATTTCAGACATCAATATTTTTTTTCGAAACCGTATCCTGTCAATACAAGCGTTCACATCAGTGACGTTTTCCCGTACTGTGATATTGTGGCATTTATTTTTTCGGATCACGGTCGATCTTTCTTAAGTTTTACATACTGTGTGTCCACTTCTGACCCGATTTCATGTTATTGCAACATGAGGTTCACCGGTATATCCAACATGGCTGACCGGCTGATTGTTTAGTGCTTTTTGATAAAGACACAAACATCACAAAGATAATGACCTGAAGGACAAAATCTTAAAAACTGACTTACATGTGATATGTATATTTTGGGGAAATATGGTTCCTGTAATAGTCAGTAGACAATCATAATCATTCAACTGTTTCACTGGTGTTAAAAATGCAGACTAAAAATTGAGAAAATCGACAATATTGTAGAATCACAATTTAAATTGAATCAGCATCCAAAGAATTGTAAAAGAATCAAATCGGGGGAAAGCATATCATCCCAGCGTTAGCTCCAACCCCCTGATAATTTTAGACATTTTTGCTTTTTAGACTTTCAACTCAAACTGCTGTGAGAAGACATCAAACTGATTCTCTGTTTTAAACTCTAGTTTCACATGATCTGTTGTGGGGATGAAAAGGGAACAGGCAGCTCCATTCAGTGACACAACATCAGCATTTTAAGTTACAAGAACTTGATTGTGGTTTATAAGTCATCACATCTCTTATACAGCGTCTTTCATTATCAGTCAAAGAAGTGACTTTCTCACATGCACCAGAAACCACGATCATCCTGACATCACACCTGAGGACAAAATTAAAATGTCCTCTAGTCTGTCCTATAGTCAAACCGATAATGTCAATTCAATAAAATTCCATTTGCTGCACCCGCAAATCCCTCTGGATAAAAAAATGACTGTTGCTTTAATGTTGCGGTGGCTCTGAGGTGACGGGCCTCAGGGGGGACGGCTGAACCGAGCACAGAAGACGCCTTTGGCCTCAGCTTGCAGCCAGAAGGAGAGAGCTGAGAGAAATCAGGCCACTGCTATCACGCTGAAACAAACAGCCTGTTTACTATGAATCTCCATCTGAGTTTATAAAAAAAAGAGAGGAGACGACTGAGTGTTCACAAACCTCGAATGAATCACAGCTGATATGATTCACCTATATGAGAGGAACTCCTTCTTTCTATGTGTTAGTCTTTAAAACATTCAAATCTGTGACTCCATTTCCTACAATGAGAGGATTTACAGCTCCTATTTCTTTTTACTAACAGAAGGCATCAAAATAACATTTAGTGGAAGTTCTTCCTTATTTAGCCCACTGCTGGTCCAAAGTACCTGTCGTGAAAATACAATAAATGTTCACAGCCAAAGACAGATACGTCCTCATGTGGAAGCTCACTAATCTCCATGTTGTGCTTAATAATATCTGAGTTTTTGTCTTAAAAAATCACCAGTTATTTGTTCAGTGCTTCTGGTTTCTGTGTTTGGGTGTGGTGGAAGTGAAAATTGGGGAAGCTGTTCCACAGATTAGACGGCAAGCCATAAAAAAAAAAGATACAAAATATGTGAAAAACTGGGTTTGCTTCCATAAAAAGAACCAGAAGTTATAAGAGTACTTATAGTTGGATCAATTGCACTAAAACTGGCCTAAGTGTTCTGCACATGCTCCAGTGTTTGCATGGGCTTTGGCCAGGTCTGGTGGCTTTGAAGAGACTGAAGCAGCTTCTGTTTATCCTTCAAATCTCTCCTACTTTATAACAAAAAGGTCAATTTCTTCAGGATTTTATCTACAGTGCTGACGCCCTTTTAGTCTTGTTATCAAACCAGAGCCTCATGGTGACCATTACAGCCTGTTACACCACTGTTGGTAGGCGATATTCACTTGAGTAATTCAAAAAGTTTTTGAACCTATCATCCGTGTGGTGTGAGTGTTTTGCTCTGCAGGAAACATCTAGGTTGGTGAGTCACTGTAGTGTCAGAACAATGGTCTCCAAATACTTGAGGAAGTCACAAACACACTCTCAGCTTTTTGCCTTACTTTCTTATAAAGACAGAACGTGACTGAACAGTCATAGTTAGGAGGAAGAAACGGGTTTCACAGTCTCAACGGTTGTGGATTAAATTGGATGCAGAGTGAGTGCACTATTTTAGCTCCACTTCAAATACCTCTGAAAACCCCTGACAGCTCCCAGATACAGCTTTAGGTAAGTCCTTAGTTTGAAGTCCACCACTTAGGAGTCAATTAAGCTGTCCAGACATCGGGTGAGAGGAGAGGAGTCCAGCCAAGCCTCCTCCTCCTCCTCCTTCTGTCCCTCACCCGCCCCTCTGGTGAATCACCTGGCCCAACACTGACAGCACACAGCCTTGACAGATTGTCCATCAAAGCAGATGGGGGAGTGGTCTGAGCAGCAGAACCATCTGGAGGCTCAGGCTTCAAGTCCTACAGGTGTCAGTCAGCTGTTCATCAGGCCCTACATATGGTACAAACACACTGATGCTGGAGTGGGGAGGAGGCCATTTTGTCATTTGGACCTTGGTGCTGTTGCTTTCAAAGTGTAGATGACAATGGAGAGGTCCAAAACCACAATGAATGTTTGTTTACTTTTCTAAAAATCTAACAACTATTATCTAGATTTTAAAAGGTACATTTATCATATATCAACCTGTATATCAACATATCTGGTTTTGGATTATTTACATTTGATTGCTTGGGATCTTTTGGGGACTGGGGGGCTCAGACTGTTATTCTGTGTCCCAACAGAGGTAGACCTTATATTTGAGGGTGACAGACATAAGAATCCATTAACAAAAACCTCAAATAACAACTAATGTGCTCCAATTTATCAGTTTCAGCTCTGACTTAACATTTAAAACACCAAAATTAAACATGTAACACAACAGACACCAAAGACAGGCAAGCAAGTCTCTCAGTTTTTCACTAACACTGCTGTCAACAGACATACTGTATAGGGCAGCCAAGTCTAACCAAGTGAATTAGTCTTAGTTGTGGTCAGAATATCTAAACACACTTGATTCAGGCTATATTGACCTGGCAGGCCAAATATGAATCACATGTCATGATATTTCGAGCTAATTTTTCCTTGATTGGTTCCTTGAAATCAGTCTGGCATCTTGTTTGTTTTGAGAACCTTATCGTGACGCATTGGCAGTCATTTTGACTCTACGATCAAGCAAAGAGTCATAACAAAACGCCTCTGTGCACAGCCAACTTTGAGCTGAGTGTGCAGAGACCACCTGCAAATCGCAACACTTACAATAGAGTATAACTCTTTGCACATTAATGCTGTCAAACAACTACTTTGAAAAAATATGCTTACATATTGTTTGACAGTCTCTGCCACCAAGAGTTAAGTACTTACTTGATACTAGGGCTGGGCGATATGGAAAAAAGTTTATCACGGTATATTTTTTTCATATCAGTTGATATCGATCACAATATTTAAAAAATCAATTGTCAATCTTAAATGTTCCCTGTGACTCTTGAATGAAATTTAACATGTACTCGACATAATTTGCATTTCAAATTACTCTGCTTCATGTCCAACCTGCAAACACACCACCGACGTTTTCATGCCAGTGTTGTCATCTGTTGAGCCTTCTTCTGCATTTCCTTTTCTTTTGTTCTCACTGACAGTGCTGTCGGCTTTACATTTTAAAGTGCTACTGTTCATGTAGCTGCAGTCTGCTACTACGCAGTTGTTTGCTACTTGGTTCTAATTCAGCACATGATTGGTTCTGCGCGGCACGACCTGGAGCGACTCCCCTTTTCATTGGCTATTTGTATAGTCTACCTACACATGGCAAAACACAGACTATTGAAAAGCATACTGACAATGTTTTATATTGATATTGAGGGAAATTAATTTTCGATGTATATTGTTATCGTTTTATCGCCCAGCCCTACTTGGTACTCATGTTAAAAACTGTACTTTTTACCTTCACCTGTGTAAATTAATAGACTTCTGCTTAAAGTTCCTTTAATGTGGGTCATTTTTAGGCCCCCTTGTGAACACATGTACCTACTTCAACTTTAAATAAAGGCGGTTTCAGCAGCATTAATCTTCATCAGTAAATCTGGTTGTCCTCTTTCCAGCTCTTTATGACAATGACTTCATGGAAATGGTTAATGTAATTTCTGATCGTCCTATTTTCTTATGCAAAACAATTTGTCTGTTTCTAACCAACTTAAAACTCATCACATGATCTTCAAGTAAAATATCAATATATTTATAGACATATACTTCCCTCTACGCTATAAGTTAGAAAAGGTGTTGTGAGTCCGTTATGAAGAACTTGGTTAACACCCGTCTCACGGGGAGGTTTCTCTTTTCACCTTTTGTGGACTGGAGCCAAACAAACAAGCCAAACCCGTAGTTTATTATCTCTGAGTAATGGCTGTTGTGTGCATATGAGAACATGTTATCAGACGGGCCTTGTCTGACAAGATGGCATCAGTAATTTGCTCTCCGCGTCACTCATAAACTTATTTGTTTTCAACGACACCTATTGTAACATAATGACCGACCTTGAGCGAGCATATGGCCGTATAAAGGCTGGCTTTATCCTCCCGGCGGCTAGGCTAACAACAATTAGCTTGGCAATGACACAGTAGATTCCTGTAGAGAATGTAAACAAAAACGGCCATTGAGTGGAGGAGGACCACGTCCTCAGTACTGCTGCTGCTGTTAGCTTAGCTCGTGTTAGCCCAGGAGCGCATGGTCGCGAGACAGGACGTGAAATACTCCCATTAAAGGCCGAGGGCAGTTGACTTGAATACCCTCACAGTTCAGTCTCAAACTGGAGACTGAAACCACAAACACAAAGAGAGGGTCATTACGTGCATATTGAATAAATATCTCCTCTTTGACACTCACCTCAAACTGCCAGTGGGCCGCTTGTAGGAGCTGCTTCGCCTGATCAGCGGCGCAGCCTGCCGTCAAAACAAACTGGTTGATCATAACTTGATGTCTGAGTTCGTCCATATTCACCGACATGGCCACTTTCCAAGCAGTTTGCTTAAAGCCGAAACAAAGAAAAGAAAAGAAAAGAAAACAGACTTTAATCGGCGCCTCAAAACCCTCAAACCCCGTCCTCCCTGTCTGCCTGTCTGTCTGTCTCCCACCGTCGAGTCTCCGTCCGCAGCTTTCAGCAGCAACAACAATATTTTCATGTCATCACCAACAACAAAGAGGACGGCGCTCCTGATTGGACGCTCCTGAGCCAAGAGAGTACTAGAGGGGCGCTGATTGGCTATCACAGAGAAGGGTTTAAATTAACTGGTGCGCTTGGTTTTCTTCCCAATGACATTTCCAGTGGGTGGAGTCGAGCGGAACCACAATGAGTGATACCCTCTCCACCCCCCTGTGGTTATCCTGTAGACGTGTACACGCGCTTTTGAAGATATCCGTTACACTGACGTAATGCGTAAATTCATAGAGATGATTGGTTACACTGTTCGGCAGGTATACAAACCAAACACATTGCAAAATATTGAGCACATTTCTAAATAGTTCATTTAGAATACTGTTGTTTAATGCATACGATTTAACTACATGTGTTGTTGTTGTTGTTTATAGTGTAAATACTTGTATATTATCTCTATATTTTTGCTTATTTTATCTGTTATTTATTTCCTCCTTTACTGTATTTGCACAGGAATACTGTGACAAAAGCAATTTCTCCCTGGGGATTATTATTAGTATTTCTGATTCTGATACTTTTAAGTTGAAGAATAAAATATATTTCTTTTTTCTTTTAATACAGTTAACCTTCAAATACAGGACAAACATTATCAAGGTGATTCACACATATTTACACAAATTTCTTCCAACGTAACTTCTTGTACTACATTGTCCCTTGTGGATTAATTTCATGGAGAATGTCAAGACCCCCTTCCCAACTTCATTTATTATTTTTCATTACTCCTAACTTTTATCAAATGCTTTGTTGTGGGTCTGACTGCAAATAACAAATTATATAATGTTTTCTTGACAAATGACACTAAATTTTCCCAATAAAACCTGTAGCAGATATAAAAATATAGGCCTGAATGTTAAGCCAGCAACAACAATCTGTTAAAGTATACTTTGATTCATATAAAGTGGAACAAAAGCAGCAGTCGGCTACAATATCCCTTTCTAGTAAGTAATCTTAAAACTGGTATTCATGAAAGTTGAACAAAGACTTGATCTGGACCCTCAAGTTCAGTCACCTTCAGTCATGCTTGAAAACAAATGCGTGCACCAGAACTTAAGTGGGCATTATTGTTTGCAATCCATACCTTACAAAAATCAATACTTTTAAGAGACCACTAAATAACGCACTGTTCTTTTTATTCATAACACATTTGGAGTTCTCTGAAAACATCATACTGAAGTTTACCTCACATAATTAAAGTAAAAACAGGGGGGAGAAAAACCTTGGTTCATTTTAAAATTCACCTTCATCTACAGATTTCTCTACATGTTTGGTCCTGCTGTAAACATACACTTTAAGACTATTATTCTTCGGTACACACACTTTTGCACTGCAAGTTTCAGGTCCTGCTCCCAGGAAAAGGACCTGAAGTGTGTACTCCAAACGCATCACTGTTTCAAGAGCACTCAGCATGCCATGGACCTCTTAAATTGATTTTTTTGACATCTCAGTTGTCAAATGTCTGCTTCCACCAGACAGGTCACTGAAAGATCCTGAGTTCAAATTCAGGTCTGGCTACATGAGGCACTAAAGAAACGCCTTCCTGAAATGTTGTTTGAGAAGAGGTTTTACAGAAGCAAAATCAAATGGTGAAATAAAAAGTAAAACAAAAAAGAAAAAAAAAGGAAGCACTATCAGGCAAGTCCTGTGGTGAAATTGTTTAGACTGTTGGCTGTTTGTGAAATTGTTATAAGAAAGGAGGAGAGAAAGCAAGAAGGAGTAGAGTTTAAAGAAAAAAAAACTGAAAGTAACAGGTGAGAAATGAAAAAAAAAAAAGGTGAAAACAATGTCAAAAAATTTTCCTAGTGTATGTTAAAAGTGTGATGAACAGGTTCAACCAGCAGGGGCTGTCAATCATTTCCATACCTCATGGTCTTGAAAACTTGACAGAAGTTTCCAGATCTCGAAAATTTTATTTATAAATTAAGTTACGGCAACTTGGTATTATAACCATCAGAACAATGTGGTGTTTCAACTTCATTTGGCACAATTAGACAATTTTGGCTGACACAACTTGAAATATTATGTATTGCTGACAACAAAATAAGAAACTTTTTTTGTTTGATTTGTTTTACAGTGTATGCATTTGGATTTCCTTGCATTGGCTCATTTGAAAGTGTAACTGAGCCAAGTTACAGATTCACTCATGTAGCTCCGGCAGCGACACTTACTCACTCTTCATTCCATGACCTAACATCACCCCAGGCTTTGCTCCATATATAATTACCAGTTTGTAGTTGTGCCATCTGAATAACGGAATTTTCCACCTCACAAACAGTAAAAAAAATTGCCTCTTCATTCAACTAGGAACCCCAGTGTAGGCTCTCAGTGACAAATTTTAAAGGGGGAGATTATTACCCTCAAAATGTTAGAGTGCAGAATTGTTAAATTTGTTAGCTTGTACTAAAAAGTGTGATTGTTAAACTTTTTGTTTCTATTCTCTTTGAAATCCATTTTTCAGGAATGAAGAAGTCAAACAGGGACAAACAACATCTCAGATCAGGCTTCACATAGCCATACCAGGGACCACATAGTTGTTAAACAGCGACCTCAGGTGGATGTGGTAATTATGACCAGGGTCATGGAACTAGGAGAAAAGGGATGAGAAAAGTAGCTGTTGAAAAAAAATTGTGAGAAAGAAAAGAGGTCAGACAAAAATAATGATCAAATTTAGGAAAATTATTTGAGTAATAGGGTCCTAAAAATTGTCAACATAATTTTCATGAAAATATAACAGCAACTAAAGACATGTTAGAGTAAGAATTGAAGGAGGGCTGAGCTACTAATTAAGAAAGCAACAGGTTATCAAATTTAACAATGAAATCAATCCCGTGCTTGACTAGATCTTAGTTGTTGTTGTTTTTTTAATTAAAAATACCAGTTATGATAAAAAAAATATATAAAGGACAAGCATGCTTTAAAATGTTAATCATTCATACATGTATAGAAAAAAGTTTTCATAAAAAGCATCAATACAAATTTCAATATATTTCAGAGACATAAAAAACTCATCATTGGAGCTTTAAGTAATATATTAGCCAGCAGCATCAAGAAAAAGAAGAATTGATGACAGTATTTCTGCTACTTGAAGATGATGAAAACATGTATATATGGAGGGAGCTACAGTACTCTCTGTTTTTAAAAAAAAGAAACAGAGTCACTCAAGTCCTCTCCATTAACAAAGGAAGGATAGAAAAGAAGGGTAGACCAAAGAAGAAATGAAAATATTACCATTAGGCCACATGTTAAAGTATCAGTTTCAGCAGAATTAAACTTGACCCCAACCTGAAAACAAAAATGTGCGTGTGTCTGTGTATACTCTCCATTCTGTCCATCCGTCTGTCAGTCAAGTTCTTCCTCTCCACCTCCTGTGAGTCCTAAGTTGACCCTGCTCTCTGTGAGGTTACCATGGTTGGCTGCTCTGGCTGTGACCTTTGATCCCTGATGGAGGTGGTGTGATAGGACTGTGTAGAAGCACGTTGCATGTAGAGGACAAAACAAGCAAAGACTGCTTTGTCCACAGTGAACACAAAAAATGATACAAGTTGAAAGTTCCCTACAGGACCTTTAATGATTTATTGACGTGTAAAAGGTAGAATAAGTTTTTTAATACTTCTGTATGGGGGACAAAGAAACCACATATACAAAGTAGGGTCAAGCTGGAGTGAGATTAGTTCAATACTTGACAAAAAATATACACATGCTATCTCCATTTAAATTGCTACTTTTACTTAAGTGAAACATCTGAGTAGTCAATGCTTGGTGGAAAAATCACCCTGTGGATTAAAATGTTTCCCAGAAAATGAAAGTGTTGGACCAGTTGAAGTCAGCAGTTGTCAGCAGAGTCCACTGTACTCTACATCTGCCTTTGAAGAGACATGAGGCCTGCAGAGATAAGACAGGCTTTTTTTTATTGCTTTACAGTTGTCTTTGTGAGGCCCCTCAGGAAACCACTCAGCCAGCTAATGTAACGTCCGAGGGGCCTAACCTTTTTGTTTTGTCTTTCTCTTCCACCCTGTCTTATGAGGAAAACTACATTCTCACATTCAGACATAGACACACAGATACACACAAAAACACAAAATATGAATCCATGTCACTAATTTAATTATAAGAGAAGATTACAGAGCTGTTTCTCCTCTTTTACTGTTATATGTGGATATGTGACAGTTTCATTTATATGATTTTTCATCTGTGTTTATTTTCTATACTTTGCTGCCTTGCTAATCTCTTTCTGTTGATCTTCTTATATGGTAATTCAAAAGCACAGTCTGCTCCTCAGTGGTAGAAAAACAGGTTATTCTAGCTCTGCACAACTGTGAACCTGCTGCACTCTTTATACTTTTGGGTTTTTCCTTCACAGGGGAACTGTATTTTGGGCACCTATAAATGTCCCAGATTGGAATCTTTAGAGACATCACCATTTCTGTCGCCATGCAAACAGAATATGTCAGATTCTGTGATAACTGGGAATTCACAGATCTGTTTGCACATGCATATTGCCTAACCGGTCAAATAGCTAATACTCATCACTCTCACACCTACTAGTGGTGTGATGTTTGAAAGTTATAGCCCCACCTGCTGGTCTTGGATGAACACTTAACCTTTTCACTTGTTTTGGAGGCATCCCTGTAGAGATACCGGGTGTCTTTTCATTGCCATTGGGTTTTATAATGTTGTCAAATTAACATATTTTATTTAATACAGCAAAATATTATTATTGTTATAACCTTTATTTAACCAGGTTTGACCCATTGAGATCCAATATCTTTTTTGCAAGGGAGACCTGGCCAAGAATGGCAGCACATACAGTTTCAATACAATAATCACATTAATCATATAGAAAACAAAAAATACAAATAATAATTACATTTTCAAAATTAGTTAAAAAAGATTCTTTAAAGATTTGCACTCAAATAAAACATTCGTACTCCTGAAGCCTGGATGTAATGGACATTATCATGGATTTGAAGACATTCAGAGATACCAGACTTTGGAGTTTCAGGTCTGATTGCAAGATGTTCCATGATGTTCCATGTACTCCCTTTTCCAGCACATTAAGGTAATTAAGACTTGACTTGTTGGCTTGGAAGGCCATTTCCTGTCAGGATATCATTCAAAGAAGGGGTATTATGCTTATTTTTGTTTTTGTTGTCCCTCTGATGGCTTCTTAGCAGCTTTACATGATTTACAGCAAAAAAAAAAAAAAAAAAAAAAAAAAAATCTTAACATATTTAACAACACTTAACATCATTTCAGCCTCTGAAAATCTAAAGGGACAATTCTGGCATTTCTAAGGAGACTCACATTCTAAATTTCTGGTATATTGGTTAAACTATCAAAGACTATAACAGCACAAAACAAACTCACTGCACAAATGTTAAGCAACAAAACAGTTGAACACTGTTAACGAACAAAACTAACGGAAAACTGGAACGAGAGCAACCAAATTCCAACACATTTAAAATCTCTCATGTTTCGACATTTATTAAGTTTGCAGGTTTGATTAAAAAAGAAAAGAAAAGGATTGGGTGAATAGTCTGTTTAAAGTCCACGGATGTCCCCTGGTGTGTCCCCAGGCCTTAGTTTGGAAACTTAACTGCTGTAGTCTCAGTTGACGTTAGAGTGATTAAAAATGAAGCACCATAGAAACCAGCGGGCCAATGAAGGAGCGGGGAGCTGTTTACAAGGGGGGTGTACCGTTGCTATGGTTGCTGGACAAACCTCCTGCAACCAGGTATTAAACTGCCTCCCCGGCGGATCCTGCTGCCCGCTATTACACCCGTTATAAAGATCTCTGCGGAGGGTAAGAGGCGCCCAGCACAGCGCCAAACACTCGATCCACAGGAATTTATCTTTTTCTTAATTTGACGAAGAAGCTGAGGACAGGTGTGCTTCAAGCAGGCGCAGGTTCAACGGTGAAAAGGTGCCACTGGATTTGGATTTAAAAGGACCCATTTTTCAACATTACAGCTGACGAGGGGTAGGTTTATTATTCTAATTAAAAAAATCATTTATAATTGCATGTTTTACAATTTATAGCCCTTGTCTGGTTCAAAGGGCCTCAAATATCTGCACAGATCCATTCTGCTGCATCAACTTTTGAACACAAAAGAACTAGGCTACTTATTACGCACGTTCATATTATTTTAAACTAAATGCTTTAAAGAACGAAATTTATTTCAACTGTAAAATGACCCTCACCTTTCTAACTATCTGGGTTGTAGAAAACCAACAGACATTAAATGAAAAGGTGCGCTTTTTCTGGCACTGCGCGTCAAGTGCATAACGGAATTTTTCGGGAAACTTCTGGAACTGATAGCTTATACAAAGGATTCCTGCACATCAAGGGTGGGGGTGGGTGGTAAGATGGTCAGAAAATTCTTTACCTTTACCCTCCACACTATCCCCTCAATTCCAAGTGATAGACTTACCATAGAATTTAAATGGAAATGGGAAACCTTTACGCACACAGGGGCTCTGTTTTGAAATAGCACCGTCATTGTCCTGCAGTCTCACACTTTCATGAAGCTGGGTGTATATTTTCGGCCCTGTCAGGTGGTGGCAACTGGTGAAGGAGGAGGAGGAGGAGGAGAAGGAGCTGGGTTACAAAAAGGAGAGGAGTGAGCCATGCTGTCTGTGAGCTGTGCCGACCTGTGGCCTGAAGGCTCGGTGGCTCTGGAGGAGGAGGTGGTGACCGCCGCTGCCAAGGCCGAGGAGCTGGACAGTGCGCACAACACCAGCAGCACCAGCAGCTGCTGCAGTTCCGTGAACTTAGACGACAGCCTCACCAGCCTGCAGTGGCTGCAAGAGTTCTCCATCCTCGGTGCCAATGTGCCTCAGCAGGCCCACCACCAGCCGCACCTGTTCGGCCACCAGCCGCTCGGCTCAGACGCCCCGGCTTCTCCTCTCGCTGGGGACCCCGCCTCCTTTGGCATGCCCCTGACCCCGGGGAAGCCCACAGCGGCAGCCTACAGCAGGATGCAGACCCTCCCCAGTATCGTTGCATACGGTCATTGTCCCGATGAGGTTGACTACAAGACCAACCCGCATATCAAACCGCCCTATTCGTACGCCATACTCATCTGCATGGCGATGCAGGCCAGCAAGAAGAGCAAGATCACACTGTCCTGCATCTATAAGTGGATCACTGACAACTTCTGCTACTACAGGCACGCCGATCCCACCTGGCAGGTGAATAGACCACACACACTCTCTCATACACACAACGAGACAAATTACCTCACACAAAGCGAACAATACACTCCAACAAAAGGATGCCACATTTCCAACACACTTCCCCTTTGTTTGAAAGTGACTTTTAGTCGGATCTGCTCCCAGTACCGAGGTCAAATCACAGCTGGGGATAAGATTTTTCAAGACCAGAAAAGAAAATCTCACATACTGAGAGGCCTGGGCTGATTGCCACAGTCTGAAGGGGTGTTAGTGACTGGCTGTGGGGGAAATTAATAACTCCAGCAACAAGAAGTAGCACAAAGCTGCACTGAAAAATAAATTCACTTAACAAGAGGAGGGGAAAAAAGGGTGAAGCAAGGGAGCCTAAATCAAGTTGATGACCATCTTGGCTCTTGAAGAAAAAGCAGAATAGAAATTATACAAAAAGTAATGAATGGAAAAACATCTTTCAAACAAAAATACAGAGTTTAAATAAATTATTTATTACACAACTATTTCTTACTTTTTAAGAGTGGTTCTTTTCCATTCAACTCCTAGAACTTCATACCTCACTGGTTTTTCTGCTTCAGCAAAACTAGCAATGGAAGGGTGGCAGATTCCCACTAGGAAGGGCAGGAATTTCCAAGAAAATTTTAATTTTGCCGGATAAATGATTGATGAAGCTGTTAGCTGTACTCCCGTGTTTCAGCGTCTGCCATTTCAGTGCATTCTGTTATTGTACGGCAGTGCATGGGGCAGATAATATTTAACAAAGGTCATTGGGTTACTGCTCTATTTAGGCTCCAGGGAAGGAGGGTGTGAAGTTTAATGAATGAATGCAAGGGTACACAGCGCATTAATGTGATGTATGGTGCCTCGTGCACCCACTGCAATTGAAATGTGGTGCCCTTTTAATTTAACTGTTTTTTAAGGGGGTTTATTTGGTCAAGAGTTTAGTAAAATCAATTATATTCTGATGACAGAAGGGTGAATATAAATCTGATCAGTTTAACAAAAGGAAGGGAAAGGGGGCAATCAACTAAGGAACATAAAGGTTTCACTGAGACTGTTTCCCTACTAAAACACAAAGCTATATGATTCATTGTAATAATTCTACATGATAATTTGTGATATAATGTGAAATAATTTATCATAATTGATCATTTTACAATTGGATGAGATCTGATACAACACATTATGAAACTGTATAATATGTCAGACCATGATGAGGCACCCAATGATATTACATAATGCAAAATGATAAGACACTATTCATTAAATAGATAAAGTATATACAATGATGTTCTGCCAAGAATACATCAGGCAAAGACAGCTTATTTCAAACCTTGAATAAACAGCAATTCTTTTGCTCAAAAATGCATTTCTTTACTGTAAAAGTAGTATCCAACTTTAATAGGCCACATGCTAGCAAGTTGTGTTGTTTATATATTATGGACAACGTATGGCACCCCTGTATAAATAATTAAACTTTAACTGGCTTTGTAGCAAGAGTAAAGTCTCTGGTTACCATTGGAAGCTAGCTGATTTATCCCTTTACCAATATTCATATGATGTTAAGCTTATTGGCCGCGTGCTTTGACATCATATTTAATAAAGACATTTGAATTACATCGATTTCCTTCCTTCATCCCATTAATGCTGGGCTAACATCAAACGATTTTCACAGTCCCAGACTAAAAATTGAAAGCCTTAAGTAAATCTAGGAGTTTTACTGGAGTCTGGTGTGTTTGCATATGACAACTCGGAACTTGCTAATGCTAATATTCGGCACATGCGCCCTGCAGTGCAACCTGTGTGCGCCACATATACTGATACATACTGAGTCCGAGATAGCCTGTAAAAAAACTTTATTTTTGAGGTGTCGCCTATTATTAAGCCATGGCGATGGACCATTACACATCGGGGAAAACCAGCAGTTGATCAGTTGATGTCGAATAGGCAAGGCTGATCTGCCCACAGCTCCACCATCCACTCCTTGTTCTGGACTGTTCACTTCCGATGTTTTATCCCCAGTAATTCCTCATACATTCTTGTTCTTCTTGTTTTGACTGTCTGGTTTCCTTTGCTGCTTTTATTAGAGCTCATCTATTAGTTGCTGGTTGTGTTATGTCACTGTGACATTGATATTATCGCAAACCCAAGACAAGGGAAAGACTGATGTGAAACAGCACAGATTACCACCTTAAACTTAGATTTACTTAAGACTTTCAGATTTTGGTCTGGGACTGTGAAAATCGTTTGGTGTAAGCCCAGCATAAGAAAGCTTTGGGCACATGGTTTTAAAATACTAGTTCCTATGAGTCTTCTTCTGAGATCAGTTTGATGGAGTCTGTTTGAAGGTGTCTGTAAATATGCTCCTCTGTCTCCAGAACTCCATCCGACACAACCTGTCACTCAATAAGTGCTTCATCAAGGTGCCACGACAGAAAGATGAGCCAGGCAAGGGGGGTTTCTGGAAGATTGACCCGCAGTATGCTGAGCGTCTCCTGAGTGGTGCCTACAAGAAGAGGCGAATGCCCCCAGTCCAGATCAACCCAGCCTTTCAGAACAGGGTCAGGACCAACCTCCAGCCTCAGTCCAGAGGCCCCTCCAATCACACAGGAGGTTTAAACGGTTTGTTTGTCAACCCAGAGTCCCAGAGACTCCTCCAGGAGTTCGAGGAAGCAAGTGGTGCAGACCAGAACTGGGATCCTCACCTTGCTGAAGGGACAATGCTGGGCTCCTGGCCAGTTGTTCGAGGGAGAAGTGGACTAAAGAGGAAACAGTCCCAAGGCTCCAGAAATGGCATCAAAGCCCCACGGCGTTCCAGCTCTCCTCTGCTCTCCACAGATGACCCCAAAGAGATTGGACTCCTGAAGGGCGACTTTGACTGGGATGCCTTGCTGGACTCGGCCCTTAGCGGGGAACTCAGTTTGGATGGTGAAGAGCCCCTGAGCCCCATCATCAAGGAAGAGGACCTGACAGTTCGGGGGACCCACATGTCTCCCATTGAAGCCCCAGCAGGCACAACAGACCTCCATGTGTTGATGGAGACCCAAAGGAATAATGATGTTACAGACTTTGCTGAGGAGACCTTTCTTGCCACAGCGTTCCTCGAGAACCCCTGGCCAGAAGAAGAGGAGCAAGGCCGCAATGACTTCCTCTGTAGCTCCACAGTCAACCTGGACCAACTGTTTGACCTTGGAGACTCGCTTGGTGGAGACCCAAGCACCCGGATTGACACCCTCCTTTAAGGAATTGTTGTCTTCCAGGACTTCCTTCACAAGTGAAAACTCTTGGATATCCTGCTGGGGAAAACAGACGATTTTTTACACTCAAGCAACTTTTATTATCCTTCGCAAGATGTTTGAAGTCTTTTAAGAAAAACATTTCTTTGCTGATTCATGCAGGTTGTACATGCACAATGCCTGCTGAAAAATGATGCCACAATGTACCACACCACTTTTGGTGAAGTACGAAATGATTTATGACACTCAAAAACGAATCAGAACAAGTTCTAACCCAAAAAATATAGCGGTTTGGTAAAACTTGAGTCAGTCGGTACGTTCACATCCACAGTTAAATAGAGTGATAGCTTGGTTCATCAATGTAGCTGGTCTGCTGTCCTTGTCCCAGTCTATGATCACCAGGAGAGTCGGGAATCATCTTACTATCATAAGTATGTCCGCCTCCACTATGCAAGGTGGAAATACACCTCCTATCAGCTTGGTAATGTTGAGCCGTGTCCCTGTTGACATATTCCATGACATACCAAAACATTTGACAAATGAGTTAGCAAGAGGCTAGCAGGTTCCTATGTAGGTATTCAAGTGTAGCTATGAGAAATTCCATTTAGTACAACTTCAGTTAGACTAATCTCTCTGTTTGTATTTTAAAAATGTAGGTTAAGTCAGGCTGATGCAACTAATTGAGTTTTTGAACAACATGTAAACGTATTGACTGAACTACTTTTTCAATTTTGGGGGATTAACTCCATCCAACATTTGATCTATGAAAGTTCTAGTCAAGACAGGAGACTGTGTCTTTGGTTGGTAAATATCAGACTCGAAGAGCTGGACACTCCACCCCTAAAAGAGATTTTTTTTTTTTTTTGTACAAAAACAGAGCCAATGCGTGAACAGGATACAACAACATGATTTCTGTTTACATCATAGTGAGAGTGTTCATGCTGGTGTTCCTTAGTTAGGCTTAGCTCCCATGTCAAAGAAGGTATTGCATTCAAATTTCTTATTTCCTTAAGAGGTGTGAAAAATGGAAGCAAAACTTACCGGAGTTGCATTTTGTAAGACAGGATGTCGTGTTGCTGAGGACTTATTAAATATGACTTTCAATATTATAACAGCAGCACTATGGTAATGAATAATCAGACATGTGCCAAATGGGCTTTGGTGAAGATGTGATTTACTGTTGTTTTCTTCTGATTGTTCTTTTTTATTTACTAACTTTTCTCTATTTTTCTGCATTTTTTAAGATGAATTAGTTGCAGTTTAACTAGATCAAATATGATTACGCTGCATGCTTTTTGTTCTTTCCAAAAGGAAAGGTAATGTTTTTGTTCATACCTGTCAGAAGATACACCTTAAAGTACTTAGAAACCACTTCCTTGAACCCGACAGTGCAGATACATGGATGTTGAAAGTAAATGGATATAAACAGCTAGGGGCAAATTTCTCCAACAAAGATCTAAAGTGACCTCAAAGTGGTCACTTTAAAAAGGCCACGGCGCCTTGTAAATGAGTACCTGGCCTTATCCGTGCCAAGAACAACACTTGGGACTAGACATGGTGGCAGTGTTTTTTAGTAAAAGTCTATTTTAGGGTGTTTTTGTCAGGAGATGTTATACGTTCATTAACAAAGAGCTGACGCTGCATGGATGTACTTTGTTGGAAACATCCAAATCACTACATAAACTCATGACTTGATTTTTAGCTTAAAAGCTACAGAAATTGCTCCCATTTTCCAGCAAGATGTGTGAAAGTGCAATCATTATACATTGGTACTTATTAAATACAACATTCAGCTGTCCATGTCGTTTACTTTAGAGGGACCAGTTTCACTCTGTTGTGTATTATGAGGTGTGAACACACTCCTCCAGGACAAAGGGCTCTTCTCAAAGACAAAAATACTGGATCAAAGATACCATTGTTGTGTATTAGCTTTTCTCAGCTAGATTATACTTTAAAACAAATAGCTAACTTTCCATTTTACCTCATGATTGGGTTTGTTAAGTCAGAGACACTGTATGGATTCCTTTATGTTTTCTTTTTCCACAAATAAAGAAAAATTACATGTATTGCATCTTGTTTACTTATTCACAGCTGCACTGGCAGCACAACTTTAGAAATGTTACAGTTTGACAATTATTCAATTAAATTTGGCAAAGAAATTCTTTTTACCCAGAGGATGGCTCCTGCTGACGTTAGCAGTCCTCTGATAGTTGTTTCAGCATGATTATCGTGTTTTTGTTTGTGGTTTAGAGTGAAATATGTTGAGAATTTTTGGTTGGATTGTCATGAAACTAGATGAAAATAGTGGCACCCAAATGAAGGTCATGACTGTTTTGGATGTCATTATTTGACTCTCTGAAGAATCACTGTAAGGTTGGTCTCTGTGGTTTGAAATGACATATTCAGACAATTGTTGGACAAATTTGCATGCCTTTTGGTACAAAGATTCAGGGTACCCAGATGATATGTTGTATGCCTTTGGTGATCTATAGACTTCTCTTTGTAGTGTCACTATTAGGCTTTAATTCCTAGTCATCCAGTGATGTACCTCCACATTTTAGTTGGGTGTTAAAATGCTGGACAAGAATTCATGCTCCTAAGATGATGGTAAATCAAAATGACTTCCGTAATCCCATTGTGTGTCTCCAATGACATGGTGGGATTAACATATTTAGTTTAAATGAAATACCTCAACATTCAATGGATTGCCATGGTATTTGCAAAGATATTCATGTTTCCCAGAAGGTCAACACAGCTCAGAGGATGTAAATTAAGGTTCAGAGTGGAATATTTTGGCAACTTTTGGGCAGATTGCCATGAAATGTAGTAAATAACAAACATCAATGATTCTGAGAATAAAAGTTATTACTTTGGTCATTTTTTTTACCATCAGGTCATGTGTTTTATTTCATTCAGGGGACATCTGTAGTTCCGAGGATGAACCACATTGATTTATGGGATTAATCTTTTTTGTTTCGTTGAAATTCCCCAACATCTAGACGTAGCATGTATTTCCAAAACGTCTGTATTTTTAAACTGAAAAATTTCCAATACTTTTTTCCAACTTCCAAATGCCTCTGGCTGACTTGTGTCTACAGCTCATAGTTTAAGTTAGCATGCTAAAATTTAATCAAAGGCAGTGAACATAGTTAACATCGTACAAATGTACATCAGCACGCACATGTTTTTAATAAGCTAATATTAGCATTTTGTTCAAAGTACTCTTGACCACGGCCTGACTGAGCCCCTTGTGTGGCTATAGGCTGTTCAGTCTTGTTTTCCTCTTTGTCCGACAAACCCCACCCTTCCCTTTAGTGTCCCAGCACATGAGATTTACGTTGGTCTTTTCCTGCTCATCTCTTTTGGGTCCCTTGCTGTGATCAGGCAGTGGATGGGTAATAGCAGCAGGGGGTGGCTGGGTTTCTCTTTCAGGGCTTTGTCTGTGCTCAGTCAGACTCTTGTTCCCCCATGGCGCTTGGATCTGTGGTACTTCATTGGGTCGGTGTGGGGTCTAACAGGGACAAGTGTCCCACGGCCCTATATATCACCGCCTGTCTGCCCCGCTTCAGACCACACTGTCTCTTTCTGACCCCGCTGCAGATTAGCTTGGTGGCTCGCGTTCAGGGATTCATATGAATAGCCACAGTGATCAAATGCAAATACACAGAATTCAAGAAGCCTGCACCCAACCTCCTGGTGCGGGAATCAGCAGGCATTCTGTCAGCAAACGTGTCTGTCTGTGGTCATCTATGAGTGTGATGGCAGAGAGATTAAGGGCTGTAACGGTACACCTCTGTAAAATGGACACCCAACACTCTGCTAGAAGGGTAAGATCCTACACCTTCATGCCTGGACTAGGTGCTTTTTTTTCTTGGAAAGAAGAGCTGACGTTTCCCCTTCCCCCTAGCATGAGCTTCCAACAGGCCCCCCTGGACAGCTAGCTGGACTTGGCTCTCCAGCTGGATTGCAGGGATGATAATAATAAAGTGGCAGGTCTGGTTAGATGAGAGGCCTGTGGTAACCTGATGCAGGTATTATTCTTGGGCCCTGCTGACGGCTGCAGGTAAGAGGATCCTCCTGGTGAAATGCTAACCCTCATGGCTTGTTCCAACCCAGAAACGCTGCAAACTGAAAGTGCTAAACACAAACGCCCACAGTGTCCGGGACCATGATGCAGCCACAAGTTTTAACTAGTGGGGACTTTAAAAAAGGATAGTTATACTGGGTGCTAGAACCAGAATATACCAGCTATGAACCACAGAGCCAAAGATAGGTAAATATTATGCTATTGGATGGGTGAACTTCTAAAAGCTGCTTCATTGAATGATGTTTATCGGCTGTTTCACCACTGTCCTGCTTGGTTTTTGAAAGTTTTGATCACTTTACATGACTTTTTTTGTCAGACTTTTGAAGGGTCTTCTTTTTTATGATCACAGTGACTTGTCTCCCATTTGGTCCACGAAGTAATAAACACTAATGGACAACAAATCCTCTTGCCAAACAACAGAAACTGGCAGTTGTTGGCCACTACAACAAAGACAGTTGACCTTCAAACAGCAGCCACAGGTGGATGGTTTGACAGGGAGTGACCATGGTTCAGACCTGGTATTAGTTAAATACTACAATATCATAATTGCAATTTTACAATGTCATGTAGCAGATGCTTATATCAATTTGTCTATTTGAACTGGGGCTGTTGCTTTTGTTAATTTTATAAATATAAATATTTATAAATATTAATGTTGGGCTACAAACAAACATGGTAAAACAGTAAGTAACTGGTTCATAGTAGTGGTCTTTTATGCTAATTGCCACGCGCCATTAAATGGGGGAGCGATGGAGAAGCAGTAAAGTCATGTTTTTATGGGAACAGCCTAGAAGTAATAAGATCTTTAAAAAGGAAAAAAAGTCAACTAGGACGTCATTCAAAAGCCAACTGAAAGCATTTATATAGACATATCCAGAAGGTTTGGGATCAGGATGGCAAAAACACCCTGACCATGTCA